GTTGATCTCAGGAATGATCCATCTGAGAGTGTCTTTTTATGAACCAAGTCCACGTTCTAGAAATATGGGGCTAGGTTGACTTGGAATACTTAACTATTGAATTACAAAAGTTCGCACAGTAACGCTTGCTTCTCTGCTTCACTTTACCATGTTTTTCTGGCCCTGCCTAATTTCAGCTTTAAACTTCCGAAACATTTCCCAAGCATTAGATTTGCTTCATGTGCCCTCTGCTTCTTAAAATGGAGAGGTTCTCTGAGGGCCTCTCCAGATTGGTGTTTTATTGCAGATGTATTCTGACTGCAACAGGTTCTCGATACAATAATTGTTCATTAGGAATTGATTCATTCTGCTTTATTAGTTGTTCTGCAATGCTCCCCCAGTGCCATCACATTATTGCTTTCCAGAGGGGCTGTAGCACAAAAAGGAGGACAAAACAAGAACAGAGAGTTTGTGATATGAAAAGTTATGGGTTTTCCACAGGAAATTAGAGGGTTTGTGGTGATTGAAAATGAAACAGTATGACTGCCCCAAAACTTTTGCAGGTGCAAGTAGCATTAAAAACAAGGTTGCATAGGATCTCCCCAATAGCATTATGAACATCACAAATGCATACTAAAAGTGATGTCCAGAGGAGCCCTCGGTGCTACGTAATAAGACAAGCACAGGCTTTAAATCAGAAGATTGACTTAAGATTTAGATCAGAGGAGGCCAAAAAGGGGGGAGGAGAAGAGGCTAGAGCAACTGAAGGACTGTAGCAGAGAGAGGACTGTTTGCGACAGAGGCAGGACAAGGGTATAAAGTCAAATAAACAGATGATGCTGTAGATGTACTTTCAGTGCAAAAATCAGCAATTAGCAGGCTGTTTATGACTCCTGAAGGGAGAAGGATGCTATAGTATAGAGTCAAAGGTGTCCCAGAATCGAATGAGAGCATGAGACTCTTAACCTCAGGGTCATGAGTTTGAATCTCACGTTGAGCAAAAGATTCCTGACTTGAAAGGGACCATGAGGGTCATCAACTTGATAACTTCCAATGATTCTACAAGAAGGATCAATAGCAGTCAGCACTTTGTGGTGATTGGAAAGACCACATATTTCCATACATTATATTGTGTGGCACTAATTATTTAAAAAATGAATGAGTGCACAGAAAGGCTATGCTGATGAAGCATCACACCAACACAATTGGCAAGAGCTTAGTTTCCATATTAAATGAGCACATTAAAAGAAGAAAGAAAATGCATCTCGTAGCATATGACACTCCCATCTCCTTCTATAGCTCTCCATCTCTCTTTGGGACAGAAATTGATTCAGACTTCACAAAGACACGCTTCACAAAATGGAAATAACCCTTCCATACTGAGGAAGCTGGAAACAGTGCAGTAAAACGTGACATGTTAAATTAAAGAACATTGCAGTTCTGACAACCATGAAGCACTTTGCAGGCCTCATAAGTAACTCTAGTCCCACATCCCAATTTTTTATTGGTGTTTGTCCAATGAAGGGATCATCTCATGCTCTGAAAGCAAACAGCAAGGCAATTAACAGAATGCCATTCACCAGTTTCCTGTGCTTCGAAGAAACTATTTTCATTGGGACTTACTCTGTATTGCTTAAATAACATCTCTTCCTCAGAGAAGTGCTTTAAATGTTTCAGTATTGAAAGAATTTGGGATGGGGGTTGAGCTCTGTCAGTTTCAGAACTGCAGCACAAGTGCAAAAAGTAATGAAGATACTATGGATAAAGTTTTAGCCCAGTGAAATAAGACACCATCTTTCCCTCACCCAACCCCAGCATGCATGTATTCATGAAAATGGCATTCCATATTAAGGAAAATTGCTTTGCAGAACTGTGGTTATTAGGCAAATTCACATGCAAAAAGGTGTAGATTAGGATAAATTTCCTCTAAAATTCTGATTAATTTTTTTAAGCCTTTTTTAAAAAAAAAATCTAATGTGAAACTGAGAGAAACTGAAATTGACAGATCCACACTTGGACGTATCCCATGGACATGCAGAATTCACAAAACTATATGCATATATAGCCCATCTGCATTCAGTAAATATCTAAAAACCTTTTTTATTTATCCAGGCTTTTGGTTGATAGTTTGATTATGTTTTCTCCTGGTTTAAATTGTTGTGTATGCTATAATGATGTTTTGAATTGTTCTATGTAATTTTATGGCTATAAGTGTCCCTAGACTGCCCTGGGAATGTAGTATGGCTTATAAATTTCATATGTATGTTATCTAATATACATTTCTACATTTTTTATTACATCAAACCAATGAACAAATGTATATTAGATAACATACATATGAAATTCTAAACTAGAGTTTATTTCAAAACAATTCTCTAAATTTTTATTGATTTTAGATTATATTCACATTTGCAGAAAAATCAAGATTCTAATCATTTAATGACAGCAAAAGTTCCGATTCAAAAAGTTTAAGCTTCATGTTTTTACTACCTTTAATTTCATGTCTTCCTTGCTGTCAGGTGCACCATCTCTAGGGGGCCCGGGGGACCCAAGCACCCACAAAAAATGGTTGTGGGTGCTCAGCACCTACACCACAGGGCTCCCTGATGCAACTTCTGATGGCTTGTGAAGCACTGGAAGTCATGTCCAAGGCCTCATGAGACCTCAGAGATGCTGTGTGAGGCCTTTTGAGACCTTGGAACCTGACTTCCGATGCCACCAGAAGTCAGGTTCTGAGGCCGCGGGGCAAGTGAAGTCATAACCTGGGACCCCAGACAGCCCCTGCTTGCTGTGGGCAAATATTAAGGGGGGAAAGGTAATTTGTGTCAACAAAATAAAAGACAGGAAAAGAAAACTAAGTTGAATGATGCCCAGGCTAATTAAAAATAGATTCAACATTCCCAAAGTATTTATTTACAGTTCCAACAGAACAAGACTTACAGCAATCTCCATCGATATATAAATTCCTTGTTTGAACTTTAACTCTTAAAACATGTTTACAGCATTAACTGATATGGGCCCCAGACAAATAAAAATAAATAACTTAGAAGCCAGACTCAGTTAGTAATTTATGTGAAGTATATTATTATTTAAATAAGATCTAATTACTCTGGTCATGTAGGGCATCTGCAGAGAGAGAGAGAGAGAGAGAGAGATTTGGCATCAGCATCCATCACAAAGCTGCATGCCTAAAAAATGGAATATTTAAATGCTACATTGTTAATGCACTTAGGTTTCCTGTTGTTACAGAAATAGGTTTCTAAACACAAATTAACGTTAGTCAAAAAGATCTTGACAGCTTAATGCATCTTACAACCAGGAGCTGAAACTTGATATTTTGTAATTCAGTGGTAAATCTAAGCACCAGTAGCAAATTAATAGGATATCCCACTGGTCCCATTGGCAAATAGCAAGCTCTTTGATTGCATTTTCATCTTCTTGGTACCACCACTGTTGTCACAGAGACTCAGACTTGCTTTCTCCCCTCAATGTGACTTTAAGTTGTCCTTCTGTGTATTATAATAAACTGGTGCCTTCTCCTTGTGGTGACAGGCAGCTGCTGCTACAATCTGCCCCCACCCCACAAAAAATATAAATTATGTGAAAAAAATCTAATTCATTTCCTGCCCATACCCATTAAATCTTTTAAACCAGCATAGATGATTTAAGTCTGATCATGCAAGCTGGTTGCTGAGTCATCCTCAGCCTCTGATTTCATTACGGTTTGAATGCACTTTTCTGCATTGGGCTCTTATGGTGCTATACTAAAAGCCTCACTATCTCTGATATTGCATAGCATTGATACATCTACATGTCAGGTGATGAGAAAATGTTGGAAGTGCCTAAAGGGGGAAAGGTTTGAAGGGGGGAGAAGCAAGACGTGGCCAGCATGAGGAATAACTGGAAGGCAAAAATAGTAGATAAGTGAGATTATGCATGGATGCACAATGAAAAAAGGATGGCATGGTTAACTCAAAGGCAGGAGTAGGAATTAAGAGCACAGGGGTGACACTGCTGCTTCCTGCCTTGAAGGAGACTGAGGATGTGCTCTTTAATACCAGTCACTGAATAAGTAAACTGATCAATGTGTTTCCCACAGTTCAGCATCTCAACTGAAGGCAGCATCCTCTCTCTGCTTAAAGAAAACACTATTTTAGTACCCCACTTCTATCATCTTCAATGCACTTGTTCTATACTTGAACTCTCCCCTTTGAATGACTCCCCCCCCCCATTTCCCAGCTGACTTTGCTGCAGTGGTGTTCAGGGTCTTTAAAGCACCCAGCAGGCTTTTCTTTTGTTGTGCATCCTACTTTGCTCATATTTTCTTTTCAATGCATAATGCTAGATGAGCTATCTTGAAGGGCAATGATGATTTATTTACCAAAGCTCTTAAGGCATTCGGTCTCTCCTTTCCACATGAATGAAACTTCCCAATAGAGGATATTAGCAGCCGCTTCCCCCTTAAAAAGAAAGAAAGAAACTATTTATTGTACCTGCAGGCTTCCATTGTCTTTTGGCATGTTACCAAAAACAACCGCATTTCATGTGTGCTTTCATATGACTGGTGCCAAGCATTGCTCATACGAAAACTCATAGTAATTGAAGGACTGAAGCAGAGATGGAGAACCTGTCATCCCATAGCTGTTATTGAGCTCCAGCGCCCGTCAGCCCCAGCCAGCAGGGCCTCTGGTCAGGGATGATGGGAGTTATAATTCACGTTAGGGGACTAGGCTAGTCGACTAAATGTTTTCCAGGCACCCCTTTCTCAAAGCCCAGGAAGCTTCTGCCCAGCTAAGGGAGGGAGGCACGATGTTCACACACACATCACCCCCCACAAGCTGGTGCCTCTGGCTCTAACTGTTCACCTACAAAAAATTTCACTGCACGCCTGTGATTCAGGACCATCTGGAGGGCCACAGATTCCCCAGCCCTGGTTTAATGGCACTTTAGCCTGCACACTCACTATTCATGGTAGGGTATCGGAAACAGAATGCCTCTGCCCCGCTTAAGAATCAAAGTTCACTGCTTTAGCTACCTTAGCGCTGAAGGCAAATCATTTGTATAAATCATTTCAACTCTGGTCATCTGTGCTTTGTGTCAGCTACTGCGTACCCTTCTCTAGACAGGCCTTTGGAATAGCGACTCTCTCTAATTCCATGCTCTGCAAAGTGGTTGTGCTGTCTAGGAATTACAACCTCGGCATCATTTTAGCCAGAACCACCAGCGCTTCCGCGGGGTTTCAATTTGCTACTTGTCTCTAGAGACTTTGCTTCCTGGAGATCATTGGAGGCATATAGTTCCATAGTGTCAGGACTGTAATGATAATATTGGCACATGTGGGAAGAAAGGGCTTAGAAGATGTTTAAAGGAGAAGGCATACACCAACTTATATGTGGAACATAGGAAGGCGCCTTATCTAAAGTCAGATCTTTGTTCCATCTGACTGGAAGCAACTCTCCAGCATTTCAGGCAGGAGTCTTTTTTGAGCTGTACCTGAAAAAGTCCGGGATTTACATGTGCTCTGTCACTGAGCTGCAGCCACCCCCCAGGTCCATATACAGGGCCAGCCCACCCATGAGGCATTGTGAAGGGATTAATTCACATTGCTTGTTTGCTTCACCATTCCATATAGCAAAGATGCATTTAGACAAGTCAAGTGACCAAGGTTATAACATTCCTAGTCAAATGACATTCTGGTGTTTGCTATGTGACCCCTTTGTTCGATAGCCTTTCTGTTTGCTTCCTTCTTCTGTTCCCTTCAGTTTGTAGATTGTGGACCTTTGGTAGGATAGCATCTGTGTAAATTGCCCTAGTGCTATCAGTGTTGCTGTGAGGCTTAAGTGTAGCACAGCACTGCCACTTTGGTTTACAAATTTAATAAATAATAATAATGTTCCTGATGCTCCTATTCAAGGTATTGACCACAATCCTGTAAATAAGGCCACACATCCACATTCTATGACATTGTTCTGGGTGGAAACATTTCATTGCATGCGCTATTGGTTAGCGAAGTGAAAGCTGCTTACTGAAAACTTTTGACACTCGCAAGCATTTTGCAAAGGAAGCTGTGAGGAGACCGATTGTCACAGATCTAACATCTGCTTGTAACATTCCACCTTTGCTTTCAGAACAGTTTAATCTTAGACTCTCCTGTGTAGATACTAACAATCCAGAGAGCAAACCATTTTTCATGGAGAAACAGCTGCGAATGCAGAAGCATCAGCTAATAGTGGCCTGAACTTTGTTTGTTAATTTCTATTGTACACAGAGGAGAAACTGCTTTACAGGTCTTTGTAAGCTACGCCTATTTTACTGGACATACATTTGGCCTTTCAAATTGTACCCCATAACATTCTTTTTGCATTGCACTCAAGAACAAGCAACTACCATCAATAATGGGAGTGAAATTCAATAAGTTCAGAACCCAGTTACTTATTTTGTCTGTATCTTCACTGTTTTCCAAAGTTGGCCAAACCCCACTTCCTCCCATCCCACTTTGAACTCTCATACTTTCACTTTCTGTGGATGCTTCCTAAACTTTCCAGCGTTTGTTCAAGATGTCATCCTTGATCATTAAATCATTTGGATGTTTTAAAACTAATGTATTTATTACATTTCTCTTTTCTATCTAAGAGGAGAAATACATGGGCTTTGCAAGTCTGTGAGGCACATTAGACTGAGAGACAGTGACTTCTCTAATGCAAACTATTAACCAGTAAGGATGACTTGAGATTTGAACATGACTTTTTTACATTCATACCCTATATTCCAATGCCTCAAAATAGTTTTCTGAAGCTGGATTCAATAGCCAATTTTGCTACTCTTGTTTTTATTTCAATTTACACACTACTGTGACTGAACAATAGTGAATACTAGTTTATACTTCTCTGAACATGAACATGAACATGAAAAGATTCCTTGGGAGACTGTTGGTCCTTACTGATTATATTTTTTAAACCACAAAAAGTTTCTTAAAGTCACACATTCAGAGGCAATTCACAAAGCCATGGGAAGCCACATAAAATGGAGAGCAGTCTGTTCCTTTCAATGGAAATTAGCTCATCATGGCCAACATGTCATCAGCTGACAGCCAAAGCCCTGCTGGGAAGCAGAAGCCCTTTGGATTGCCTCAGTAACTGCTAAGGTCTTCTGAATGATGATTGTTGTGCTTCAATATAACCTCACAATTAGCTGTAGTGCTAAGCTTTCACACAACACACTTGGGAAGCAGGCTAATTGACCTGCTGAAGGAAGGGAGTTACCCTCATCCTTGGGGGTGGGGTACTAGGCTCCAGACCGAATATGCAGTCTCAGCCACCTGTGGGGAACCTTGAGGGTGGTGGAGATCATGGCCACCTGTGGGCTGCTCTGCTGTATAAAAAGCATTTGTTCCGGTGCCTGGAACAAGCCATCTCCTTGTTGTGGAGTCTGTCCCACAGACTGCTGGAAGCAGGGGCAAGGAGGGAGCCTTCAGACCTTGTGTTGTGAGTTTGCTTTTCCTTTAAATAAACTACTAAGACCTGATCAGCCTGTTAGTGTGGGAAGCCTGAGTATCCAGACCCCTGTGAGCCCTCCCCTGGCTCTCCGGATACAACACCTCCCCTTTCTGCAATGAATTTGTGCCTACTTCTTAGGTAACATTGTTGATCCCCTGGTGCTTGCTATTTTTAAGTACTCAAATATTGAAAGGTCAGCTTTGTCTTGTACCATTTGATTGGATGATTTGGTGTCATATATTGAAGTGGATAATGTTTTGAGGGCATGAGCATGACCATGCCATGTGTCTGTTCAAACTGTAGAGTAGAGGTTGTATCCTTTGCTGGTTTGATATCTCAGCATTAAACTATTAGTAGCAGTGCCTCATTTAGAAAATACAGAATTCTAAGAAAGCAAATAGTCCGGGCTTTTTGCATACATAGCATACATTTAAAGCACATCGCCCCAGTTCCCAGGCTTCTTGGGGTGGGTGGGTGTGCTATAAACGTATGCAAGTAGAGGCCAGTGGGGTGTGGGCAGGGCTGTGTCACTACCCTGGCTTCCCAGTGCCATGCGCCACTGCTGGCTACCAAAAGGGCAAGAGCAAGGAGGTGGTGAATCACAGGTGGGAGCATTGGATTGGCTCTGCCAGTGTGCCATGCTGAAGTCCCCGCTGCTTCCCTCTCAGTAACTGGCAGCAGTGCCCAGCATTGGGTGCAGGGATACAGCCACACCGGCTGCTACTGTGTGTACACAGCCCAAGAACAAAATCACACCCAAGTGTGGTGCTATAAGCACAAGGGGTTAAGTGGGTATTGCTGTGAGCAGATCTGCCACCCAACAAGCCATGAGTTTCCAATCTGTTTTGAGGGAGGGGAGGTTTTTGAGTAAGTGGGAACCCCCCCCCCCAATATTAGCCATATCTGAGTACAGTACACAGCTCTGGACACATTATTTTTAAATCTGAGCACTCTACTGGCACTGCGTTCATAACTTTTATCTATGACCACACCATGGAGATCATTAAGGAGAATTGCTCCATGTTGGCCTGGATAGATTGTTCTGCAGCTTTCAAATATCTGGAGTGTTTGGCGATTTCACAGTCGCTTCTAAGCAAACTCTGGAGTAACTTTGCTCAACCAGGAAGGTTTCAAATGGTATAGATTTTTTAATTTTAATTTTCATTGAGTTTTATGCATAACCAAAGAAAACAAAAGTAGCAAATACAAAACAAAAAAAAACCCCACTCCTCAGAGGACACCTACCAATTATATGTACACAATTCTATCCAGTGGGTGCATAATCAGAAGTAATCTATCTTGGAGTTTACTCATGCATTCCAAATTTCCAAGAATCCAGCAGGCAGCTGTTGAAGGATTGTTTGCACTGGTAGCATCTATAGTAAAGCTCCACCAAAAGGCTCCAACATAGGGATGTCCTAATCCATAATAATTTATTATTATTATTTATACCCCACCCATCTGACTGGGTTGCCCCAGCCACTCTGAGTGGCTTCCAACATATATAAAAACATTATAAAGTTTAAACTTAAAAAAACAAAGACCTTCCTTATACAGGGCTATCCTCAGATGTCTTCTACAGGTTGTATAGTTAATTACCTCCTTCCCTTGGGGTCACAAAACTCTATACCCTCCAACATTTATTCAATGAAAATAGGGACATCCTAGGAAAAGCGGGACATTCCAGGATCAAATCAGAAACTGTAAATCTGGGACTACCCCACATAGCATGGATAACATCTAAAATGGTAATGTTCACACATCACTATACCAAATTGCAATGTTCGAACCATGCAACATTTTCTATAATCGGGCAATAGATATGCAGTACTGTATGAGAGTTCTACACCATCTTGGGGCTAAGCTCTGAAGTGTTTTTCCTTATGTGGGCCAACACTGACTTTGCTGGTCTAGAGCATTGCAGATTTGTCCATTTCACTTCATCAATCTGCTCACCCATATCTGTCTCCCAAACTGTTTTCAATCCTCTACGGGAGCCTGTCACAATTTCTGTTAAGATCTTCTAAATACTTGAGACTAATCCTTTGCTTTTAGAGCTAGCATTAGCAGTAAGATCTTCAAACTCTGTAAGAGGCCTTGTTGCCTGCATCCATGGGAGAATGTCACAATTTACATAACTGGAGCCATCCCACCTTGATGTTTCCAATACCAACTTGAAGTTGAACTTGCACTACTGGGGAATCATTTTTATAAAAATCACACCCTCTGTAATGCCCCCTCTGTTGCCATTTAGCTATGACTCTTCAAAGTGTCATATCAAGTACTTTAATCTAGGGTGGTTTGCTAATGGAATCAAAGGAGGGCAGGCTTTGCTGCCATTTTTGTCAAATTTGAAGCATGGAGAGTGTGAATAGAATGCATATATGTTTGAGAAAAGAAGCTGATAGAGCTTCAGATGGTCAAGACCACAAAGGGCTCTTATTCAGCCTTTGATCCTTTATTTTAATCCAGGTTTTTTTTTAGCTTGACAGATCATATATAACTTACAAAGTTGAAATGCATTGCGGTACATGCCATTATTTGGGAGTCGCCGTCCCCCCAACTGGTTTTCTATACAAAATGAAATGATATTAATAAGCATTTGTTTTTGCTGGCTTTTATCAAGAAAAGCTAAATAGGAGCTTCATGGAGTATTTTGTGGTTTTAAATACTAATTTATTTTGCTCTGCTATTATAAGCACTATAGGTAAAGCTGATTAGAATATGAAATACATTGATAGCATTTTTATACGAGAAAGACCTGTGGAGTGCAGTCAACCATAGGTGCATTGTAAACCACTGAAAACCAAGTTTTGCTGATCTTCTTGTTTACATCATTTGCCTTTGCAATGAAACGAGAGAAGATTCATATTGAGCCTGTAGCTCCTACCAAAAGGGGTTCTTTGGTGTGTGACATTTTCATTTGGGCATTCTGAAATCAAATCGTACAAGGGATCCTTCATGGCAGGGCCCAACAGAATGTCAGTTGTGGTTGACTGCAGGCAGGCTTTCAGTGGGACAGGGATTCTTGCTGGGTCTTCAGTGCCATTATTTTTAAGAGGTCCTTCCACCCCCACTCCCCATTGGTTCTCACTTCCACACTAGTGTGCCTTTTTGTCAGCAGAGTCCCACAATCTCCCACGACGTTTGTATCATCACCACAATACCATTCATGGTCATTGCACCGGCCTAGACTAGGGGCAGAGCCCACCAAATACAAACTTAACAGCCATTGGCCTGTTCCTTCCTTTCATTGGAAGTAATTCTGGCTGTGCAGAAGAGCTTGTGCAATGGGACTTTGGTGCTCCCCTGACAGACACCCAAATGTCTGTCCCCTGACAGACACTCACCTGTCCTGGATTAGCAGGAAAGAAACTTCAGAGGTCAACAGAAGTGGGACCTGAGAACAGCAGCTACTTCCTCCCATGTTATCTTGGGTCATCCTCCCAAAGTTGATGGCTGCTACTGTCTATCACAGTTAAGCTAACCACTTGGCATTTGGAAGCTCAGCTAGGTCATAGGAACATGGAAAGCTACCCTCCCATCAGATGTCAAGGAGACAAATAGCTATACAACTTTTAGGAGACATCTGAAGATAGCCCTCTATTGGAAAGTTTTTAATGTTTGATGTTTTATTATATTTTTATATGTGCTAATATCTACCCAAACCCTTCTACGTTTCCGCCTATATTCTCCCCTCGCCCCCGGCAAGAACAGTGGTGGTAGCAGCAGCATTCGTAGTGGCCAAATCCAAGTTTAACTGGCTTGCCTACAAAGGTAGAAATTGTAGCTGTATATGGAACAAGACAGTAAAACAGCAATCAGTGAAAGAATCAGAACAGGCACAAGTACCTTTTCCATTACCTGTGTGTGAGAAAGAGAGACAGAAAGAGATAGACTATGTATGCCTGAAGGCACTTGATGCAGCAACCTTGCTTGGTTAATGGCTGGACGTGAAACTACCTAAGATCCTGATGTCCACCATCTTGAGTTCCATCGTGCATATATCAGCATCTCTTATCATGTCCTCCTCTTTCCGTTCCACATGCTTTGCCTCCCCACCTTCAAAATTACAGGAAGGGCTTCGTATGGCAGCTTCATCATTTCCTTCACTGGGTGCAGGAATTTTATTTTCAATATAAACAGGACTCTGTTTTTGCACCCACCCACACACCACTTTTAACAGTTCTCTGAGACATGGAGGGAAGGAAAAAGGGAAACTGGGACGTTTTGGGATCAAATCAGAAACCAGGAGGCTTCTGTAATTCCAGAACTTTCCCTGGAAAATAGGGACACTTGGGGGGTATGAGCTTATGTAAAATGACCACTCAAGATGACAGGGCCCTGTTCTTGTTACCCTTAGCACTTTCTCGGTGAAACCGAGGGAACCAGGCCCCAAATCTTTTAAGCAGAGTGTGATTGGAGCTGTAGTCTATGACTTGGCTCAACGTCTTGATTTATCTACTCTGAATGCACTTTTAATGGTTTTCTACTCTTTAATTGTAGTATTGTGACTGTGGTACAGGATTGTGTCAGTTTGTGGTCTCCTGTGTGGATAGCATTATTTGGGAGGAACTTCAGGGAACATGAAATAATGGCACATCTTAGGTTGACAGGTATCTCGTATCTCACCACTAAACAGCCAAAACTAGTTCCTAGGGGTGTCTTTGATCCCTGGTTTGTCTCTGGTTAATGTCCAGGTATTTTCATTGGTATTTTTAGGGATTAGCATTAGACTTGTGGATTTGTATTTGCGTAGGCAGGTCACCCTGAGGTAAATGGGGTACAGGAAGTCAATGTCGTTGCTTCTGCCTCTAAAAAACCATTTTCTGACTGGCTCTGCTTTGCATATTCTGGGCTCTGCTAATGAAATAAAATAAAAATAGATCACATAGGGTTGGTCAGCCTCCGTGTTCCATGACACACCCTCATTATTCTGAGTTTGAGAGACTGACAGCCTATTAGACCACCAAAGTGTTTCTGAACAGCTTATGCTTTCAATCACCTATAACTTGCTTTTGACCCCCAAGGTAAAACACTTTAATTTTAGCAGCTTGGGGGAACTTTTGATGATGATTTTTATTTGTGAGATTAATGGACCACTAACTGTTGAGATTTGTGAGATTAATGGACCACTAACTGTTGCCATTTTTCATGCTTGCTATCAATGTAACTTGCTATAATTTTCAAACCAGCTATACCGTTGGGGCATTCTTTAAAATACATTTAGCCTTTTAAAAGCATATATGGGTTTTAAACTGTTTTTCTGGTCCAACTGCTGGTTCCCTTTATCTTTTTTTTACCGCTTTGCTTTGCGTTTCATAACTCCAGTTGAAATGCTTCTGCATTTTCTTATGAAAGATTTTCCCTGTGATTATAAATTGTTAAATCTGTACCTCTATCCAGACTAATTCGTGTCCTTGAATCCATGTGTAAGAATCCTAAATCTCTCCAGCGCTATCATACTGTAGGTTTAAATTATGGGGGGGAAGTAGGTTTGAATTATGGAAAAAACAAAAACTGTTTTCAGTGGCCATTTGTGTTCCTTCATAATCAAGGCCAACCATCACCACCCTTGTTTGACCCCTGCCCAAATCCTGATGCTATTTTGTCTTCTGTGGCCATTTTGTCTCTGGGTGCTTAGCCCAGCCCTGAGCTGGGGGTCTTCTGTTAGGGTCAGGTGGTGAAGCTCCATGAAATACATTCTGTTGATCTGCCAGGAAGACAGGAGAGACGGCTGATTCCAGGTTTAACTTGCCCTTAAGCATGCAGGAGGAACGACCTGCTTATATTAATAGTTAGGGTGAGTTCAGAAGTTAGAACAACTCTTTATTGTTTATTTGACTGCAATACTAAGTTCAGTAGATTTTCTTCAAAAATCAATTTGTTTGGTTAAAGTACAGTTGGTGTGGCTTAATCCCAGGGGACCATGAGCACTTTGTCTTGAGCCTTTTAGCTAAGCTGCAGTAGAGTCCTACTGCTTTATATTCAGTGGGTGGTGGCAGCTACAATCAATTGGGTTGTTCTGTTGTGGGTTTAATGCATACTTTCCAACATTTCTCCAGTGAAAATAGGGATGTTCCATTCCATAATAATAATAATAATAATAATAATAATAATAATTCTATTATTTATTATTTATACCTTACTCATCTGACTGGGTTGCCCCGGCCACTCAGGGCAGCTTCCAACATAAATAAAAAAATTAAAAATTAACCATTAAAAAACCTTCCCTATACAGGGCTGTCTTAAGATGTCTTCTAAAGGTTGCCTAGTTACTTACCTCCTTGGCTTGGGGGCCTCATAACTCCATACCCTCCAGCATTTCTCTGATGAAAATAGAGACGTTCTCAGGAAAAATAGGACATTCTGGGATCAAATCAGAAACTGATATGGCTTCTGTAAATCCAGGACTGTCCCTGGAAAATAGGGATACTTGGAGGGTCTGTTTAATGATAAAGGTGAGGCACTTGGATGCCTATTGGTCTTCCTAGTGACCCTCATGGGGTTCTGGGTGGCAGAAAGGGTAAGAACTTAAGGATCCCTGAGTACAAGACAAGGGCATGGTACCAACTAACCAAAGGGAGTTGATTATCACCAATGTGCCCCCAACATGCATCCACAGAAGGGCCGGCCCACCCAAGAGGCAAAGTGAGGTGACTGCCTCAGACAACAGAATCCACAGGGGCACCGGTCCCTGATGGAGAACTGTATTCCCACCTTGTTCTTGGTGTAGATCTACACTAATTCCTTCTTCCCTATCAGGGAAGGAAGTACCATGTTGTGGTTCTCCACAGGTGCCAAAATATATTGGACCAGCCCTGGTCTCTTTTTAATATGAAAACAAAAACCTAGAATTTGTCCTTTAAAATATGAAGACAGTACTGCCACAAAACTGAATGTAAACCTAACATGAAAACAATGACCTGTATTTTGGGAAAGAAAGTTTTTGATTAAGTGAACTAAAGGCTGCATCACGCAGGACCTTGAAAGTATGCGCCAAGATCAATTATCCCCCTGGAAAGTGTCAGGCAACCATCTGTTCCTTTGCAAAATAACCGAGGAAGCCATATGCGAAGAGGCATTTTGATGATAAAATGGAATAAGCAAAGTCTTATGGACCTTATCGTCCATGCATCAAGTGATGTGGAAACAAGATGGCATCCATGAAATCAGCAGTGACTGACTTTGGCCTTCCAGAGGATGCTGGACTCCAATTCCTATCGGCCCCAGTTGGCATGGCCAGTGATTAGAGATTAAGAGAATTGTAGTTCTGAGAGACAACAGGCTTGCGACCCCTACCTTAAATTTTATTGTAAAGGTTCTGAGTTCACTCACTTCCAAACATTGACTAAACTAAACTATCACCAACCTTACTTGTTACTAGCATCCAGAATAATGCTCATTGCTGAAAATTTCCAGAAGCTTCAAAAGAGTGCACAACATCTTAATAGAATGTTTCTTTAAATATATATATATATACAGTGGTACCTCGGGTTACAGACGCTTCAGGTTACAGACTCTGCTAACCCAGAAATAGTACCTTGGGTTAAGAACTTTGCTTCAGGATGTGAACAGAAATTGCACAGCGGCGGTGCGGCAGCAGTGGGAGGCCTCGTTAGCTAAGTGGTGGTTCAGGTTAAGAACAGTTTCAGGTTAAGAACGGACCTCCGAAACGAATTAAGTTCTTAACCCGAGGTACCACTGTATGTGTATGTTTTCAAAGTGCAATAAAGTAAAATGAATGGGACCAGGTAATTTGTTCATTTGCTGTAAGATTTCATCTTAGATTAGGGTTCAACTAAAAGTTGGACTTTGCCCTTTTCCTTCGCAAAGGGCTAAACTGAATGCAAAGACAAGTGTTCTAGCTACATCCCCACCCCCCCATCCCCCGCTTGTCTTTATTATTCTGGTTAAGTTGCACAAGGCTTTATTTGTAGTTGATGCGCCTAAAGCTTTTTCCTAAGAGCATTTCACGTATGTACTTACAATGAAGTTGGGTGCTAAGTTTTGACAGCTGAGAAATGATAAGCATGGTTATCCCTAGTGTAGAAAAAAGGGGGGTTTAAAAAACACTCTTAAGAGGGTCTAATTCCCAAATAGCCCAGTGAAGGAAGCTTCTGCTTGGCCTCTGGGCAGTGGCAGCACTGCTGGGTTCCAGGGTGGGGCAGGGGCAGGGTGACAGTGAGGCAGGAGTGATTTGGGATCACCTTACCACCTCCCTGCCCTGTGCCATCTCAGAGCGTGACAGCAATACTGCTGGTGGGAGGCCAGGTCCATGGCGCCACCCCTCCCCACCAGTTGTTCTCATGGGTATGGAATGGAGTATCCTGAACATGGAGCAGGGGCAATTCACAGAGTGACACTCCCCACCTTGTCTCTGTATAATTGCATTAAAGGTAAAGGGACCCCTGACCATTAGGTCCAGTCATGGCTGACTGGGGTTGTGGTGCTCATCTCGCTTTATTGGCCGAGGGAGCCGGCGTACAGCTTCCGGGTCATGTGGCCAGCATGACTAAGCCGCTTCTGGTGAAAGCAGAGCAGCGCACGAAAACACCGTTTACCTTCCCGCCGTAGCGATACCTATTTATCTACTTGCACTTTGATGTGCTTTCAAACTGCTAGGTTGGCAGAAGCAGGGACCGAACAACGGGAGCTCACCCCGTCACAGGGAATTGAACCGCCGACCTACTGATCGGCAAGTCCTAGGCTCTGTGGTTTAACCCACAGCGCCACCCGCATCCCAATATAATTGCATTACCCATCTTTTTAATCAGCCTGTTTTCAGAAAAGTTAACTGTGTGTACTTATTAAAACATCCCATTCTATCTTTGGCACTCCTGCAGAGGCTATTTTTGAATACTGAAAAGAAGAATAGCTTCGTGCTTCAGGTGGCAATTGTTAATTCAATTAACAAGGAATGCCATTTGGGGTGGAATCTATCTCTATTAAGATCAGTGTGGGTTTTGACGTTGACCTCTGTGGAACTGAACCATTTGTTTTTATTTTATTTTTACTTCACTATATTTATTATTGACATTTTCCTCTTGCTCAGTAATACAATTTTTCTGGGTGGCTTACAAGAGAAGCTGGAAAACAATTACTGTACACAGAAAAAATGGGCTGTAAAAGGATAAAATCTTATACAGGGTAAAACCAGCAGGTACAGCAAAGCTCACAACAGCACCTGCTGCTGTAGCTTCCATGGTTAGCTAGATGTTTGGGAGGTGGCTGCCATGTAGAGCTTTTCTTGCTGGGCTGAAAGTGTGTCTGGGTCTATCTGCTGTTGATCCTGTCCTCCTCAACGTCACAGCCTTTCTGGTGTCCTACGCCCCCAGAGGTATAGTGGGATACACAATCATTTTAGTTGCTAGTATTTGTAGCTTCGTGTTTCCCTATTGAAATGTACATAACTGTTATGCAAATGTATCTTATAAATACATCCCCAAAGTGGAGAATCAGGATAAATGCAGCCATTTCAGAGCTGAGTCCCTGAAGCTACAGGGGCTGTTTTGTTTTGTTTACTTATTTATAAGGGTGTTTTTTGTTTTGTTTTTTTACCCGCTCTTCATCTTAAAGTCCCAGGGCGGATTATAACAATATAATAAACAATTATACAGATAAAACAGTTACAATTATAGAACAAATAAAACTGTTCCAGATGGAACAGAACGGCTCGGCAGCTTTGTTTCCTGGTCTCTGCTGCTAGGACACAGCATTTTCACTCTGAAAATAAACGTTGAAAGTGAAAGGTGGAGGAAGAAAGTGGCTGGTCACACTGTCAGGACCTTGAGCTTGTTTGGAGGTTCTAGCAGGGGAGCGCAGCTATCGTATACCCTTGACCGAAGAACGGTACACTCCTTCTATCTGGGATGGTCGTCCTCTTCCACCGAGCGCGCAGCTTCGGGAGGGACGCACATGGAGCGGTGAGGGAGGAAGGGGACACCCGCCTAGCCAGCCAGATCAGCCGAATCAACCCTGGCGATCAATGGGGTGACAGATGTCGCAGCCAGATCGCCCTCACATCCTTGTGGGCTTATAGCCGAATAAAGTATTATCTATCTATCTATCTATCACACTGTCAGGCTGTGGTGGTTCCAGGGCTATGAGGAGCCTGCGAAGCAGAGCAACACCCTCTTTCAGATCAGTAAGGAATGATTGGTTCTTGGTCAGTGCTTCAGGTCCAAGGCCTATGAAGTAATTGCTAAGGACAGGGTCAGACTGATCTACATGGATATTTAATATAGCCAAAAACAAGGGTGACATTGCTTTATTGAATCCTCTGAGTTTCCTTGTGAGATGAACCTCTCTCCAAAGGAGATATAACACATGACTGAAGGTCACTGTGCACAGCCAGAATCCACCAATGGATTTTTCCAGAATCTCCTGCTGGGAGAGACTCAAGGCTGTTTGCCACAGGAATGAAACTGCGTGGTATACCAAGGGAGACAGTGAGTGGGGTCTTATTCCTTGATGGGCAGTTACCATAGGTGCCGCCAGAGAGCATATTTGCTCTCCCAACTGGTAACTTTATTGTGATTAAAATGTGCTCTCTTGCCATTGGTGATATGTGAGCATGTTTTGTCATAGAAGCCCTATCCTAGTTTCCCCAGCAACCTGATCATAGAGATGAATGGTTGTTTCAATTGGTGGTATATCACCAATGTTCTTTCATTCCCTGAGTGAGGTTTGGGCTGAACATGGCTACTTTGTACTACAGGGGTGGGGGACCTATTGAGAAGGCCCACTCTAACAGTCATGGAATTTGATGGATTCTGGAACGCTCCTGTTGAGGTTAGCGTCACACCATGGAATGAGAATACTCTTATAATTACATTTCCATTTTACAAGCAATGAGCATTAGTCTAGCCATTCTTTTAAATACCACAGAATATTAATGAATATTTGATATACCGTATTTTTCGCTCTATAGGACGCACTTTTTCCCCTTCAAAAATGAAGGGGAAATGTGTGTGCGTCCTATGGAGCGAAGATGCCATAGCCCCGTGACCCTCTCCCGGCTGCAGAGCTGACGCGCGGCTATAGAGGCTCCTGCCATAGCCGCGCGTCACCTCTCCAGCCGGGAGAGCGCGCGCGGGGCTAAAGCAGCCCCCCGCAACCCTCTCCCAGCTGGAGAGGTGACGCGCGGCTCCTGCCATAGCCGCGCGTCACCTCTCCAGCTGGGAGAGGGTCGCGGGGCTATGGCTCTTTAGCCCGCGCGCGCTCTCCCGGCTGGAAAGGTGACGCGTGGCTATGGCAGGAGCCTCCATGGCCGCGCGTCACCTCCCCAGCCGGGAGGCGCGCGCGGGCTAAAGAAGCACCCGCGACCCTCTCCCGGCTGGAGAGGTGACGCACGGCCATGGCAGGAGCCTCTCCGCTGCGCCTTTCCGCAGCTCCTGACCTGCTCTTTGGGGCTGGTGGTGGGCTTCCCCGCCAGCCCCAAAGAGCAGGTCGAGGACCTGAAGCCTGGAGAGCGAGAGGGGTCAGTGCACACCGACCCCTCTCGCTCTCCAGGCTTCCAAGGTAGCCGCCTGAACGCACCTTAAACGGCACCTTGTTTTAGAGCAGGAAAACAAGAGGGGGAAAGTTCTCCCCCTCTCTGTGCAGCGCCTCCTGCTGCTTCACTGAAGGGGCGCTGGGCAGAGAGGGGGAAAAAAATTTTCTTGTTCACCCCCCCCCCCCCCTAAAACAAAGTGCGTCCTATTGTCCGGTGCGTCCTATGGTGCGAAAAATACAGTAAAATCATTCTCTCTGTTTCCAGTTCAAATCTTCATTCATTCATTTATTCTTACATTCATATAACCAGCCTTTCTTGGATCATGGAATCCCACACAGCATCCAAGTGGGTCCTAGGCAGTCACCCCATATCCCATAATGACAGAGCTGCAACAAAAATGGTACCACCAAAACGCAAGAAAGGAAATATCAGGTACCCCCCCCCAAAAAAGCCTAAGAACAAAGGAAAAAATACTCAGGCAGTCCCAGAAATACTCAGTGACATTGAATATTGAGTGACTGAGGAGGGAGGCGAGATGAAGAATACAGTATAGGTAGAAAAACAGTAGAAAGAAACAGTTAATTGTCTAGATAGGTTATTTCCTGGCTCACACTGGGAAACTATTTTAAAATGTCACTATATGGATGGTAGAAATGACTGATCATAAATATTGGTGGAAAAGTCACAGATTTTAATGTAGCTGTGAGTCTGCGCGCGCGCGCACACACACACACACACACACACACACCAGCAATCCATAATGGAGCGAAACCCCAAAATGGGCAGGGGACTCAAAACAGGCCAGTAAGAACTGCACATGCTCAGTGAGTGTGGAATTCTGATGGACTGCTGGATGGGTGGGCATGGAGTGAAGTCAGGGGAACCATCAGTAGAAGGATTCCACACTGTCCCATTTTGCTTCAAGGCCCAACTTCTTACTCTTAACATTTAGATCAAGTGTAGACATCTTCAGTGTATTGATTAAATATCACAGCAGAGGCCTGGATCCTAACTTTTCATTCTGTGAACAGAAGGTGCTTTCCTACACAAATCCCCAACACCACACACACATACATAGATGGGGGGGGGGCGGCTTTCTGCTGCTCACAGAAAGGTCCCCTAGGTGAACTTAATTCTCCTTCCAGGAATGAGCACACTGTCTGTGAATGGAGCAAAACTTCCAGTCAAAGTCATAGTTCCCATAACATACTAGAAAGAATTAAATTTATCAAGACATTGTTTTCTAGTAACACAAATCCTGAAAAGGGGAAAAAACTTAGGTGGAATCTACATCTATATAAAAAAAACATTCTGAAAATGCTTCTTTTTAAAAAAGCGTTTTAAAAAATACATTGAATTTTCCATAAGGCTCACCATCGTCATCTAGTGTCACATTGTATATTGCACTTTAAACACCCTTAAAATGTTTTATTTGCAGCCGTATAGCTGAGTCCACAGTGTCTTTGGACAAATGTTTCTGGACCTTCAAAAATAAGTATGCGTAAAGTCAGACACTTTTCCATGAAAAAAGCCTTCCACTTTTCATGTATTTACTGCCTGAAACTTGTTTTTAACATAGAAGCCACATATAAAGCAATGCTTTTCAATGTGTTCTGTTACCGAAGAAAATAACAACAGGTCTTTTCTTTATTCATTTTATAACCTCCCTAAAACATTTAGATATATTCATATCAATATTAATTATCAATATATTGGTCGTTACATTCTCCAATGAACAAGCCATATTTCTACAAGCTGAGTTTGAAGTTTTTGGTGTTCATAAGAAGATAAGAAGTTTCTTAGGAGAAGGAATAATTCCAGGATTATTTATGCAGAAAAAAATGACTTATTCCTTGATTTATTTGGCAGTGTTGCTTGATAACATAATTTAAATATAATGTAATATGTTATAGTCAAGTATTGTAGCTATTCTGAGTTGTCAGCTGTGTTCAGTGGTACTCTGCTGAGTACCTTGAAATCCACACTCTAGGTCCCAGTACAACTTGAGCAAGCAGTGAATTGAATTTGGGAAAATTGTGCCTGACCATGCTCTTTCTAAAGATAATGTCAAATGTATTTTTGACTCCACTGAGTAGAAGTTAAGGTGACCTTGGATGTTCAGATTAATCTCCTAGGCCCTTCCTATCTCCCGTCAGGAACTATTGTATGCTCTCATCAACATTAATAAAAATTACACATTTGAACAAACAACAAAGAGGTCTATTGTTGTCCAATCTGCATAATAAAAATAAAACAAAGATGCACTGATGTTTTCTTTTCTTTTCCTTTCTTTAGGATTCTTTTCACCATGGAAGACTCCAAAACCTGTAAGTTTTCTTCTCAAAGTCTTTGCATTATGACATGTGATTATGTGCTAGTTATTGCTTTTGAGTGCATTCAGTTTCAGTGGGAGAGAATTAACTGGGTGCTTCAAGTGGCAGTCCTATAGCCCAAGTGCCATTCCCTCAGTGAAGAGGGAGGTCCATGAATGGGATGCCACCTGTGATACCAGAGGCCCCCTCCCCCGGCTCTAAAACAGAGGATTCCCAGGCTTGTGCTGCTGGGGGCAGCCATGTTTATTCAGGACCCAAAGCCTTGTTACTCTTCCCAACACATCCACAAAATTTCCCTGAAAATTTCCCTCCCATTATAGCTACTGAGTGGGAACATCAACTTAACATCAGTTAAGATTGAGAACAATACTATTTACTTTAGCTGGATTGTGTATTATGTGGTTATTTATCAGAATGCCTTTCTAACCATAAACACCTGGAAATAAACCCCATAGGACTGGATGGGGCTTCCTTTTGAAAGCATATGCTTAAGATCACACAGCACATCTTACCTCTTCAGGATTTTATACCGTCCTCATTTCAAGCAAGTTTGCAGAGTGGTCACAACATGGAAGTAAGCCTTTTTGAATTTAGTGGGGATTACCTACGGAACAGCATTTTTAGGATTATATTGTAACCTTTGTTCCTGTCTTTTGACCTGGAACCACCATGCTTCCTGTGCTTCAAAACTCTCTGCAAAAACAGCTAGCTAATTAGTATTTCTTCCTAACATCTAATCCTCCTTGCTTCCACCAGTCTGTTCAGCATAATTCACAAAGCATTTCTCAATAGGATTAGCCAAAGGTAAGTAGATTATATTAGATGCTGGCTGCCTTGTGGCCTGGCTGCAGGCAGGTATTTGTTATCTAAGCTAGGCAACAACATTTCAGACCTGCGGGAAAACTCAAGCCAAGGAAGTTCAGGGCAGAAACCCCATTTTCAGCCAAAGGGCCATGTTCTCCTCTTGGGCAACCTTCTGAAGGCCAGGCAACAGACATGGGCTAAGGCCAGCCAGAGGCCAAATAGCAGCAATGGCGGTGTCAGGAGGGGAGTTTGTGGCTCTGCCCCACCACACTGGCCACTCTTGGGGAAAGGGACGCAGAATGAGAGAGAGAGAATGAGAAATAAGCCTATCAACTGGCAGTGTTTTCATCCCTGTCTTCAACTTGTTGACAAAGACCTTCAAGCATTTCTGATGTGTCAACTAAGCACAGGCCTCCTATAGAATATTCAACAGTCAATAGTCTAGCTACTTTTCACATGGTGAATGCAACATATTTCTGTTGTATTTCTCTCGAAGGGAATAACAGAAATGGCAAAAGGAGTAAAATTATTTATATTCTTCACTGAGGAATGTGGCCCTCATGATGGAAAAGCTTCCCCACTCGTGTTTTACATAGTACTAGCTGCCATGTACTCTGCAAATACATCAAATCCTGTTTTTGGAGACTCTTGATGGGGAGGGCAGGGAAAGAGAACCCAGCCTGCTTCAGCCAGGTACAGATGAAATTCCTCAGCAAATCACCGCCCAAATCCCCACTGATGCAAAACACGCTTCTTTTTAAAAAGTGCTGATGGCTGTGGTATTGCTGACTGAGACCACAGGACAAAGATAAACTACAAACCGTGCTTTACCTTGTAATAATCACATCCATTATTGATAAAATGCTCAAGGCTGCAAACCTATACATATGTACTTGAGCGTGAGCCCGTGAAACCCAATGGGGCTGATTTCTGAGTAGGTACAGAATGCAAGCTATGAACCGCGTGGGCATTGTACAGTTTTGTATAAACAAGACGTCGCCCTTGCCTGCAGGTGTTCAGTCTAAACCTTTGTTTTCTGCTGTCTGTTATTTATTATAGATGATGGAACGATGGGAGAATCAAGGCAGTCCACAGACAAGTTTATCTGCTCCAGCTATCCCACAGAACATCCCCTTTCCGCCTGCCCTTCACAGGAGTTCTTTTCCTGATTCAACAGAGGCCTTTGACCCAAGGAAACCTGACCCATATGAGCTGTATGAGAAATCACGAGCTATTTATGAAAGTAGGCGTAAGTGACAAATATGGCCCCCCTCCGCAGAGCACTCGGAAACTTTAAACATTGCCTTATACACGTTCCAAAGCTGGCACAGTGGCACTGCTTGCCATAACTCAAAACAAACCAAATAATGAATCCAATTAGTGTAGATATTACCAAAAAAAACCACTGCCATGAGTGCCTTCATACATTTATCCTAAATTTGCCTCCATTTGAGAGTGTCTTCTATCTATGTCTCTACTGATTAATTGCAATATAAATAGACGGGAGCTCTGCAAAAGCCATAACTGCTTTTGGTTGGTGCCTGTAATCATTTGCTTGCGTGTAAATTGGCATTTTGTTTAGGTTACCTGCTCTGACTCTCCCGCCCAACAATGCAGAACAATGAATGTCAAGTTATTTTTACAATGCAACCTTTGTTATATTTCACAATGAAAGCGCTTGAAAACGTACATCTATTTTCCCTGGTGTATTTGCAGTCCTATCAGAATGCTGTATTGAAAATAAGACCTGCACGTTTTTAATGGATATTATAAAGTGTCTTCCGGCATCTTACAGTAGGGTGTCATATTTATAGCTTCTGGTCTCCCAGGACCAAATTAGATGAAACAATGGCTGAGTCAGGATGAAAGAAATGAGCAAATGAGGAAGTTCTTGTGGATGGGGGAGCTTTGTGGGTGCGAAAGAGAGGCCCATGCATACAAAGAGCTTTCTGCTAGAATGGGAAGTCATATTCTCACTCCTTTATGTGTGTGTGTGAGAGAGAGAGAGACAGACAGACAGAGCATTATTTAGACATAGTGCTAAACTGTGGCTTAGTGTTATGCCTGAATGTACTCATAGTCTCGTTCATACTTAAGGCTCCTGGCGTTTGCCTCCTATGAGGAAGCGCGCAGCTTCCTCGGACACTGCATTACACAACACTACACTACTGTACGGGACGCGGGTGGCGCGGTGGGTTAAACCACAGAGCCTAGGACTTGCCGATCAGAAGGTCATCAGTTCGAATCCCCGCGACGGGGTGAGCTCCCATTGCTCGGTCCCTGCTCCTGCCAACCTAGCAGTTCGAAAGCATGTCAAAGTGCAAGTAGATAAGTAGGTACCGCTCCAGCAGGAAGGTAAACAGTGTTTCCGTGTGCTGCTCTGGTTCGCCAGAAGCGGCTTAGTCATGCTGGCCACATGACCTTGAAGCTGTACGCCTGCTCCCTCAGCCAATAAAGCGAGATGAGCACCGCAACCCCAGAGTTGGTCATGACTGGACCTAATGGTCAGGGGTCCCTTTACCTTTACCTTTACACTACTGTACAAGAGATTCCCCCAACATTACAGTAAATACATTAGCTGTAATCTTTGTGGGCTTCAGCCATGGTGTTTCTCAGAATTACCTTCATTTGGGCCTGTATACAAATGTGGACCAAGAAACCTGGAATGGAATTAGTAATGACCCTATTCAAACCCATTTTTGGAAAACAAGCTTGGATTGATTTTTGACTTGCCTTTTCCCCTTGGTACATCTATTGCTTTAGTGGCAGAATGTGGATGTGGTGCTGAAAGGTTATTCCCCAGCGAACTCCCTTCTGGGAATGGTTGTCAGAAGGAGTGACGGGAGGACCTGTAATTAGCAAGCACTTTTTGAAACTCAGCATCTTTGCTTAAAAGATACTTGACTTGATCTAACACTTTAAAGACAGGGCAGTCCTTTTCCCAATAATTGCTCCCCATATGGGAGTCGCTCAACAGTAAATGAAATATTTTCACAGAGTCTTGCACTTGTTATTCAGCAGGGAGGCTCTTGAATAAAACTACTATAGACAGAGTCGAAAAGTGCAGAGTAAAGATTAACTTCTATCTGGTTAATTAAAAAAAAGCTTGAGAGATAAAGAAGAATTAAAGAAGGCATAAATCAGTAGAAGAGATTATAACATGGGTAGGCAAACTAAGGCCCGGGGGCCAGATCCGGCCCAATCACCTTCTAAATCTGGCCCGCGGACGGTCCGGGAATCAGCGTGTCTTTACATGAGTAGAATGTGTCCTTTTATTTAAAATGTATCTCTGAGTTATTTGTGGTGCATAGGAATTCGTTCATTCTGCCCCCATCTCCCCCCAAAAATAGTCCCGTCCCCCACAAGGTCTGAGGGACAGTGGATAGCTGCTGAAAACGTTTGCTGACCCCTGGATTATAATCTTCAGCCTGGGACAAAGAATATATTTTCAGAGGATTACCTAATATCAAGTAATTTGTAAGGGTCATATTTAATTCATATTTTGGCCTAAATGTCATTTCAAACCTTCAAGTTAAGCAAAAGTTAATTAAGTTTTGAACCTTGTAGCCTATATTAAAAACTGTTACAGTGGATCCCAAATGTTCCTGTGTACCTGAAAGAACATCTGCACCCCCATCGTTCAGCCCAGACACTGAGGCCCAGTTCCGAGGGTCTTTTGGCTGTTTCCTCATTGAGAGAATTGAAATGACAGGGAACCAGGCAGAGGACCTTCTCAGTAGTGGCCACTGCCCTGTGGAACGCCCTCCGATCAGATGTCAAACAGATAAACAACTACACAAGTTTCCGAAGACATCTGAAGGCAGCCTGGTATCAGGAAGTTTTCAATGTTTGATGTTTGCTGTATTTTTATTATGTTGGAAGCCATACATAGTGGCTGGGGCAAATCAGTTTGACATCTGATAGCAGGGCTTTCCACTGGGTGGGCACCACTGGTTCCCTGTAAGTTCAGTTCTTGCAGTGAGGGAACTGCCAGAAGACTTTTGGAACTGGACCTCTGTGTCCAGGGATGGAGATGCTCCTTCAGGTCTACAGTACCAAAGCCATTTAGGGCTTTAAAGGCCAGCATCAACACTTTGGTGAGCTTACAGAGGCTGCTCACCAATATAATTTTGCTTCATCTGGAAATGAAACAACCTTAACCTCTTACGTTAAAATTTATGCAATTCACACACCTGACTTCTTGTCAGTCTGCTCATAACACTAACGTGACTGTTTGGGTGGATTGTGATTCATTTTAGGAATGAGTAGCAAATTATCTCTGGAGACCATTGACCCTCCTTATAGCGTTGGACTCCAACTCCCATCAGCCACAGCCAGCATGGTCAGGGATAGTGGGAGTTGTAGTCCAGCAACATCTGGAGGGCCACAGATTCCCCACTATGGCCATAGATGGTTTTGAAGCAAACTGTTTAGCACAAAAAAATCAAAATGTTGTGTGTTATTGTGCTCATGTCCTGCTTACAGGCTCCCCATAGGCATCTAGTTAGCCCCTGAGAGAACAAAATGCTGGACTAGATGGACCGTGGATCTGATCAAGCAGGGCTTTATGTTCTTGTATAATAAAGGAAGCATTAAGAACAAACACAAACATTGCAGAAAGCCTTAATCAAGGGTTCCATTGGCCAAGCAAGCCTTAAGACTACACCACCATATGCCCTTCTTCACATTGCTACAATGCATTGTTTCGATTTCTTGTGGCTGCGTTATATTGTCTTAATATATTAACTAGATTGCCTGTTTTATTGGGTGTAATTTGCTTCCTGAGCAAGACAATACAGAAAAGTGCCCTGGGAACATTCAACATCAATTTGAAACCCCAACCGGTTCGTGGTATGCTGCAGCAATTAGACTGGCAGGGGATCTGCGGAATAATTAGCCCAATATGTTGCATAACATCTTACGCCAGCAAAATTTCCACTTTGGATGTGAGCACCCTTTTCTCATGCAACTCTCTTATGCAAAGTTTCAGAACAGCCTTCTGCTAGCAGAAAGGGCTTTGCACCAGCAGAAAGGCAACATTGGGTGCAGTCTGATTTTAGTGATTCTCTTGAAATGTGCACCTGAGCTCGAGTGAATGCAATGAGGCTTTTCCATTCCTTTCCTCAACTTCATTTTCCCTTTAGGGTGCAATCCAAGGTGCTCTTTATACTGAGGAGATGGGAGGGTCATTATAAGCCTTGCTGCATTATTTCCTTGAATGTTGGCCAATGGAAGTTTCCTCTCACCCATATAGTCCTGTGGAAGAATGTTATAGCAGCCCATGGTCATCGTTGGCATATTTTTTTATGCTGATAGTGCTTAGATTCCAAGATTTTCCCCAGTGAGAGCAGAACATGCATCTTTCTAGTGAAATGAGCTGTATTGCTTGCTAAACTAAGGGAAATTCTAGAGGTGATATTAAATGAGCAAAAGAGGGTTTGGGGGAGAGTGGTTTTATTTTTCATTCGATTTTGCATAAAACGTGCTTGAGATGCTAAACCCGTCCTCACTTTCCTCCCTCAGTTATTTTTCTGCTTTGAAAATTGGCTGCTGGATTTAAAGTGAGAGTTTCCCTGAAGCTTTCTATATTAAGACATCAATCATGCACCAAAGTATAAAGTTGTCAGAAATCCACAGAAAATTCTAAAGTACACAATGGTATATCCTTTGTGTTTTCCATAACACAAAACCATTAAGCAGCTTTGTATTTCTGAGGTTACAATGCTTGTGAGGTTACAATTTGTGTTTAATGTGTGTACATACAAATACATATACAGAATCAGAAGCACTTCAAATTGCAATCCAAGGCTGATGGGTGACATGCAAGTGCCATTAAACAGGAAAACAAGATGCTGCTGAAACTTAAAATGTGAACCATGAGATATTCAGCTTTAACTAAACACACACACACACACACACACACACGCAAGAACTAAAAAATGTCACTAACAGCATAACCCTACATATGTCTACTCAGAAGTAAGTCCCACTGAGTTCAATAGCAATTACTCCTGGGTTAGTTGGTATAGGTATACAGCCTAAAATGCTTATTATTGCAAAACCTTGTAATGCTTGTTAGTGTGATGAAAGAGGCTACAAATATTCCTGAACTTCTGGGTATTATAAAAACCCAGTCAGAGAGAGTTTCTTACTTTGTAGTGTTGATTAGTATATACAAGGTTGCGAAATATGTAAGACTCATTTCAAGTTTACTTGAAAGAGATCTCCTATACGCAGATTTCCCTAGTACGAAAAAGGGCAGAATTAATAACCCTAAACATTTACAGCCTGAGATTTATTAATAGCTTTTTCTGTAAATGACTTGCTCCTGCATTTTAATGCATACTTCATATTTTCTGTCTTTGGATATAAAGCTGCAGGAGATAATTTGAGAATTAGTTAAGTATATATGCAATCAGGCAAATTGGCTGAAGAGCATCTGTAGTATATCTCTTTGAAGGAGAGTGTTGAATAAAGGAGAATGTTAAGTCATTACAGTGCTCCCTAAGCCCATTCTAGCCAAAAGGATGGGCAGGACAACTTATGAGTTAGCAAGCAGAGTTATTCTATACACGTAAGCCCCACTGAGTTCAATGAGACTAACTTCAAGGTAAGTGTGCATAGATTCCCCATGCACATTTACCTGTGCACTTCATAGAAGCGTCAGCATCTGTGGAGGGACAAGGTGGTGGCAGAATTTACTGTGGCTGCCTAGCCTGTGGTTCAAAAGTCACCTGGCATCCACTACACTCATTATTAGCTACAGTTGAAATATAAGAAGTGTGAAATCCCTGCTTTGTCCCCTTTGTGGCATTTCTAAGAACCTAGGACCAGTTCAGAACCTCTAGAGGAATATATGGGGGGGTCGGTCTTCTTTGCCCTTATTGTGGAAGCTACACTCTCCTTCCGATCCCCATGAAGGAAACAGCTACATGGTTTCCCATTGTATTGTCTGCTACATAACAATCTAATTAACACATGTCCTATGTATTTTGTCCGGTATGCTGTAGGCAATTTGTGTGCAATATAATTAACAAGTTGCCCTTTACATATATCTCAAGGTGACTTACAAACGTACCATTAAAAACAGCTAAAACAGTTTTTAAAATGGTCCCAAACACAATGATTTGTTTTTACAAGAGGGTGATGAGAAGATACAAAGAAGTTAAAGGTAAAGGGACCCCTGACCATTAAGTCCAGTCGCGGATGACTCTGGGGTTTCTGCGCTCATCTTGCTTTACTGACCGAGGGAGCTGGTGTTTGTCCGCAGACAGCTTCCGGGTCATGTGGCCAGCATGACTAAGCCGCTTCTGGCATTACCAGAGCAGCGCACAGAAACACGGTTTACCTTCCCGCTGGAGTGGTACCTATTTATCTGCTTGCACTTTGACGTGTTTTCGAACTGCTAGATTGGCAGGAGCAGGGACCAAGCAACGGGAGCTCACCCCATTGCGGGGATTCGAACCACCAACCTTCTGATCCACAAGCCCTAGGCTCTGTGGTTTAGACCACAGCGCCACCTGCGTCCCTACAAAGAAGTTAGAGCTTTGATTAAAAATAAGGTTAAGAATATGTTCAGAAAATGGGCAATAAGTAAGCTTGCCAAATTCATCTCTCTTCCCCTCCTCATCTCTGTAGCTGCATTTTTACACACTGGTTTCAGCAAGCCCTACCGAAACCCTGCCATGAATGGCGAAGAATGTTACTATGGAATAGTTTTCCCCCATTGACAAGAGGGAGAATCAGAACTCTGTTTCCAAATTTAGTATTTCACACATTACTGTTTCCCGTGGACTAAATATAGGCTCTGGTACCTCAACTGCATGTTAGAGTGACCACGATCTCTTTCTTGGCTGTGAGTGTCAAGTAGAGCACACATGTTATGTAACATTTCACTGGCAGAATAACCATTATTTGCTTTGGGGGGCTCCTGTGAGCTACTATGGCAACTTTGCAGTCTGTGCATATCCGCCTCCCACCCACCTCCCCAAAATGACATGCTAAAAACTAATGTTTAGAACGGCCTTTTTTGTCAGCCATTCAGTAAAATTGCCTTCATTCTGGGGGGAAATGTAGCTAGAGCTTCTTCCTGCCCACTTTTTAAAAGCACATTTAGATGTTGGATAATACAAAACATATATTTCTCAAACTATTCTGAGGAAATCATAGGCTAGGGAACTTGTGGCCATCAGTCCCATCCTGGCATGGCCAACAGTCAGGGACGGCGAGAGTTGTGATCCAGAAACCGTCAGTCCCACATCCCTGCCGTAAAGTATCTTCAAGGATCATAAGCTATTGGTCCCATTTCCTGCACGCATACACACAAAATACATATTTACACTTCTTTCTCCAGATCTAGGAGATGTGATAGTTCATACATTTTGTGAATTTAAAATAGGAATTAACCCTCCTGGCATCACAGGGAATACACATCAAATGGAGAGGAAAATGTAAGCAGCAAAGATTAAACTTTTCCCTGTGCGGCTCATCTTGGCAGAAAGAGTTACTCGTCATGGCAAAATGTTTTTGTTGGTTATAGAAGCTGACAATGTATCCAAAAGCATTTCCAGATGAGATTATGAAAATATCAGCATTAGAGAAAGTGCTGTGGATGAGAAGTGGTTTTGATTGCTGGCTGGCAAGGCGGCCCCAGAGGACTTACGCTAATAGAAAGTGTCAGCTCTGCGACTGATGGCTGTATTAAAGACGTAGCAATCAGCTTCTCTTCAGCCCGGCACACATTTACAAAAAGTTGCACAAGTTACATTTGCAGTTAGACAATTAGAAGGCTTTTATCTGAGAAGCGATGCAATGGGAATTTCACCGTGTAACTGAAGGAATGAAACATAAACCAGCCATCATAATTTATTATCTTCTAAAAGACCAGTCCTACAGCTGTAAGTCCCACTGTGTTCAATGTAGCATTCATAGGAGTGAATCCTCACGGTGTATGTCTGTGTGGAAGTGTACCTAGGATGACAGTATCCTGTGGCAAAGAGTGGACTGATACTAGAAAGAAGGGGAAGGCATGAGAGTTGGCTTCTTCTTCCTATGGATCAGAAGAGGCTCACCCGATAGGAGGGAGAGGAAGAAAGCAGCAGGGAAGTCAACACAGTGCAGGCTTATCAGCAATGTCACTGCCAGGGAACTATAATAAATAATATAAAAAACTAGTGCTGTGTCTCCACCCCACTGGGAAGCTGCTTCTACTCTGGATGTAGAATCCATTGATTGCCTTCTCTAGTCTTGATGTGTCATCCCTCCGGTGCATCAGCTCCATTTCTGAATGGTGGTTTGAACTTTCATGTGATCTGGCCTCTGATAGTTTTCTCATACCAGCAATAGGAAGATTTTTTTTCCAAAAAGTCTGAGCAAAATAGACCGACTCTGTAACAACTATTCAGTCATTTTTTCTCCCAGATTTCATATTCTGTTTGTTTACAAAATATGCATATTGGGCAATAATCAATATAATAAGAAATGTTTTTCTCGGGGGGGAAATGGCAGCCAGAGATTTCTAGTTTAAATAGTAATTATTCAAGCATTGCACTGTAGAACCACAACACTAGATATATTCCTTTCCATGGAAACAAAGCTGGAATTAATAATTTTATTGAAATATATATTGTCACACACAAGTAATTATTTGGAATACCTAACATGATCTACTGGATGATTATTATTCACCAAACTAATTGATTTGGCGGGGGGGGGATAGAAAAAAGGTATATGTAATTCACTGAAGCTGGAACTGCAGAAAATCCCCAGATATGTAGCCACTAATTTCTCCAAAATCTATGATAGTTTCCAGCATATATGCTATGCACCAATTCAAGATTGGGAACAAATGAGTACACAAATTGCAGACAACCTCACTTGGGGCAGGACAGGACATCATTATGATCATGAAGCCATAAATTGCCGTTCAATCAGCCTAATCAAATTATGCCCATCTAATTTTGGACAAATGTTAAAAGTTGCTTCCTTGGAAGAGGGATCAACTGTAAAATAACTCTGTAACTGTAGCTCTGTGAGCAGAATAGGGGTATATAGTTCCCAGGATTCTTTGGGGGAAGCCATGGCTGTTTGAAGTGGTATGATACTGCTTTAAATGTAGAGTGCAGATGGAGCATCAGTGAGTCTTCCCCCCACCCACTCACTCTACTGATGGTTAAGAGCAGTTCTAGAAACAGGGTTGTGCTGTATACATACATCAGTATTCCAGCAGTTTGAGTACTATAGCTTCCCCCAGAGCATGCTGGGAATTGTAGTATGCTGAGGTTGCCAGGGGTTCTCTGTCTAAAATCCCTGGCTTCCTGACAGAAGCACCATGTCCAGGATTCCTTGATGAGAGTGAAGACCAGACTTGACCAGTTTAAGAGCCAAGCTGGAAGACATCACTCAGTTTTTTAAAAATAAAAAATAGCTGGGGGAGGAGCAATTTTTATCAGGAGTACAGTACACAAAGGGAAGATTTAAATTTACCCTTCCCAGACTAAATCCTTGAAAATCGCCCCCAAAGCGAGTAAAGCATTTTTTACAAGACTAATAGAGGGGCATTTCAGCCACTGATGAAAGGGTTAAACTGTTCCTCTGTGCATAGCAGTCCTGATGAAAATATCCTTCCACTCCACATGTCAATATCATCATCATCATCATCATTTTATTTGTATGCCAACAATTAAAACAATGCTCAAGGCGGCTTACAATATGTCTGCTATTGTAATAATAATAATAATAATAATAATCCCTAATGTTCTTCCATTCAGCATCATGACTAGTTTTGCCCTGAATCTGCAGTGTAAATCCAGGCTTGGTCAAACTGAAAACCCAAGAGAAATTGGTCTATCTCTTCCGCACTAGGCTAGATGTGGCCCCTCAGCAACAGCTGCTTGAGCATTTGGAGATTTGTCCAGACTTGAACTGAGGGCTGTCACATATGAGATTCAGAAGCATTAAAGTGTCTGTGTTCATATGATTTGGTTGTGCTGTAACTGTGCTAGCCAGAGTGCCTCCATTTCTGCACATAGCTCTTGCTTGTTCCTGGTTTTTGTTCCTCTTAACCCAGACGAGATCCCCACATATGTATGGGCAACCACAGAGACTGTGTTTATGTTCAGAAGGACAAGTCTATACTTGCCTGTTCTATTACTCAACCATCCAGGGATCAGGTTGTGCCCTGGGGCAGCTAATAACCAAGTTTTCCTGTAAATTTATAGTCAGTTCTATTTGTCAGGGTTTGGAGGGGTCTTTGGTGTTCAGTCTTCCATCACAGCTGGAAAAAATGAAATCCATGCTGTGCATCTCTGCAGAAGAGGTAGAAAAGAGCATGAATTTCTAATTCCTGCCATCTGCTTTTGTGACCAAACAAGCTATAAACTGCCTGCACATTGTGAAACCTAATGAACATAGACACAACTTTGTACTTTTTATTTGCCTGACTAAAATAAAATGAGTAGATGTGTATAGGGTTGCATTGTAAATCTTATCAATGTCCCAAAAAACCCTTTAACATATACACTGAGCAGGGCAAGCTTGTTTCATTTGAAGTATTTAACTTAATGCTGAAGGCTGTCATTTGAAAAGAAAGTGTGGTATTTTTTTTTTATTTACCAACTGCATGTTGATAACAAGCAACTGATATATCATTGAATTGAAGTTACTTCTTAATTTGCTCTGTTTTCAAAGAATGTATCTATACAAATATGCTTCAGCTAAACCAGACAAAATAACGTGAGAAAAGTCTGTTCAAAGATTAAATAAATAAAAAGAGTTTGCTATTTCATACTGAAGCAGAAAAAAGCAAGAACTGCATATTTACATGTCTAGACAAATTTATTTCACCTTTAATTCCACATTTTCCTATTCAGAGCAAGTGCCACCCAGGACTGGTTTTCGAATGGATTCCTCTGGCAAGTATTTCTCTGCCTTCATTGTGCTAACATAACTATTGTCCATTGCATGTCCTTGTGACTGTGCTTCTTTTAATCATGGCTCCGGAGTCGGGTAAATCATGAGTGCCTAATCACCATTCTGCATTGTTTTTCTCCTTTAAAAAGACAAAGACTTTTCATCTAATAAATACCCATTATGGGAAGGAGCAAGTGTTCCTTAAAAAAAAAAAAAATCTCAAAACATATATGTGGAAACATGTAACCATGTTTATGATCATTAGATTAATAAACTTAATAACATATCAAAGTCCAGAGGATTTGTGTTCACATTAATTGTCATTTAGGCTTTCACAATAATATAGGCTGTCCTGCCTACAGAAACAGTGGGATAGAGGGACAGGTGGATCCTGTTCTGTCATCCTTGTAGAGAGCCAGTGTGGTTTAGTGGTTAAGAGCAGTAGACTTGTAATCTGGTGAACCGGGTTCGCTTCCCCGCTCCTCCACATGCAGCTGCTGGGTGACCTTGGGCCAGTCACACTTCTCTGAAGTCCCTCAGCCCCACTCACTTCACAGAGTGTTTGTTGTGGCGGAGGAAGGGAAAGGAGAATGTTAGTCGCTTTGAGACTCCTTCGGGTAGTGATAAAGCGGGATATCAAATCCAAAATCTTTTTCTTCTTGTATGTAATTTTTATTTTTATTATTTCTTTTAAAAGTAGCCCTTCACTTCCATGCCATAATGGTATCAGTAGCAGATGGCAGGGCAGGGCATCACTTCTCACTTGACCTCCAGTTAGTCAGGTCACCGCAGCTTACCAGGACAGAGAGTGGGAAGGGCAAGGCAGCAAGGTTGGTGGGGTGCAAATGTATCAGCAGAGCCAATCCATTGCTCCTGCAGGTGCATTTGCACTGCACCAACCTGGTCTCTCTCTCTCTCTCTCCCTCCCAGTAAGCAGCAGCAATGCAAATGACCAGAGTTCAGGTAAGCGCCAGTGCCCCACCACTGTGCTCTGGTGGGCTTGGTGTTATGACGAAATACATGGGCATATGGATAAGTTCACAGAACAACACAACCCCCTGATCTGACAAACCGAAAGGGTGAAGTGGTGCTGTCTCTATGCCTGGCTCTGCTTGGCTCCTTTGGGCTCCACCAGCAGAAGCTGAAAGCATGGGAAGTGAAAGCTATAGCTACCAGCAGGAAACCCTCAAAAAGTGATGCTTCTGAGGTACAGTGGGAAGCAGGAAGGATGGAATTGGCCTGGCCAAGGATCTGCTGTGTCCTAAGTTGGTTCAGCAACCAGCAGTGTGCACAAACCAATAGGTGCAGCAAACCATGGGTTGAAACTGCCTCCGCTTTCCCCCCGGCTTGTGTGCGCAGCAGGACTGCTGGGTGAAGTGGTGGCTCCCTTTGTCATCTTCAAAGAATGCATACAGTATGTTGTTATGGTAATGAAGGCTACTGCTCTTTTTTCATCAAGCAGTACTAGTGATATATTTAACTGCTGGGCCTTCCTGCTGGAAAGAGGGGCATTTCTTGAATTTCTGCATGCTATGGAACTGTTAATGGATGGTTCATGAGGCCTGCCCAAAGTTCACAAACTTAACCTAAGCCTCCAGGTTGGCCTCCCTAGTATTTTTAATTCTCCTACTTTTCTACAGTGTTTGCTTGAAATATACTCGTAGTCGAGAGTGGATTTCATGCTCTTTATTCATCTCATAGTGGTGAGGAGGAATGAATGAATGTCCCCTCAAAGTATCTGCTTTATATACATTATTTACACAATGGACTGCACGTGATTGGCTAATTCCGGGGTTCTCCTGTAGGCCAATCAGGTTGTGGATTCACTTCCACCTGGAGCTGGATTGGGTGGCTCCTGTGGACCAATCATACTGCTGCATTGTTCTAGGACCAGACTGCTGCATTCTGAATCCTGTTGTTCTAGGACCAATCAGACTGCTGCATTTTGGATCCTGTTGTTCTAGAACCAATCAGACTGCTGCATTTTGGATCCTATTCAACTCAGTACATAACATTGCTCTTTAGTTGAATTGAAAACATTGGATTGGATGCAAAGGTTGCATTTCTCTAAAGGAAGAAGCTTCCTCTAGTGGATCCAATTCATTGCATTTCCAAAAACATTTGCATTGGAATTCTACTTCTCTCTCCTTGACATTTTGTCTCTCAGGCAAAGATAAAGGGAAAATTCTCCTCTTGTTGCCACTTCCTATTATTTAAAGTTGGTGACCAGTGGGCTGTTTGCTTTACAAAGCACAGTCTCTGCCTTGAGGGCTTATTGTGCTCGAATGTTTTGGTTTCCGGGAAAACTGAATAAACATGGGCACCATTCCTTTTCATGAAGCTCTCTATTTATTTTCATTACAATGTAGACAAGATTCAAGTACAGAAATATATAATACACCGTTTCTAGCTTAAGCCAGTGTGAAAGGTTAATCCCCCGAAACATTTGTGAGGCCTCCATTCATAAAATACAACTTTCTACATTTATCAACAATAAATTATTAAGAAGTGCATGGTGAAAAATTCAGCTTGAAAAATGGTAGAGTATACATATCATAGAAACATAGAATCATAGAATCATAGAGTTGGAAGAGACCACAAGGGCCATCGAGTCCAACCCCCTGCCAAGCAGGAAACACCATCAGAGCACTCCTGACATATGGTTGTCAAGCCTCTGCTTAAAGACCTCCAAAGAAGGAGACTCCACCACACACCTTGGCAGCAAATTCCACTGTCGAACAGCTCTTACTGTCAGGAAGTTCTTCCTAATGTTTAGGTGGAATCTTCTTTCTTGTAGTTTGGATCCATTGCTCCGTGTCCGCTTCTCTGGAGCAGCAGAAAACAACCTTTCTCCCTCCTCTATGTGACATCCTTTTATATATTTGAACATGGCTATCATATCACCCCTTAACCTCCTCTTCTCCAGGCTAAACATGCCCAGCTCTCTTAGCCGTTCCTCATAAGGCATCGTTTCCAGGCCTTGGACCATTTTGGTTGCCCTCCTCTGGACACGTTCCAGTTTGTCAATGTCCTTCTTGAACTGTAGTGCCCAGAACTGGACACAGTACTCCAGGTGAGGTCTGACCAGAGCAGAATACAGTGGCACTATTACTTCCCTTGATCTAGATGCTATACTCCTATTGATGAGGCCCAGAATTGCATTGGCTTTTTTAGCTGCCGCGTCACACTGTTGGCTCATGTCAAGTTTGTGGTCAACCAAGACACCTAGATCCTTTTCACATGTACTGCTCTCAAGCCAGGTGTCCCCCATCTTGTATTTGTGCCTCTCATTTTTTTCCCCCAAGTGCAGTACTTTACATTTCTCCCTGTTAAAATTCATCTTGTTTGTTTTGGCCCAGTTCTCTAATCTGTCAAGGTCGTTTTGAAGTGTGATCCTGTCCTCTGGGGTGTTAGCCACCCCTCCCAATTTGGTGTCATCTGCAAATTTGATCAGGATGCCCTTGAGTCCATCATCCAAGTCGTTGATAAAGATGTTGAATAAGACCGGGCCCAAGACAGAACCCTGTGGCACCCCACTAGTCACTCTTCTCCAGGATGAAGAGGAACCATTGATGAGCACCCTTTGGGTTCGGTCAGTCAGCCAGTTACAAATCCACTGAGTGGTAGCATAGTCAAGACCACATTTTACCAGCTTCTTTATCCATGGCCATATCCATATCCATGGCCCATATTGGATCCTGCTGTTATTTATTCATTTGTCCCCCCCCCCCCAAAAAAAGCCAATCACTTCGATTTTTAATTATTACTAAATGACCTAGTATTTATTTTGCTGAAACATATTTCTGAGTAGCTTCAAAACGTTACTTTGGGGACATTCCATAGCAAATCAATGAACATGGGCTGAATTATTAATAGTTATGGATTTTACTATACATGTTGACCTTTTAAAAGAATTTTTAAATTATTTTCTTTGGGACATATTCTGACCGTGTCCAACCTGCTATGCTACAATAGTTTCATATAGGAATTGCTAACAGTCAGGTAAAAGAGCCCTACTAACACAAATGTCCCAGGAATAATTCTGCTGGTTCCAAAGGGTAAGGATGTTCTTTTTTTAAAAAAAAAAAATCACATTTCACTATTGTGGGGGGAGTGGAATGTATAGAGAGCCACCAATCGCTGCTATTTAGAAAAAGGGAAGTTTTTCTTTTTTCTTTTTTAAATAATATTTATTAAAGTTTCACAAAAAAAGAATCACATTAATAAAAAAGAAAAATTTAAGAATAAAAAGAAAAATACACAATACAAAATACAAAAGGAAAAAAGAAAAAACAGTTAAAAACAATTCCGTCTTTTCATGACTTCTTTTACATTTACTTGTTTCCCGGACCTCCTCATACCTCCCGCTGTTGTATTCCAAATCCGTTTGTTAGTCCAGCAATTTCTTCCCTCCTTTTTAATCCCAATCCTTAATCTTAATATATTATAACATTAAGTTTTTACCTATTAAAAACCAATTTCTCCATTCTTTTAACCTTTGAAATCCTAATCCTTAATCTTGATATATTTATAACTTTAAAGCCTGTACAGCTAGAAGCCACTTAACTTCAATCCAACATCACTCTAACATTCATTAATTTTGCAATATTTCTGTAAATAATCTTTAAATTTCTTCCAATCTTCTTCCACCGACTCTTCTCCCTGGTCACGGATTCTGCCAGTCATTTCCGCCAATTCCATGTAGCCCATCATTTTCATCTGCCATTCCTCCAGTGTGGGTAGCTCTTGTGTCTTCCAATACTTTGCGATGAGTATTCTTGCTGCTGAAAAAGGGAAGTTTTTCATTCCTGGAACAACCTCCTTCCTCTAGACCAGGGTGGTCCAACATGCTGCCATCCCAAAGCCAGGCAACCAAGCTGCTGGGCTTCCTTGTGCCCAAAGCCTAATATTTAGCACTTTCTCAGCTTTGGGAAGGAGATGGGAGAGCCTCACACCTCCCCAAAGCCCGACACCTCGCTTAGCCGGCTTTGGGAAGGCAGTACAGGGGCTGGTGGGGGTATACAATTTTGGGCTTACTCCCCCCCCCCCAAATACACACACAGAGAGAGAGAGAGAGAGAGTATCCTAAATCCCTGTTATCTTCATTACAGATAAAACTATTCACACTTTAGAACATTTCAAATGCATTTCAGATAACCTTACAATAATGTAGGTTCAAAGTAAACATGACAGTAGCAGGTCTTTGTCAGTCCAGATTATTATTATTATTATTAAGTTTTATATACTACGCTTCGTCACAGGGTGGTACTGCAGTCACAGAAAAAACTGGCTGCTCTAGCGAGGGGTTGCTCCACCCTTCTCCTGCCCACATCTTCCTTCCCTGATAGGGGAGCATTAGGGCACACACTTATTAGCCTATTTTGCTGTTAAAAATCAGAACTCCTCTCCTGCTCTATATGTTATATGGGCAGGTCCAGGTTTAAACCTATATAACTGTCAACATCACAGCTCATCTGTCCCTCAGCCCCAGTTTTTACAGGTGGCACTAATGACAGTGATCATGAGCCTTCAGAGCAGGGGTTCTTCAAAACTGGTATTTTAAATGATGGGGCTCAAAGTTTTTGCAGCAGGGTTCTCATGCTACAAAATCTCCCTGGTTTTAAACAATGCGTTTCCATCAAGGAACAAATGACAAGATGAAATTGGCTTGTGGAGTTCACTGCCGCAGGCTTCCTAGCTCAGATGCCTTTCAAAGAGGAACCGACCAAATCAAGGAGAGTCAGTCAATGGCTACTTGTCATGAGGACTCTATGCAGATTCCATGTTTGGAGTTTCTTTGGGGAGAAGAGCTCATTTCCTGCTTCTGGGCCTCCCAAAGGCATCTGGCAGGCAACTGCATGAAGCAGGATGCTGAACTAGATGGACCGCTGCTGTGATCTAGCAAAACTTCTTGTATGTTCTTAAGGCATTCCTTATGGTGGGAAAATAGTGGGAAAGGAGCGGCAGGAAGTCATATGTGCAAGATTAAAATTGTTTACGCCACTCCTCAGACATCAGGGTAAACCCACTTACTTCTAAATAGAGAATTTCTCATTGGAAGGAGGACAATGCAATGTGCCTCTTACAAATACTCTTATTCATATTCAGAATGCAGAGCAGTTTATGTGTAGCAGTCAATTTTCCTTCATTCAGAGTTACCTTGTGGCATTTGATTTGATAGTTCCATCTTCAAGTACCTGTGTTTTCTTCCTGTCCGTATTCAACACATTCTGTCTTGTTTCCGTTTGCATCGGCTCTGGTGGGACTGTCATGTATCATTTAATGATCTAAACACTGGGCAGCTCTGTTTTTTGTAGAAAGAAACTCAAAGCATTTTACACCTAAATGACATCTTATCTTATACCAGGTCCAGATTACAAGGAGTTGGATGTTCATCTTCGGAGAATGGAATCTGGATTTGGCTTCAGAATCCTTGGAGGAGATGAACCTGGACAGCCCGTGAGTTGTTTCTTTTGACTTTCTACTCTATAGCTTCAGCATCTTCACTATCTGTCAGAAAAATATCACTTTGTATAATGGTCATATTGGAACAGCACTTTTTCTTGTTCAGACATTGAAAAAGACAGGACTCTTGAGCTATCAGCCTCTCCATCTAAAATCTGTCATTGTGAATCAGTCTGTATTAAGTTACCAGGAGTATATTCTCCAACCTTTTACACAGTTCATTTTTCTGTGACATCTTTCAATTACTGACTTACATGACATGATTGGCTTCCGCAGATGGTCAGGGCCTTGCTTTTACAACAGCCAAATAAGATTCAAACTTAGTAGGAACAAACGAATGTCATGCTTTGAGAGACACAGCACTGAGAAACGTTTGCTGGATAAATACAGTAATTTTGAGATTTGAAACTGCCCACTGTTTATATTGCACATTCTTGAGAAAATGTAACAGACATCCTGAAATGAGACATACTGCCTTCTGAAGTACACACAGTAGTGACTTCCATTAGTCATATACTGGAAGATTGCGGTATCAAAATAGAAACGTTCCCATGATAGTTCTCCTCAGCCATGACAAGCTTAAGGACTTGTGACTTTTAGTACATCACGCATAGAAAAAGAAGTAGTAATCATTTTATTTTACATATTCTGGATGTATTTTTAGCCCTTCAGCATCCCAGTGTACAATAAAGAATCTTAGAATACAGCTTTAAATATTATTGAATGCAGATAGGATAAGAAACGAACATTTTTGGTGCCTTCTGGATTTTGTTTTTATTTGTACTAGCCAAAATAGACCTCAAAAATCTTTCCCCTCCCCCTGCCTTCTATGGTGAGATGCACAAGCTGTCTCAGCATATAACATTTGTACAATTGACTGTGGAGGAATGACATTGTGGTCAGAGATTGCAATGGCATGCTACAATGGCAAGTATATCTATGACAATTTACCTGTCTTCTGACATCATAGCATTTTGAATGTGCAGACATCACTGATGGCTGGTGGGATGGGACAAAGCACACAACACTGAGATGTCCAGATATGGGCCAGTTGCTTTCCATACATAGAAGTTTTATATACCAGAATTATGAAGTGGCTACAGGAAAGTGGGGTTTCTGTCTGGTGCTTGTAGAATTGGTCTGTGGTTATTTTTAGTGCTTAAAATTCTTTTGTATATTTTGTATTGTTGTGTTGCTGTTTTAATGCCTTTGTATATTTTGCAATGCAATGCGACTTCTTTGGTGTTGTTAAGTCAGTAGATGCATAATAAATGAAATTATAATAATCATCATTATCCAAAAAAGACGGTGGCAGATCCAATTTTGTCTAGAAGTCAGAGATCAAGGTTGTAATGTCCCTGCTACATTGCCTTGCCCTTGCCCATAAAACCACACTGCATTCTAGCCAGTTTTGCAACCATAAAATTGCTGAAGACCAGAAATAAAAATAAAAATGTTGGAGTTATATCAGGGTTACATAGCAATCAAACATGTTAGTGCTAATGTTAGAATCAGAATGTTGGAAGCTATTTACACTGTCCTATTCTCAGGGTCATGATTCATGACAAGTGCATTGGTAAATGCTGGATTCACAGGAAACTTTTACACAAAATGGGGCAATGGTGCTCTTTCTATCACACACACACACACACACACACACACACACACACATTTACCATACAAGGTCTAGCTGAAAAGATAACTCGATAATCTAAGCAATACATAATTCACTGGAAGTTAGTAAGAATTTGCCAGAAGTGTTGTAGCCAAACTCTTGGGTTTGGATTGTGCTGTTATTCTGTTTACAAACCAAAATATAAAATTAGAATTTGATCAATCCCAGATTTATTGAATCAAGGCACTCCAGAGAAAGCAATAGGGAAGAGGAGGGTATGACGTTCAGGCACAAGTCTCTTAATTGGTCTAATAAACAACATCTGCCCTGGCCCTTGGTGAATTTATGATAATATTTCTTTTTGGCATGTTTGTTGTAATGATGTCTGAATGCTGGCATGTGGCTGTAATTGCATAGATTCAGTATGATTTTAAGAGGAAGCCATAAAATCCAATATTGCAATTGGAGACAGAGAATGGTTGCATGATTTGGAAACACACAAAGTTTTGCTCTAGCACATGAAAGAAAAGAAAAGAAAAGAAATGTGAAAACTGGCTTGGACACAACTTTATTCCAACCAGCTGCTTAACTTTTCAATCAAATAAGGCCTGCCTGAGAGATGCTGAAGAAGCTTTTTATTTCTCTTTTTTAAATCTTTATTGTTTTCAAAAAATTGAATTTTTCAGCATGGGGTGGAGGAATTAAATATTTTGCTTGTTTGTTGCTTTTTTGTGGTGATTGCCTTAGGGTGGACAACTGAACTGAAGCCACCTTTTCATAAAGAAACCTTTGAAGGATGGAGATATATAAAATTTTCAGCTAGTTTTAAGTTAGCATTCTGATCCCAAATGGCTACGCTAGTACATTTCCCCATGATGAAGCTTAATGTTGCTGCAGCATACTGGTTCTCCTCAGGCTAAGCACCTATTGACGAATATATTTGCTAATGGCTAATGCTAATGGCTGTTTCACCCCTGCATGTACTGTACCTCTTTCAGTGCCTTATCACTAGATGTCTCCACTGAATGACTGACTCCACTGGCTAATATTATTCATATTATTCATAGTCTACGTTGCAGTGGCTTTCTAGAAGTAACTGATCGTGTTGCACATGATGGCTCTCAAAACTAAGGACCTTACTAGTATATTTTCCCTCTCATGCAAACACACAAGCTGTGTGCAAGGTGCAAGTCTGAAAGCATAGCAACTTCCATGATGCTATAATTTTAAGTTCCTGTGAAGGGAAGTTCTCTTTCTGCACATAACTGTGGCATCTTTTCTCTGGCATCCTGGGAAGTCTCGCTTATAATCTTTTCTCTGCTTCTGTACACACTGTACAACCTGTTCTAAATACCAAGACATTCCCTCATTTCTCTAGGAAGCTCAGTTCATCTTAAGTTCATGAAAAACACTATGACCTGTTCTTAATGCATAGCTGACCACATCTACGGAACTTGATTATTATATTCTTTCATGTTATGATCAATCATTAGTAATTGTTTTAGTCATGCTATATCAATCATTAGTTATAATTTAATTAGGAGGTTTCATGCCTGTCTAGTTCTGTGCTCCCTTTCCCAGCCTTTAATCTATTGGTGATTAATGCCTATATGTAGCCTTTGCTTTGTACTTGTGTTAACCAATCAGCAACGAGCGCACCTGTGGCAATGTTGTAATATTCAATAAAAGCTTCTTCTCGGGACTTGCTCGAGAGATGCCTCTCACATGACACTTGCTACTCGTCTGTCTTTATTTCAACCCAACATTCCTGTAATAAAATGGCAGAGGTTGCTATGGCTTGACTGCTTAGATTCCCAGCTCACATGTTATATGGTTCATTCAAGCCTGAATGAGAAGAAGAGCCTGAATGTATTGTGCAAATTAGCTCTAAAATACCAAAGGATTTCAAAGCAGTTTTCAAAACGTTCATTTCCCCTCTACAGGGACCAGCCACTTCTTTGATAGCACAAATCCCCAATCAACATTGTACAACAAGAAATCTATTATCGCATTAAAATGCCAAGAGATGTGCAAAGTGGACAGGATCAAGCCACTGTAATTGTCTTATCACAGAGTCTGTTCAATAGGTTTTGCAGTGACCCACCAACTCCTTATTAAACCACATCAGTGAAGAATGTTATTTATCTAAGGGACAGGGGAGACAGGGTTTAGAAAGTCTAATCTTTAGATGTTATGCATTAATCCTCTTTAACAGCCAAACACGTAGCCTTGCCCTGAAACTTTTGTGCCTGCAGTGTCCTTAATGATTCTAATTTTTGTAATTTCACCATCTCTGTCTCACACCCACACCCACTCACACAAACAGGAGTGTATTTTCCAACAAGAAAGTGAGCCGGCGCTGTAATCCTTAAAATATTCATTGCTGTTTGGGTTATTAATCTCATTACTCCTTTAGGAAAAAGTGTAACATTAATTACTACTAATTGCTACAGTATTTGGAAAGGATTTTGGGGCATTTCTCATAGGCTTATCTGAGCGCTGGCATTTTGGCAGCAGTATATTGGACACCACTCTGCAACAGAGAAAAGTTTTGCTTATGCATCACCAGAAAGTATTGGAGATTTCTTTGCTGCCTTGCCCTTTGGATTTATGCTTGTAACACTCCTCCCCTCCTCCCCCCATTACTTAGATTTTAATTGGAGCAGTAATTGCCATGGGCTCAGCCGACAGAGATGGCCGCCTACATCCTGGTGATGAGTTGGTCTTCGTCGATGGAATTCCAGTGGCTGGCAAAACTCACCGATATGTGATTGACCTCATGCATAACGCAGCTCGAAATGGGCAAGTGAATCTAACTGTGAGAAGAAAGGTGCTACCCACAGGTATGTTCAGAAACCAAATATTGTTAAGAATTGGGACGCAACTAAGGACAAATCATACATAAAATGTTCGGATGGGCATTAATATTCAGAGAGATGTTGCTTTTAAAAGAAAACAGATAAAATGTTTGTTTTTCAGCTTTCCCTTACAATGTTCCTGACACAAATGCTAAAGTATTTTGGTTATTTTACAGAGACTAGGAAAGTAGAACTGACATAGAACTGTACTAGTCATGAGTCACCCTGTCCATATTCCTTTTTCTATTGGCTCTATGTTCTTCCCACCATCACCTCACATGCCGTCCTCCTGCTAAGTCAACTGTCCTGTTAACAGCCATTGTGTGACCAACAGACTGCAGGCAAATGAAATAAGCGTCAAGATTGTTAGGTCCCCGGGGCCGGAAGTGATTTCATGAGTTTTCAGCTCATTCCGATTCATTAGAAGCACAATGTAAAAGCCTTTTAGCACAAACCAAACAGCAGCAGGTAGAAATAGGGTAGCTGCCTTGTCTCTTTTAACCAGTCGGCATTATACTAAAATCTAAACCATAGATACAGAATTAGACATTTAAGGAGTCATCAAAGTGGTTTTGTTTTTCTAGATATAGATAACCCAAAGATGAGGCCTTAACTCACAGTTTTCATCTGGAGTGTATTTCTATGAGTCTGTTCACTTCTTTGCAATGTTGCCGTATGTGGATTTGTGTCTGACATCTCAAAGCCTACTGCCTGTGGGCCATTTCAGACACGACACAGAAACAAATACTACCGTGAACGGGGAGCTGAAGACAATCCTGATAAGAATACCAATAGGTTCCTTGTGTTTTCAAAAGCTGGTTTGACACATTCACATTTTACATTTTTAGGTGTACACTTAGAAAAAGGTAATGTGTGAAGAGGAAGCCATAACTAGGATACATTTGTCACAAGTGCACTGAACTGAGCAATTGGAATAAGCAGATATGACTTTAAACCCCTTTCTGTCTACTCCTTCCCATTCAGTAAAGAACTCATTCTACCCTGCTTACCTTGCTAGCTTTGCCTTCCATTCCTACACATTGTAGCTGATCAAAACCTCATATTTCCAACCCCATCTCATTCTTCACAGTGTCATCTTCTTCTTTGGCACAGTCCTATGTCCCATTGTTAGCCGTATTGCAGTCATTCCAGTAAGGAGACTGATGTTCTTCTGTTGACCATTATAGACTCCTGGAGTCAGAAAAATTCTCTCCAGCCTGGTGCAACGCCCCCTAGCAGCTCCCCAAACCTTAGGAAAATGGCCAATAGCCAAGGTAACACACAGCACCTGATGATTAATTCCTTGAGGAAATTAATTATGCTTCTGCTTGTGCGGGTGACCACTTTTATTTGTTGCTGGTCCTTGCTGCTAACTGCATGTCTGGAACTTTCAGTTGAAGGAACTTCTTCTGGTCTGGAACTTGTAGCTGAATATTCCTTTTGGTGGCAAATATCAATCACGTATGGAGTAACAGGAACCTGTCTTCAGAAAAACAATTTGAATAGGCTATTAGCAAACCTCCAGGATGCTAGAGAGAGACAGTAAGCAAAAATCCTCCCCTAAAGCTACGGAAGGGTGGTGTGAGGATTTTGTGTATGGGCAAACTTTGGAGAGGGATCTTTAACTTACAACTAAATGAGGTGGACAAGTTTATTTTATGTATTATCTTACAGTATATTTTGTTTCGTTTCTATTTATTTATTTATGGTTTCATTTTGTGTGGGATTGTATGGGAAAAGGATGGCTGCCTCCGTAGGCAATAAGCAAAAGAACCCCCGCCCATCAAAGTAAATGATATCCATGCACATTCCCCCCAAAGTACTGGAAATTCTCCCAGCCTAACTTTGTGGAAGACAGAGTCTGGATGTCATGCCCAAAGTTTGAGATGAAGAATCAAGTTGTTGACAGCCTTTATAACAGAACATTAGGACCAGTGGGTTTTTTCTGGGGACACACAGGGGTACGCATACCCCTAAACATGTTGTGAATCTAAGTTTGACCTCCTTGAGGGGCAGCAGAAACTGCTGCTTGCCTTCTGTCACTGTGCCATTGAGAGCGTGCTCACTTATGGCTTATGTGTGTGGTACGGAAGCTGTACAGGACAGGATGGGGTTGTGCAGGGTTGTTAAGGCAGCAGAGAGCATTGTTGGCTGCCCACTCTCCACCTTAGAGCAGATTTATGCCACAAGGTGCCATAGGAAGGCACTGGACATAATAAAAGATCCATCGCATCCTGGTCACTGTCTCTTCGAGCTCTTGCCATCAGGACGGAGATACAGGACGATGAAGACAAGAATGAGCCGTCTTAAGAACAGCTTCTTTTCCAGAGCGATCTCGGCCCTGAATGGGAAGCCCGGACTTTGAAAGTCATCTAATCTCCATTGCTGTATTATACTGTATTGATTAATTAGTGTTTTTATGGAGCAGTCAATTAATTTCGTTGTCCCCGAAGGGGGCAATGACAATAAAGATATTAGTAGTAGTAGTAGTAGTAGTAGTAGTAGTATTTCAATATGAGTAGGAAAATGAGAGTACCCTTAAAAAATTTTAAGAAAAAAAGCACTGATTAGGACAAAACTAAGAGAGAAACCCTGACAGTCACACAACATGCCATCATTACGAGAGTGCCCATGACGTTCCAAGCAGGTGGACCCACACATCCATTTCCAGCACTCTGCTATTTTTAGTTTGTGCCTCAGCCATTCCCTCCTGGGTGGTTCAGGTTTGTGGGCTGAAACCACTGTTGCCACACAGCTCTGTCATAGTATCATTATAGCACAAAACGTCAGTCCATTTCTCTAATTGAATGTGCGCTCTGGAATGTAGTATCCACTCACTAAGTTCACACAACAAAGCGGGGGCACTTGGTAAGCTCCAGCTTGAGAATGAGAACTTCTAGCAGATGAGTGGGCCATGCTAAATCTTCACCAGCTTCTGGCTATAGCCCCAGTGAGCAAGCATATCATGGAGGTGATGGGTTTGAGAGCCATGTCCCCAATGCATAGCTGCTATTAGGAAAGATAATCAATATCTCCTCCATAATCTTCACTGCCCCACTGCCCGCCCCCCAAAAAAACTAAAACAGGCCTGAGGAAGCACTCTTGAAAGAGCAAAAACCTAGTTGGAGGGAAGACAGCCAGTGCTTCATGGCTGGGTAAAAGCTTTCCCCAAATCTTGGAAGTATGTTCGAAGCTCTTGAGAATGAATACAGCATAGAATAATTGAAGGAATGGGAGGAATCTAATAAAGTCCAGTCATGAAACAACCACACAGGGGTGGGGACTATGTTTGGGCTTGTTCATTCTAAGAGCATTTAATAGTCGGGTCTGCATCTTGGATTTAAAGAGCCATAATACCTTCAGAACTTTAAAAAAAATGAGGAAGAGAAATGCCAGGTATTGAAACCTGATCAGGAAAGAGTGACATTCCAATGTACAGAAGGACTAAAATGCTAGTCTTTGTGGAGAGCATACCCAATCTTTAACTCTCCCTCCCATGGACAGATTTTTCAGAATAGATGGATATCCAATAGCAATATAAAATCTGCTCTACCTGGTTTCTCATTCTTTCCTGTACTTAATGGGAATCTGTTACATTCATTTATAGCTGAGGCAGCACTCGGTAATTCTGTGGGGTAAGATAATTTTCTTTCTGTTGCACCCGCAGTGACATAAACCCTAGTCAGGCTTCTAAAACATGACAGCCAGAAAATGAGATCTTTCTTGTCACTGACGATGGCATTTAGCTGCAGGTCTGGTTCAATAACTTTGGGAGATTTTCAATTCTAACATAGCAGCATAATGACTGTTTGTTTTTCTTTCGTCTCCCTTGCGCGAATCACTTTGTTTCAAAGTTGTACAAGGACTGCTAGAGGACATGCTTTCCTGCCTGAGAAAAGAGAGACTTATGCTTGATTCAGAGAAACTTGATTTTGCACTTTGAAGATTTTGCTTGATATGTTGTGATGTGTGTGGCAGAGAGAAAGCTAGTCAGCTGTTTTGTAATATGCATCTTTATCAGTTGGAGGAGGGGAAAAACAGATTTGATTTTATCTGAAATTAAAGCATTCCAAATATGGACCCATTATCTGTTTTATGAATGGAAGCCAGCTTGTGGCTGCAATCCTATACATACTTTCCTGGGAATAAGCCTCACTGAATTCATGTGAATTCATGCATAGGGTATGAAAAGCATCATTATATTATTTAATCCAGGCATCACCAACCTCTTTGGACCAGTGGACAGAATTCTGAGAGAGAGTCAAAAAAATTCATAGGGGAGGGGGTGGCATAACACCCTATGAGCGAGAGAGCCACCCCTGGCATCATTATGCTTACCAGGGGGTGTCAGCTGTCTCCTGCTGCTACTGTTTGTAGAGATCACACAATATTGATTTTACACACAGAGAGAGATATTGTTGCTGTCTAATAGCCACAGGGAACATTTATCAGTACCAGGGAAGACATACAAGATAGCTACGCCACACTCACTCCCATTTCACCTAAATTTATTGGAAGGTACGTGTACATTTTGCCCCATAACTTACCTTCTAGGAGGGCTAGAGAAATACTTTTTTTAAAAAAAGAAAAAGCTCAGCATCTGGAGCACCTGCCCAGCAGTGCCAATCAGTCCTCTGGTTTAATCACTAGTTGTGCTAGAATTATCAAGAGTTTTTCATGTCCATTCTGTTCTTGTTGAAGAGAGACAATAACATTTTTGTCCATCTTTCCTCTAAGACTGCACTGTCAACTTCACTTATTCAAAGCTAGCAGGATGAGGCACAAGGGAGGCTCTATGGCAGGCATAGGCAAACTCAGCCCTCCAGATGTTTTGGGACTACAACTCCCATCATCCCTAGCTAACAGGACCAGTGGTCAGGGATGATGGGAGGTGTAGTCCCAAACTATCTGGGGGATCGAGTTTGCCTATGCCAGCTCTATGGCTTCCTGATTGCTTACCTGGATGAGGACGGGTACAGGGTGCCCTCCAGATTCAGCTCCAGGGAGCATGGCCAATGGTCAGGAACATCTGGAGGGCACTGTGTTGGCCCATATAAGAATGCTTTATAGAACTGACCAGGGAGGAGAGAGGAGCATAGTCTAAAACTTTTCTGTGGCTGGTAGCTCTGAGTGTTCATAGTGAACCAACCTCCCTCTCACTGGTACCATTTTCATTTTAGCACCTGGAATGGGTTACGCTGCAGTGTGTTCAGTAGCTCTTACTGTATTATTAATCTTCAATAATTAATCTTTCATACTGCATTACGGTGTGGTACGCTGGTTTGACATCAACTGATAGGAAGTGCCTACAGAGGGTGATGAATACAGCACAAGATATTATGGGCTGTCCCGTGAATCCGCTGGATGAAATAGCAGAAGAACGTTGCCTCAGGAGAGTGAGGAAAATTCTCGGGGATGATTTACTCCCTGGCCGGCACTTTCTTGATCACCTGCCCTCAGGCAGAAGATATAGAAGCATGATTAGTCGCACCAACAGGGTAAAGAACATCTTCTATCCATGGGCTGTTAGGCTGCTGAATGAAAAGATAACAACAGGGCAACTGACTTCCGGGTTTGGTGGGTGTGCGTCAGTAAACAAGGGGAATTAAGACTAAGAGAGCTGAGTGGGGGGTGCTCGCGTAAGCTCACTGTATACAAGTTGTTCAAGTGACAATAAAGTATTTCAATAAAGGATCTGCCAGAGAAATAGAGCTGTGTTTTGTCCACATTTTATTTTTTTACTTTTTGCTGACCACCAAAGATATAAATACAATACTACCTCCATCCTTCTATGTTCTCTGCATTTGTATGAATATAAAGTATATGGAGTATCATAGAATTGTAGAACTGGAAGGGGTCCTGAGGATAATCTAGTCCAACCCCTTGCAAGGCAGGAATATGCAGCTGCCCCATATGGGGATCGAACCCGCGACCTTGGTGTTATCAGCCCCATGCTCTTAACCAGTTGAGAGAAGGCTGGTCCACAATGTAAGTGAAGCTAAGGATTCGAGGTCTGTGTACAAGGACAGGTTTTCTTTTCGTAAGACAACCTATATTTGATAACAGGTTCTTTTTTGGGATTAATCTTCCCTGAATTAATCCCTCTAGTCCACAAACATCTTTTGAATAGGCTGTTCTCTTTTTAAAAGGGAAGTCAAGCAGTTAATCCCCATTACTCTGTTGGTTGCCTGCTTAAATTTTTCTAGTTTGAAGGCAAATACCTTAATATTGAATTAAATGTTGAATTAGACATACTTAATAGACATAGATAGATAAAGAAATGTCTGATTCATTTCCTTGGAATTCAACACCCATTATTAGTAATGATATAATTTTATATAGCAGTATTAATGCACTCTCAGTGTACAGCATGTGCCCAACATAAGCAACCCACCCCCACAGAATATAGTTTTAGTCTCTCACTAGGGGAAGCAGAGATGCTGTGTGTGGCAGCAGTTGTGGAATTGCTTACACGATTCAGATTATTACTCAATTTCTATAGTTTCCAGTCAATGCTCTGATGGTACCTGGATTCTGAGCTTTCAGGTGGATTCTTAGAGCAGCTTAAAGTAAAAGCTGAAATCCATACCAATCAGACCTATGAAAACAATACCTACCATTTTAAAACTCCTTGAATAGCACCTAGAGCAAGGGCCACAATTAAAGTGGATTGATCTTAAATGCCTGGGAACATAAAAGGGTTTCACGTGGCGTGAAAAAGATGCAAGTGAACCTTCTGGTAACTCCAGAGCTAGGATGCCGTCACTGAAAAGGCCACCACTGTTTTCCTGTCTCAGGCTTTCTGAACCCTTCATTGCCAGAATGTTTCTACTTGCCTTTGCGTGCTATTGTTATCAGTGATAACTGTGGTCACCGACTTGAATCATAAGAAGTCTGGTCTATGGGAAAACGTTATAGTGGTCCTAAGTGCTAAGGCAGAATTAGGGTGGATCAGGTCCAATTAGAACTGATTAAGTATTAATTTAAATAAATCCACAATAGACAAGACTTAAATTGAGTCAGGTCTCACTAGTAATTACCTGCTCTGGTGTTATGGCTCTTATTTTGGATCATATGTACTAGTTTAAGAAAGGGTGCCTTGATTGTTTTGCTGCCTTATCAAAGTGGATCCCTGTTACTAGATCCAGTCCTCCTATACTGGGTGCAGTTTAGTTTAGCACGCCCCGTATTTTGTGTTCTAGAAAGCCAGAAAGATTTGAGTTTGGTGAGTCTCTGTTTTGTCAGCAGACAACCTAGATTCTTAATCTTTGTGTGATTTCTGTTTCAGGAGAACCGTGCCCTGAGAATGGCAGGAGTCCGGGCTCTGTGTCTACGCACCACAGTTCTCCAAGAAGCGACTATGCCACATATGCCAACAGCAATCATGCTGGATCAAGTATCAATGCTACGCCCCCAGAGGGCTTTGCTTCGCACAGCTTGCAAACAAGCGATGTTGTCATCCATCGCAAAGAAAATGAAGGGTTTGGTTTCGTTATCATTAGCTCCTTGAACAGGCCTGAATCTGGATCTACAATAAGTGAGTTAATTTTTTTTCTGTCAATTGTTGTTCCAGTTCCTTTACAAAAATCCTATAAAACTTCCTTTTGCCAACTGTACAGTGGTACCTCGGATTAAGTACTTAATTCGTTCCGGAGGTCCGTTCTTAACCTGAAACTGTTCTTAACCTGAGGTAACACTTTAGCTAATGGGGCCTCCTGCTGCCGCCGCGTGATTTCTGTTCTCATCCTGAAGCTAAGTTCTTAGCCCAAGGTACTATTTCTGGGTTAGCGGAGTTTGTAACCTGAAGCATATGTAACCTGAAGCGTATGTAACCCGAGGTACCCATTGTATATGCAGCTAATCCATTGAGTTCTATTTATTCATAGACTTCAGCATTTATAAAGTTGTATATCCTTGCGTGCTTTCAGTCAAGAGATCAATTATTTCACACAGTTCTCTCTTTCAAATGTTTCCTGCCCATGATTTAGAGAGATTCTGTTTGTATGGCTTTGTCTCCTTGTTAGGCTGTGCTCTGAAATAATAAAGCTTAAAGGCATTAAGCACTGTGTACATCAAACAACCAGACTAAAAAGAGTCTCATTGTTTAAGACTAGACAAATGAGAAACTGAGAGAAACTGAAACTAGGGTTGCCTTATTTCAAAAAGTAAAAACCAGGAAACCCTGAAAGTTGTTGAGTTTTTTTTTAGGAAAACCCAAAAGTTTCTGAGATTTTTTTTAAAAAAATGTTTACAAAAATGCCCCCAAAAGTGATTTTCACTTGCCTAAAATATAGGAAAATAGCAACCCTACCTGACATGCATTGAGGCATTCTGCAAAAAAAGAAGAAGCATATTGCCAGTTGAATACCTGAGTCTTCTGGCATGATAAATGTTGACACGTGCTCCTACAGGTTACCTGTGAAGCAAATAAATAAATTTTAAACAGTATTGTTGAAACGGTATTTTAAACAGTAGGCACTTGCTGGATAACCTTCAAATTTAAATTGTAACATGGGATATGAGTGGCCCTCAAAAGAAGCTAAACAACAATCAGATATTATTACTGTGACTATTATCTAATTTTACTTAATATGTTACTGTAATTTGAACAGCAGGTGTGGCTTGATTTCATTGTGGAAATTTGCTGTGGGTTTTTGTTTGTTTGTTTTTTTGCAGTTCCCTTGATGGAAGCACGATGTTTTGAGAAATTACTGGGGCTGTTGCTTCTCACAGAGCCATTTTAAGCCTTAAGCTACTTGAATTCCAAGAGGACTAGGCTGGAAGATGCCACTGGATGCAATCAAGAGAAAGCTAAGTGAGCTTAAGTTCAGTTGAAACCAATGGGATTTAAATCCACAGTCAAGCACTTAAGTCCCATTGATTTCATGGTTAACTTTCTCTGGATTGTGCCCACTGTATTTCAGCATTCACCTCCCTTCCATATAGCAGCATCTGACTGGGTCTTTGTGCAGAGTTTTTCCGGATTTTTATTCCACTTTTCAAAGGACTGTCAAGAGCAAAGTGTGACTTTCTGGGTCAGCTGCCCATGGACTGCAGAAAATCGACGTCACTGGGACATTTAAAACTGGGCCTAGCAGTTGGGAAACAATTTGAGGTGATTAAACCCCCTCTACACACACAAATGGATAGGGAAAATTGAAGTGTGTTCATCGTTTAAGTTAAATAACTGTGAGCAGTGGCCAATCAGAGGATTAGGCTGGCAACCAGAACTAGCCAGTTAGAAGTGAGGGCTTTAATGATGTAATTGGCTTTTCAATCAGAGAGGGAGAAGAGGCTTTAGCCATCCTGTCCCCAGTTTTCCTGGCCCTGTTGAATACAGAGGATAATAGTCTGGTTGAGCAAGTATAGGATTATGCTATAAGTGTATTATTAAATAATACAGGCATAGGCAAACTCTGCCCTCCAGATGTGTTGAGACTACAGTTCCCATCATCCCTGACCACTGGTCCTGTTAGCTAGGGATGATGGGCGTTGTAGTCCCAAAACATCTGGAGGGCCGAGTTTGCCTATGCCTGAAATAATATATACAGTGGTACCTCTAGCTGTGGACATGATCTGTTCCGGGGTGCCGTTTGCACCACGAAAAGTCCACAACTAGAGCGGCACTTCGACGCAAGCGCAGAGTGCGATAGAGCGCTTCTGTGCATGTGTGAAGTACGCAGAACGCTTCTGCACATGCACGAAGCACGCAGAAGTTTGCTGCGTTCGCAAGCTGAAAAGACACAACATCAATCTAACGCAACATGAGGTATGACTGTATTGTGGGAAGAGGTACAAAATTGAACCATATGGTTTTTAGACTTGTATTGATTTTTTAAAGCAATTGGTTGGTATTCAATTATCAGAGGAGATCTATTAAAATTAATGAGCACATGAAGCGGATCCCACCGCTACTACCAATTGTGGCAGATCCCATGGCTAACACCAATTGAAGGCCTTCAGACAAGACCTACCTGGAGATGCCAGGGATTAGACTTGGGACCTTTGGCGGGCAATGCCTGCACTGTGCAACTGAGCTATGGCCCACCTCATATGAGATGCCAGGAAGGAGATGTTGCATTGCTTTCACAGTTGACTAAAATAGCAACATAGCAACTTGCTTTTAAATTCTGTTACTGCAAATAATATTGTCATTTAATGTACGCTTGTTTTATTTGCAAAATAAAAAAAAGTTTTTATTATTAGTTCCTTATGTAGCATCTCAGTGTTGCACAGCACTATAGAGAGTAATATAAGCAAAAATAACCCAGTAGGTCCCTGAGCCCTGGGAGCTGATCATTTATTGGACAGCCAACGCTGTTGACATTTTCACAAGCAAGCTTTCAGAGCAACCAGCCAACCAGCCATTCTTTTTTTTACCCTACATGGTGTGCCATAGCATTAAACAAAGGAAGCGAAGAATAAATATTTAAATATGTTCAGTAAAAATGTTAATGTATTCACTGCAAGCCAGCCAAGGGGAGAATTCATTGAAAATACCGGTATGGAAAGAGAATTGTCTGTAATGTCAGGTAGGCATTGTCTCCCTGGTCTTAGGATTTCAAATAGAGTCCTGCAGTTTTATTTGCAATTGTTAGAGCTGCCATGAATAAGTACAGCCCAAGAAATACCCACATAGGAGGTAACCTTTGGGACAGAACAGTAAGCAAGATTAGTTTGTGCATTTTAAAAAGGTTTTATCAGCACCAGCTTTCTCCTTGTATTATTGGAATTTTGTAAGTTTGGGCGTTGGAAACCAGGTGATGTGCTGAGGGGACTTGAACTGGGAGGTGCCTGGTTCTTTGCATCCCCATGGGAACTTGCCAGAGGAGGGAGATATGAGTTGCACTTCAGTGCAACCACTGCAGCCAGAGGTCAGGTGACTAAAGGGACCAATTGGCTTCTGCCTGATCCCATAAAGCATCTGACTCTGGCTTGGCTCCTCCATCTAAGCAACTTCCTCAGGCATTGTTCCAGACTACCAGTCCCTGTTTACTCCTTAGCCTCTTCCCTGGCTTGACTACCTGCCCAGTTGGTACCTGCCTGTCTGTCTCCAGATCATGAACCTTGACGAGTCCAGAGGGTCTTCCTCCCTCTCTAATTTCTTACTTGGTAGCCTGGCACCAAGTCCAGTCACATAAATGCTCAATAATATAAGAAGGTAGGTGTGACAGCCATGAGGAAAGTAGGTGAGCCAGAGCAGGTCTCCTTCAATGGCCAGCCCATTATGGGGAGCAGACAAAATAGAAGAGCATATTGTCTATCAGAAAAAGTAATGTGGCTTTCCCTTGCAAGGGCCTGTCCTCAAGTGGCCACGATGTCCAGTCCTCAGCTATCACACAGGGTGTAGACTTCTCTCAGACTGCTTGCTGCCACCACCTACTAAAAACATAAGATAAGCCTGTTGGATCAGGCCAATAACCCATCTAGTCCAGGATCCAGTGGCTGGACAGATTCTTGTACTACTACTACTACTACTATTATTATTATTATTATTATTATTATTACTACTACTACAGCCCAAGCTAGCCTGTAAGCTAGGCATGAGCGTAGCAGCACTCTGCCCACCTGCAACTCCCAGAAACGGGCATTCAGAGGCATACTGCCTTTGACAGTGGAGGCTGAACATTGCCACCATGGCTGGTAGCCATTGATAGCCCTGTCCTCCATGCAATTGCCTAACCCTCTTTTAAAGCCTTACCATTTGGTGACCATTGTTGCCTCCTGTAGGAGCATGTTCCATAGTTGGACTTTGCACAGTGTGATGAAGTGCCTCCTTTTCGCTTTCCTGAATATTACAGGCGTAGAGAAAGCAGTAGGACTCTCCTTTTACATCCCGACTCAAGAACATCTACACCAAATATGTGGAATGAGATAAACAGAAGCAGCTGCAGGCCTGGCCTCCCAGCAGCCAGCATTGCTGCCATGTATTGGGATGGTGTGGGGATGGGGCACAGTAGCGGTGAGGCTGGGAGAGGGCCAGTGGGGCAGCACTACTCTGGTTTCGCTGCTGCCTTGCCCCAGACCTGCCCTGTCCTTGTACACAGCACAAACAAACACACACACACAGGCTCCCTGGTGGCCACTCCTGCCTTGGGATCCATCAAGGCCAGAACCCAGAGAGTTAAACAGAAAAATAGATTTAATTAAGGAACAGAACATTCAGAACAAGTAATATTTCTCTACAGAGTTCTTACACTTCTAGTTTCCTGATTAAACATCACTGTCTATCTTGAAGTGTCATAACAGCTATCCTAACTCTATTAAATACCACCTCTTGTTCCCCTCAGTCTCTCTTGTCTGTCACAGCCAGCCTCCACTCTGTCATTCTCCAGCAGACATTATCAGTCACTCAACTCTAACTCTGCCCAGCTATCCACTCCACTCCACTAATGTCAGTCATTCTTCCACTACCTCGTCAATCACAAGAAGCAATCCTAGGGCCTCCACCTCCAAAACAAATCCTTCCAGAGCATAGGCAGCTTCCAGACATGCCTTTCCCAGATGCATAGCGACAGGGAGCTGTGCTGTAGGGACGTGGGTGGCGCTGTGGGTAAAACCTCAGCGCCTAGGACTTGCCAATCGCATGGTCGGTGGTTCGAATCCCCGCGGCGGGGTGAGCTCTCGTCGTTCGGTCCCAGCTCCTGCCCACCTAGCAGTTCGAAAGCACAATTAAGTGCAAGTAGATAAATAGGGACCGCTTACTAGCGGGAAGGTAAACGGCGTTTCCGTGTGCTGCGCTGGCTCACCAGATGCAGCTTGTCACGCTGGTCACGTGACCCGGAAGTGTCTGCGGACAGCGCTGGAAGCATCATCAAAAGAAGAGTATTAAAGCATCATTTACAAATCCTTAGAAGCTTCATGAAATAAAAACGTTTCCCTCTGCTAAAAACTGTTAAAGACAGTCAGACTTCCCAAATGTCCTGCATGTACACAAATAGCCCTTACACTGGTTTTAACCCTTGAGTGAGGGATATACAGTTACGGGACAGTTTCCATCCTCACTTCCTCATATCTAGCATAGCTTTAACAAAAATGTTTCAATGGAAGTATGGCAGGGCCGGCCCACCCATGAGGCGGACTGAGGCAGCTGTTTTGGGTGGTGGAATCCTGCAGGGTGCCGCCAGAGAAGCAAGGAGAAGCAGTAGCGGCTTCCGGCAAGATCTTGCAGAGCTCTCATGAGAACTTGTGAGGGTTCAGTGAGATCTTACCGGAAGCCTGACCCCTGGTAAGTGAAGCTTTGGCAGGGCAGGGAGACATCACCTTCCCATTTCATCTCAGGTGGCAAAACGGGACAGGCCACCCCGGAACTATGGCATAAATCCTTTATTCAAGGAACATAAGGTCCACAGGAAGGGAACATCAGGCAGTATTTTCTCACATCATCTTCCTCTGATAGCTGTGTACGTCGCATCTTCTGGCTGCCCCACAACTCCTGGAGTTTCACTGGTGAGGACACATGAGGAAAAGGCCGCGGGAGTGATTGATAGTGGATGTTAGATGGCAAAAAGGCATCTGAAGGGAAACAAGCTAAGCATACTGAGTTATGTGTTATATCTCCCAATTAAATCATGGCATGCTGGGAGTTAAAGCTGAATTAAAGCTCTTGCACCTATGGAGAATTGTGGGCACAATAAATATTCATGTGATCAGCTGTGTAACATATTGGAAAGGACAGCTGGCTCAGGAGGGTTTGTTGGCTTAGTTTTCTATCGGTTTCTGTTTACATTACAAAACTATTGTAAGAAGTTATTATCTGCCAGAGGTTATAGTACAGATACAATGCAGGTTTGGATTCCCCAACACACACACACACACACACACACACACACACCTGTTCGCATCTGACATTTACCCAGTGTACAAAAAGAAATGTGAGAAAACAGGCAAGTGACTTTTTACAAAATACAATCTCTCAGCTGTTAGGGGAAATACATACAGAACAGATGAAAAGACAGCGTACTTGTAAAAGTGAGAAACATTATTTGTCACTGACACCAGCTTGTAACGATCAGTGCTTTCTGGGGGCATGCTGTGATATTAGCCGGAGCTCAGTATGAGTTTAGTGATTTTCTGTCAAGAGAAATAATTTTTGTTTTAAAAAGAAGAAGAAACAGAAAGGTACGGTGTTTTCTTCAGCACCCAGTGTTTCTTCTAACTTTCTGCATGCAAATTTGGAGGGAAACAAGAATATATTAACAACTCAGCATTTTTTATATTGTAATGTTTTATTGTTTTGCTCTTATTTTTCTTGTAATTCCCTTCAATAAAACCATGCAGTGATTTTGGGGTGAGAGTTAAAATAGCACATTGGAAGATTTTCATCCCATGATCTAAAGCAGTGAGAGGGTGCTCTACCCTTCAATGAAGGACACAGCTCTGTACAAATATCCCTTGGTCATTATGGAGCTCCACAAAAGTGGCCTTCATAAGGCGGAAGCTTCAAAAGATCACAGGACTGAAGTGCCTCATGGTCTGAGGGCATGTGATGCAGCCATCTTGCTGGTGCTGAGCAGCTCTGGCCTGGTCAGTGTCTACATGGGAGAGATGTACGGCCCTTTCAGTTCCATGGTGGAAGTTGGGTGACCTGTATAGATGAAATTATATACATAGACATAGATATGTATTATGTCTGTGTGTATGTGGTACATATCTATATCAATAGGTAGATCATAGAATCATAGAATCATAGAGTTGGAAGAGACCACAAGGGCCATCGAGTCCAACCCCCTGCCAAGCAGGAAACACCATCAGAGCACTCCTGACATATGGTTGTCAAGCCTTTGCTTAAAGACCTCCAAAGAAGGAGACTCCACCACACTCCTTGGCAGCAAATTCCACTGTCGAACAGCTCTTACTGTCAGGAAGTTCTTCCTAATGTTTAGGTGGAATCTTCTTTCTTGTAGTTTGGATCCATTGCTCCATGTCCGCTTCTCTGGAGCAGCAGAAAACAACCTTTCTCCCTCCTCTATGTGACATCCTTTTATATATTTGAACATGGCTATCATATCACCCCTTAACCTCCTCTTCTCCAGGCTAAACATGCCCAGCTCCCTTAGCCGTTCCTCATAAGGCATCGTTTCCAGGCCTTGGACCATTTTGGTTGCCCTCCTCTGGACACGTTCCAGTTTGTCAGATGATAGATATCTTCACACCAAATATATGTAATTAGCTGCAGCATAAAATAGGATATTCCACTTTTTCTGTTATTGAAGAATAGGTAGTAACATTTCGCCTGATCTTCCCCATTTCAAAACTGCCTTTTGTTCTGGCTTCTGATTCCAGTCCAGCGAGCCCCTTTGGACATACAGAAGGGCATCACTTTACCAATTGGTTTTTCCCATGCTCTGCCTCTCTCTGTACTTTATTTACTTCAGAAATTGCTTCTGAAGCTCTTCTGAATTTCAGAAGCCACTTGAGACGCCATGTGGGGTGGCAGCGAATGTGCTGTCAGGGAATGAAAGGATTAGAGTCTCTTGGGGTCTGCGGAACTGACTATAAACTCCTTTCGATTGGAGACCACACCTGGAAATGGGAGCTGACATAATAGACAGCTAAAGGTCTCTAAGTCTATAATGGTTTGTAGAACTGTGGGAGGCATGATTAATACAGAAGAGAGGTTCATTAGCATTATGGTAATTAATATATGCACTGACTGTTAGTATTTGAGGCTGCAAGTTATACCATCAGTGTTCCTTCCATTCCAAGTGTGAAAGGATGGACATGGCAGGGAAGAGGCTAGGCAGAACCTTTCTCATGGCAATTTTCCCCCTCATGCAGAGAATTTGTTTAAAAATGCTCTATGCATTTTTGAAATGGGAATAAGTTGTTGTTGTTGTTTAGTCGTTTAGTCGTGTCCGACTCTTCGTGACCCCATGGACCAGAGCACGCCAGGCACTCCTGTCTTCCACTGCCTCCCGCAGTTTGGTCAAACTCATGCTGGTAGCTTCGAGAACACTATCCAGCCATCTCATCCTCTGTCGTCCCCTTCTCCTTGTGCCCTCCATCTTTCCCAGCATCAGGGTCTTTTCCAGGGAGTCTTCTCTTCTCATGAGGTGGCCAAAGTCTTGGAGCCTCAGCTTCACGATCTGTCCTTCCAGTGAGCACTCAGGGCTGATTTCCTTAAGAATGAATAGGTTGGATCTTCTTGCAGTCCATGGGACTCTCAAGAGTCTCCTCCAGCACCATCATTCAAAAGCATCAATTCTTCAGCGATCAGCCTTCTTGATGGTCCAGCTCTCACTTCCATACATCACTACTGGGAAAACCATAGCTTTTACTATACAGACCTTTGTTGGCAAGGTGATGTCTCTGCTTTTTAAGATGCTGTCTAGGTTTGTCATTGCTTTTCTCCCAAGAAGCAGGCGTCTTTTAATTTTGTGACTGCTGTCACCATCTGCAGTGATCATGGAGCCCAAGAAAGGAAAATCTCTCACTGCCTCCATTTCTTCCCCTTCTATTTGCCAGGAGGTGATGGGCCCAGTGGCCATGATCTTCCTTTTTTTGATGCTGAGCTTCAGACCATATTTTGCGCTCTCCTCTTTCACCCTCATTAAAAGGTTCTTTAATTCCTCCTCACTTTCTGCCATCAAGGTTGTGTCATCCGCATATCTGAGGTTGTTGATATTTCTTCCGGCAATCTTAATTATGGGAATAAGTAGGAGTAAACAAATGACAATATAAATATCACTGAAACTACATGTAAACATGCAGAAGTCCCCTACTCTTGTGGTAGCTTCTTTTAAAGCTGAAAGCAGCCTGGGATGGTAGGGAAGGGCTTGCTTAATCCTTTCCCATCCAGCCATTTTACTGTCCAGAATTCATTTCCTTAGCTTTTTCTGCTCTTACAGGAATAGCTGCGGCTACCATTATCTTTTCTCCGGCAGAGTGAAAAGCAGCTGGGAAGTGGGGATATTGACTGGAAAAATTGCCAGAGGAGAAAGAATTGAACTGCTCTTCCTGACCCCTGTAAATCTATTCCTGCTGATCCTCTGCTCAATACTGCAGATCTCTGAGGCTGCTTTTAGTTTTGGTTTTGGGGGTTTTTTTAACAATCCAAGGGAACAATACATGTGCAGACACAGGAAATAGAAAAGGAGGGGGGAACAACAGTAAATAAAAGGAAGATACATTGCAAAAAATGGGTTTTGTAATAAAAAGAAGCAGCAGCAAAGAACCATATAATTTTTGCAGTTAATGGATGGATGAATTGGCCATCAACAAATGCAGAGCATGAAACAAAAGTTTTGCAAACACCAGTAACTGGGGTATTTGATTCATCTTAAAACAGATGCAAGGAGATGTTAACATGGTGGTATTTACAAACAAGTGATTTCTCCCATGTGCATTTGAGAGGTGATCAAAACCAGTTCTGTACCAATGCCTAGGGTTGCCATGTTTAAAAAAGTAAAAACCAGGACATCCTGTTTGTTTGGTTTTAGGCAAACCATCCAGATATATGGCAGCCCTAGCAATGCCTCCATATAAATTTCCATTGACTCTTAGAACTCATTAGCACAACCTTTTGATCTGCACATTTGAATGGCCCAGGATGAATGATAAAGCTTGTGGGATAATACTCATTTGCTGCTGCTGGGCTGAACACTGCACTTCATTATGTGACTGTAACTGCCTCCTAAAAACTGGAAATAGCCAATCCAAACTGTACTCGGTACATGCCTGACTACAGTCATACCTCGGGTTGAATGTGCTTCAGGATGAGCGCTTTCGGGTTGCACTCCGCGGCAACCTGGAAGTAATGGAGCACGTTACTTCCGGGTTTCGCCGCATGTGCAGACGCTCAAAATGACATCATGCACGGAAGCGTCAAAACACAACCTGCGCATGCGCAGATGCACTGTCGCGTCTTACGTTCCATTCAGGATGCGAACGGGGCTCTGGAATGGATCCCGTTCGCATCCCGAGGTACCACTGTATAGTGGTCAGGTTTTCCCCAGTCCCCAGAGTTCACAGTAGTACAGGACAAAGGGAGCCCTGGCTGACTAAAATCTGTGGCTACTACAGGCTATTTTGCCTGTCCAGTAAATCTGTTTCAACTTAGATCCTAGAATTAATAAATCAATAGGGTTTTTTAGAGTTTACATATTGTTGTTTTCTTTTAAATTGAATAATTTGCAAATATCCAGACTGTCTTGCATTTTCTTTAAGTGTGTCTGTAAAGCAGAGCATTAAATCAAATTACAATTTGCTTAATTAAAAGGGCTTCAAATACTAAAGCACTAGAAATTAATGAGAAGGAATTAATTCTGTACTAAAAGCTATGCATCGTTATTTTGTTTCTTGAAAAAAGCCCCATGAAAGCACTTTTTGCTTGAAAATAAAACTATAGTTCATCAGCAAGTTTCAGAAGTTGTATTCCTGATATTGGCTGAGGAAGTGCTTTAGCATGGGGCAGTGGTGAATTATGTTGCAACGGTTAACATCAACAGGTTTAGATGTAAAAATGGATGGACTTAAAGCTGAAGTTCAAAATTATATTTTTTGAACTTGGGTTGAATCCAGACGTTCCCTTCTTCCAGCAGAGAAGCTCTTTCTATCAGAGGAAAGGAACATTTGGATCCAGCCCCTTGTGAGGAAATCTCTACCCTCGTGGAAAAAAATCTCCATTCATTTTTCCATGTTTTTGTTTGCATTCTAAGGACCAAAGGGGCAATCCTGTTGTGCCTACACATGTAAAACAGCATGAAGAGGTGCCACGTAGAAGCTAGTGTAGTCCTGGCCTCTCCTGCAGCATTACTGCTTTGCAGACCTGCCCCACTGTGGCTGGGAGCTTCTCAAGTCCTTCCAGGTCTCTCCTAAAAGTATCTAGCAGCATCCCCTGTGGTCCTGGCACACAGGCTGCTGGAATAAACAGGAGCATGCAGAGCCCTGGAGGAAAATAAGTTGCTCGATGCTCCCAGGTTAGGCATGGAAAGCCATTCTGTGGTGTGTGTGGCCTGGTTGTGATGCAACACACTGCATACTGCAAAGGTGACCCTGGGTTTTCTGTCCACAAATCAATGCTTCATATATATAAGAGAAATTAACAAATCTTAGGTTGTGCCTGCAATGTCTAGTTACCTTTTGCCTTCAATATGCTTTTTCTCTCAAACTAGCTTTGGGATGCTTGCCTCTTTGTGCAATATTTACAAGCATTCCATATTTGTTTAATTTTACCTCCTCATTTGCATCGTCCCATAAGAGGAATCGGCGGAGGACAACCATAAGCTTTTTCATTGGACAACTTTGTGATATACCCAGCATGATCAGTCCTGGATGAGGTTACAATACCTGTGAAAGAGCAGTTGTATAGTTTGGGAGTGCTCCTTTATCTCAACCCGAGGTACTACTTCCGGGTTAGTGGAGTTTGTAACCTGAAGAGTTTGTAACCCGAGGTACCACTGTGTGTATGTGTGTGTGTGTGTGTGTGTGTGTGTGTGTGTACAGTGGTACCTCGGGTTACAGACGCTTCAGGTTACAGACTCCGCTAACCCGGAAGTAGTACCTCAGGCTAAGAACTTTACCTTAGGATGAGAACAGAAATCGTGTGGCAGCAGCGGGAGGCCCAATTAGTTAAAGTGGTGCTTCAGGTTAAGAACAGTTTCAGGTTAAGAACGGACCTCCAGAACGAATTAAGTTTGTAACCCGAGGTACCACTCTCTCTGTGTGTGTTGGCAATGAGAAAGGGTGGAGTAGAAATTTCCTAAACCAAAAAGTAAAAAAATGTAAAGACCTTTGAATCTCTGCTCTTCCAATTGACCTTTAGTCAACTAAACGGACGGCAAAGGGGAAATGCAGGCAAGGAAGGACATTGTCTCCTGGTTAATCTTGAAAAGAAGACTTATCCCTAATGAATGTCATGACTTCCAAAATGATGGTGGATACTTTACTTTGTTATCGGCATAAGCTCCAATAATGCTGATTTAGCTGTTGAGATTTTAGACAGAAACCCAAGCACTGAAGTGGATGTTCATTCGGGGGGGGGGCGGGGAGAGAGCTGGATGCTGCAGCTGCTTACAAAGCACAGTAAGACCGTCTAGACATTTCCCACTGGAACCCATTTTGCTTACATGCAAACATTAGTTTACTTCCTTGTACCTGCTATCTTGTATCGACTGCCGTTTTAGGTTAACTGTGCGGGTATATATATTTTTCCTTTTCTTTTCTAGCTGTACCCCATAAAATAGGCCGGATAATTGATGGAAGCCCCGCTGATCGCTGCGCAAAGCTCAAAGTCGGAGACCGGATCTTAGCTGTGAATGGCCAGTCTATTATTAACATGCCTCATGCAGATATTGTGAAGCTAATTAAAGATGCTGGTCTTAGTGTAACTCTTCGCATCATTCCTCAGGAGGGTAAGTAATTGACCCTTAAAACCCTGGAGGAAAATAGAAGTAGCAACCAATTAATCTGAACTGCACCCCTAGGAAAGTGAGGAAGTTTTTATATGTGCAGCCAGTGCGTGGCATTATATAAATGTTACTGCTGGATCCCCGCAGACCTTGCTAGAAGAGAATCTGAGCCCTTCAAAAACACTTCAAATGGCAAAAGTATATGTGAACCACCAGGAGAGGCCTTGATGAAGCACTGCAGGGTCTGCTCCTTTGCCTCCTGGGAGAACTAACATTATACAGCAGTTGGAAATAATCACTAGCGTCCCCTGTTCCATTTTCACCCCACTTTACATAATTGCAACTCCACTGACGTCAGCTTTGCTTGGGTTTCTTTTCCTCCCAGTTGTGCAACTGAGAACAGATTTAAAACCACAGGAGCACTAACAGAAGGACTCTTCAGCATTAGGAACTTGTCCTTCCAATGGTTTTGTGCCTTGTGTACTCACAGAGTGGGTGTTAAATTGTGCCCAAAATATGAGGAGAGCATTCTGATCTAATGGCGGTAATTTTGCTCATATCTTATTGCCTGGAAAGGCATAAATTCATCCTCCTTCCCCACTGAAAGCAACATAAGATATAGATTCCCTCCTCCCCCCCCCCCCCCCGTTTATCAGTTTGTCTTATGTCACTGAATAAAAATGTTTTTAAAATATAATATTTTTCACCATTTGATTAACTTAAAGAGGCTGGATTCAAAAGTTTGTTGCACATTTATTACTGAAATCAACATGAAAAAATCATAATGTTCCATTAAAATAAATGAAAATCAAGTTCGACCAACTTCATCTGGATCAAACCCAATGATAGCAAGACCGGCACTACCATTAGGCAAGCTAAATGGCCCTCCTTGGTCAGAAGGTTAATGGGCCGCTAGCAAATGATTGGTCATTTTCATTTATTATATTTTTACCATTGTGAGGCGTGCTCTGGATTTTTTTGCCTCTAGTACAACAATGTCTCTGGCTGTCCCCACTGATAAATCACAGTTCTCTGATGTTGTTGTTTTTCTTCTATAAGAAAACTTACCTTTCAAGAAGGCTGGGGGCACTTTGGGGGGTGGGGCTTAGAACCCTCTGAAGGCAAATCAAGTGTCTTCCTTAACTGCATCATGCGAAGGGCCATTGCTCAGTGATAGAGCACATGCTTTGGATGCAAAAGCTCCCAGGTTCAGTACCTGGCATTCTCCAGGTAAGGCTGGGACGTTTTCCTGCCCAAAGCCCTGGAGAGCTGCTGTTAGTCAGTGTAGACTAAGCTAGATGGGACCAATGATCTGACTTGATAAAAGGCAGCTTCCTGTGTCGTTTGCAACCCAGTGCTGCTCCCCTACCCAGTTCCTGAATTTTGGTACTGATAGCTAGCAGTGGGTAGCTGGACAGCAGCACTTCCCTGATGCCCCAGTGCTGGCATTGCTGCAGGGCCCCAAGAGAGGGAGGGGCAAGGAGGTGATGAGGTTGGCATAGTGCAAACACATCGACAGGAACACCGGATTGGCTCTAGCTGTGTGTTTGCACCACACTGACCTCTCTCTTGTTATGCCTCAGCAACCCCTGCTGCTGCTGATGCTATGGGCTTATGCAGAGATAAATATGGTTGCAGACTATGCAAGACAGATTGGAGAAAAACACATTTCTCTCTAACCACCTCTGCCCACAAAGCAATCAACATTTGGCATGAGAATTGTGTTCTTAGAGGTACAGGGAAAGGAGATGAGTTCTGTTTCATTAAGTAGTCTGTGTAGCTTTACATCCCAGTAGCACAATACTAAAAGACTAGAGATGTTGAATACATAAGTTGTGTGATTCTGTAGCAGTCTGTGTTGCTGGATGGATAACTTCTTTGCTTCCTGGAGATATTTTCCCTATTGGAAGTGCTACAGTATGAAAATGAACACTATATCACATACACATTTACAAATATTTGTTAATATCTTATGCACCTAAGAGGGGCTGACCTCGTTTGGCAATGGCAAATGTTTAGCTGAGTTCAAAGGCAGCTGGTCTAGCCTACATAGTTTGGCTTTCCTTCCTGTTTTATTTGTCTAAATGTGCACTGCCCAACAGATTCAAAATGGATAATAGCAATTGTACATTAATAGCTTCTAGATATTTAGGTGCTTAGAAGTTAAACAGAGCATGGAGAATAGAAGAAAGAAAACCTAAGAATACTACAAAGAATATTGTGGCGCCTTAGAAGACTGACAAAGATTTACTATGACATGGGTTTTTGTGAAGTTGGGCTAAGAAAAAGCAGGGTTTTTCTGAAGATGTCTCTATTAACCCTACTCTCCTCCACTCATTCAAATGCATTAGTTCTATTCCAGTCCAAATCCTTCATCCCCTTCTCACTGAGTAAATTAGGCTGCAATCCTGTGCACACTTCCTCATGCACATGAACCCTGTGGGAAGTCTGTGATTGGTCTGTTAGTCATTCAAAACAGATCTTGAACATAAATTTGGGAAAGATATATCTGTGGCCAAATGGTTTTGAATCCAAGCAAAATTTCTCTCTTCCAGTTCCCTTTCCTTTCACTGTCATCTTCCTCTCCTTCTTACATCATGCGTCACAGGTCCAGGGGTCCAGATTTGAAACCTTGCATGAACGAGCACGATATTATCTATGAAAATCTTCCATCTGATACTGTTGTGCTCACGTTTTAGACGTGTGGGCCTAAGCCGTCTAAAGGTTCAGCTGCAGAGCTGTAGTGAGCTGCTATGGGCTCTCATTTTCTCTCTTTTTCTCAAAATGGAACCTTTCCATATTTCTCTCTGCCCTTGGAAGGAACTCTGAGAAATGAAATGTGTATGTCAATTCCAACTGGGTTTTGAATAACACGCATGCCAGCCAGAGCAGGATGAGATTTCAAACACGATCAGATGAAGCTTTCTAAGTTCAGGTGTCTTAAAATCTAATTACAAGCCATGATAATAAAAGCAACAGAACATAAATTGCCTGAGATGGGGTATGACACAGCAATGATTGCCTCCCTTTGCCCTTTACTAAATGCCACGCGGTGACAGCTCTCTAATCATCAGTCTTCCGTTATGCAGAGCTGAGCAGCCCAGCTTCCGCACCCAGCTCAGAAAAACAGAGCCCCATGGCGCAGCAGCACAGCCCCATGGCTCAGCAAAGCCCCCTATCCCAGCAGAGCCCCGTAACACAGCCGGCGCCTCCACAGCCTCTCCAGTCCCAAGGACACGAAAACAGGTAAGGAAAGGGCAGGTGATCCAGCATTCTGCTTCCTGCAGGTATACAATGCAAGACTGTGATTCCCTAATGGTGTTGTTTGGGAGACCCTTTGGGGGAAGTGAAGGGGGCGGCTCAGATGTAGTCAACATTTTGGCTCAGATCAGAATAGCCCTCCCACAGACAGAAGGGCTCTTTCTGTTTGCAGAAAGGACCGTGATCAGGAGAAGCTCCCACTCATGGAAGGAGAAGGGAGCAGTTCCCCCCAAGTCTTCTCTTCTGTTTCACTCCCCACATTGTTCCAGAGCATATTTTTAAGGAACAGAAGGAGCTACAGGGAGTAAGTCAGGGAAGTAGCTCCCCAACTCTTTCTGTGAGAGGGACCATTCTTTGAGCAGAATTCCTCTCACGGGCTACCGGCATCCAGCCCTTTATGCTAATGAAACAGTGCATAATTTGGCGATTACGTATCTATTGCTGTGAGTGGAACCTAGCGCAAATGGCACTTTGTCTATGTAGTAATTGCCAAAGCTTTCATTTCATGACTTTTGACATGATTTTACCTTATTCATGTTAAGAATTCTTATGGTACTGCCTCAGAATATTACATCACTGGCTGCACTACCAGATTCCTGACAATATGACTTGCACTGTTGCCATAGAACACCTTATCATGTGAAAATGGTGCACAAAAGTTACTTTGATCAGAAGTGGTCATGAGGGTCAGATATGGTTATGATGCTGTTCCATCTTTTTAATCTTAAAGCGGACTCCCTCTCATGAGCCACACAAACATACCAGTATTAGAAATCATTTTGTCAAGCAAAGTTACAGCTTTCTTGGTTTATAGCAGATCATTAATCTCCAAATCATTTCTCCATGTTAGTTACCAATCTACTTTTTTGTATCCTTCACGGACACAAGTAAGAAAGCTCTACCTTAAGAGAAAGTATCAGGTTAAAACTTCTATGGCCATTTTGTAATTTCCGGACAATTATATTTTGTCCTTGAATTAACTTTCGTCTTGTAAAATGTGACCTAATACATTATCATTATAGTCATTCACATCATTGATTTACCAATGTACCTCGTCCAAACCTTGACCCAACAGTAAATGACAGTTTCCAAGTTCCTACACAGTGTTATAAAAAGGACTAATTAGTTGTGGTTCAAGTACAATGCTCTGTATGTCATACTCATTTAACACTCCTACAAAATTAAGGCTGCAATCCTAAACACACTTAACTGTAGAAGCAAGTTCCTTTGAAATCAGTGTGGTTTACTTTTAAGTAATGTGCTGAAGACTGAGATGCTAATGATCCAAAATCTTTATAAGGTACTTTAAGAAAGCTACGTTAGGTGCATCCAGTGGGAGCTTTTGATTGTTAACTTCTTATACTTTTTGGAGAGCAGACCTCCTGATGCCTTAGCACAAACTGCTTCTGAACATATTTTCCATTTCAAAAGATTGTAGGGCATGATCTGAAGGAACCCAGTGCACCAGCTTTGCTGAAGCCAAGTAGGCTTGGCTCAGGATGGGAGGCCACCTTGTGCTCCTTGTGTATGTTGCCTTGGGTTCCAGGACAGAAGAACAGTAAGGCATAAATGCCAAATAGAAATAAAGAAATGTTGCTACTACAAAGGATGAGGTTAGAGAAACACAGGGTCAGCACTTCTGTAGGTGGGTGAAGCTAGTTGTTCAATTCTTTGGATCTTTGACATTGAGTAGAGAACAGCTCAGTTTCATGTGGCCTTTGAGCTAATGTCATCTGGGTGGCAAGAAGAGAGAAAAGGGGGAAAGGGGTAGCTGAAAGAGTGGAGAAATGTGGGAGAAAGGGAGCGAAAGGCGTAGCAGAGAGGGGGAGAGGGAGAGAGGGATGGCAGACTGGGGGTGACCCTACGCCAGGCATAGGCAAACTCGGCCCTCCAGCTGTTTTGGGACTACAGCTCCCATCACCCCTAGCTAACAGGACCAGTGGTCAGGAATGATGGGAGTTGTAGTTCCAAAACATCTGGAGGGCCGAGTTTGCCTGTGCCTGCCCTACACACTTTTGACTCTGACCTTTGAAGATGCATGTGAATTTTTATGCAGAGTTATTTTTAAAATATGGAAAGGGAAACATTGCAATAAATGCCCACATTTATTTTATTTAATCTTCAGGGCAAAACTAGACAAACATTTACATTGCGCTTTCTGAAAATGAGTGTGCATGGGTCTTGTTCCTAAGGGAGTGGTGTCTAGTGACACACCAGCTTCAAAGAATGAAGGTACTGCCGGTCTGGACTGCACTAGAACACATGTGTTCCCCCGTAACAGCAGCCATTTGAGACAAAGCACCTACAGCTACCGTAGGACAGTCAAGGAGGGAGAATAAGTATGTCCTCACCAGCAACAGCTAGAGAGGATGGCGCAGGCAGTGCAAAAAAAAAAAAAGCTGACTGCCCAGCTACCACCAGTCACATCTGTGTGGGGGCAACTAGACACTCAGCAGTTGCCTGCTTTCATTACATTGAGCCACTCACAGTCTCCACTCACCATTTACCAACCGTGGGCATCATGCTTCTAACTATCCCCTTGATCTGGTATGATCCCTCCTGACACAGATCATTTTCTACCCAATTCAGTTCAACTCATTTTGCAACCTAGAAGTTTGCTTTTCTTGAAACGTATTTAACAGCTACCAAGTTTTCAGTTTAAAGAATGCCTCACTAAGGTTCCAGCATAACAATTCTTTATTGCTTAGTTATAGGTCAGAGGTAAAAGCACGGCAGGATGTGAAGCCCGACATCCGACAACCTCCCTTTACAGACTATAGGCAGCCTTCAACGGACTACAGGCAGCCTCCATTAGACTACCGACACCCTCCAGTTTTGGATTACCAGCAACCGCCACCTCTGGACTACCGACAGCCCCCGTTGATAGACTACAGGCAACATTCTCCTGACACCAGGCAATACCCTTTATCAGATTACAGGCAGCCCCAGGTATCTGTCTGTTTGTATCTATCGTTCTAATAACTTTTTCCATTGAACCAAGCCCAAAGCCATTCACGATGAAGTTTGATACTTCTGTCTGTTGATATTTAATTGAAGTCTCAAACCTAGTGGTTTGCATGCAGGAAAGGAGAAGAGACACCATTCGGGGGTAGCGCATGGGCTTGGCGTGTAGAAGTTTCCTAGGCTCAATCCCTGACTTGCCCACATAAACAAAGGCAATGGGAAAGGGTTCTGCCAGAGACTCTGGAAAGCTGCCGCCAGTTTGAGTAGACAATACTGGACTAGTTGGACCAATGGTCTAATGAGTTAGTATAAGGCAGATGCACAGGATCAATTAAATTTTGAATGCATTGATATGGGCAGTATCCAACTAACATGTTCCTCAGCACAAGGATTTCTACTTGTGCAGTGGGCCTTCCCCCACTTTCCTCCCCTCCTCCCCAAATCTGCTCTGGAGGATTGGGGCAGGGGGAATCCTAGAACAGATTTTGCTACTTTGGTAGAGTTGCCATATTTCAAGAAGTAAAAAATCTGGACGATCAGTGGCCCAGCAAAAGTTGTTGAGTTTTTGATCGCCAAAGAAGTTGTTGAGCTTATTTCGGGCAATTGCCACGAGGAGCCACTGGTCACTGAAGCTGCACTGAACTGCGCTCAGCTCCACAATCAGCTTCCTCTTCCTCCTCCTGTCACCGCCACTGGCTGGGGGCTGCTTCTCCCCTCCTTCCCCTCCACAGCAGGAGGAGGAGCCGGCCACTAGAGCTGTGCTACACTCAGCTCCATGCTTGACCTACTCCACCCCCTGATTGTTCTGAACATTGGGGAGGGCACCCCCAAACTGGAGGGGCAGCAGAGCAGGGCCCCTAGGAGTTGGCACCTATGGTGTGGATAAGCCCCAAGTATTCCTCTGTGGGGAAGCATTCAGGCATGCAATCCTACCTCACCCCATAGCCTAGGGAAAGCTTTCCTGCTTGGTTTTGCTAATTTTATAAAGTGGACCTAAAAGGAGGGGGAAGGAAATGTACAGAGAGAAAGAGAGATTATTAATGCATCATGTATAATTCAGATTGAGAGTGCCTTGGTGATTCAGAAGGGCAAGAAAACTTCTGTTTATGTATACGTTTTCTAAAAAAAATTAAGAGAAGTGTTTAATACCCTCAAAATCTCCTTCACAGTGTTATCTCCAATCCACAGTTGAAATACTTAGAGTTAAGCTGATTTGCATCCCAATCATATAACCATTTCCCTGGAAGTATGTCCCATTTATTTCACTGGGATTACTTCCAGGTAAACACACTCCAGCCTCCTTGGTTTTCTTTCTACTGACCAATCTGCCTCGGACAGATCTTAAGGAGCCACCATAAAGCTATGGTTTGTGACACTGATTCGCCATAGGTATTGGCACACCCCATTCAAAGTGCTTATCTGCTGATATAATGGCTGCATTCAGACATCTCCCCCAAAGCAGCAAAAACATTAAAAAAAACCATGTACCCAGATCAGATACTTACCAGATAACAACAGCCTGTGTGGAGAAATAAGTACAGTGGTACCTCGGGTTAAGTACTTAATTCGTTCCAGAGGTCCGTTCTTAACCTGAAACTGTTCTTAACCTGAAGCACCACTTTAGCTAATGGGGCCTCCTGCTGCCGCCGCACCGCTGGAGCACAATTTCTGTTCTCATCCTGAAGCAAAGTTCTTAACCTGAAGCACTATTTCTGGGTTAGCGGAGTCTGTAACCTGAAGCGTCTGTAACCTGAAGCGTATGTAACCTGAGGTACCACTGTACACTCCTTTCCTCTTCAATACACATCGAAGGCTGAAAACACAACCACCAGATTTGCATGATTCTTCCCAGTAAAAAAAAACAAAAAAAGAACGAATTAGGCCTTTTTGAGTATCAGCCTCCTTGTGGACTACATGTATCACACATAATTTTAGATGCCTTTCACCACACAATAACTGCTGCCAACTAGTAAGTGTTTGAACCAGGCTGTAGCATCAAACATTAAAACAGATGTTGGGAACATTCGGCCTTTACAGATGTTGCCGAACTACAACTTCCACCATCCCAGGCCACTGGCCATGTTTGCTAGGGGTGATCGGAGTTAGAGTTCGGCAACATCTGGAGGGCCAAAGGTTCCCCATGCCTGCAGTAATTCAAGCTAAGTCACAAGTATTTTCATTTAATTTAGCTATGGGTTGAGAATTGTAGCCTCGATAAAGAAAATCGCTCTCCATTCATTAAAATGATTCATTTCCCCCCTGTTCTTTGACCATTCAGGACTTTGATTATTTTACTGTGGACATGGAGAAGGGAGCCAAAGGATTTGGATTCAGCATTCGAGGAGGAAGAGAGTACAAAATGGATCTCTATGTGTTGAGGTTGGCAGAAGATGGGCCAGCAATAAGAAACGGGAGAATGAGGGTAAGCTGGGTTGAAGAGGAGGGAGCTAGCAGAGGTACTTGAAAGCAACGGCACAGTCCAAACCCACAATCTTGCAGGATTAGAGAGTTTGGATTTGGCAGATCTTGGGCTGTCCCAGTTTAGCAGTGGCTCAGCCAGTCTAACGTAAGACAGTGTGAGTCCCCAAAAGGGGAAATACTGGGGAAGGGGCAAGGAGAGACTTCCAAACCCCTTTCAGGTTTGTCATGTGACCGGAAACCTGGTGAAACATACACTGGTGGTCTAAGTCATTGAATCATGGAACCATAGAATGGTAGAGTTGGAAGGGACCCCAAGGTCCGCAACCCCCTGCAGGAATGTAGGAATCTCAGGTAGATCATGCATGACAGATGGCCATCCAACATCTGCTTAAAAACCTCCAAAGAAGGAGAGTCCACAACCCTCCCAAGGGAGACTGTTCCACTGTCAAACTATTAGAAAGTTTTTCCTGCTGTTTAGTAACTTGAAGCCATTAAGTCATATTCACCCTGAATTGAGTTTTTACTAGGGGTGCACTATGGTGGCTTTCTATACTACTACTACTACTACTACTACTACTAATAATAATAATAATAATATTTTTAAACTATTTATACCCTGCCCATCTGGCTGGGTTTCCCCAGCCACTCTGGGCAGCTTCCAACAAAATATTAAAACACAATAGTCCATCAAACATTAAAAGCTTCCCTAAACAGGGCTGCCTTCAGGTGTCTTCTAAAAGTCTGGTAGTTGTTTTTCTCTTTGACATCTGGTAGGAGGGTGCTCCACAGGGCAGGTGCCACTACCAAGAAGGCCCTCTGCCTGGTTCCCTGTAATCTGGCTTCTCGCAGTGAGGGAACCGCCAGAAGGCCCTCAGCGCTGGACCTCAGTGTCCGGGTAGAACGATGGGGGTGGAGACGCTCCTTCAGGTATACTGGACCGAGGCCATTTAGGGCTTTCAAGGTCATCACCAACACAAACGTACTGGTTGTTCTGCAACTATCATTGAACAAAGTCAAACGTACCTTGAAGAAAGCATGTGGAGGGTCAGGATGTCAGGCTGTGATTTTGTGTACATTTACTTGAAAATAACTCCCAGCCAGACTCAAAGCATATAGGACTTTGCTGCATGAATGCTGCCCTGCAACTTTTTCTCTTAAGCCTCTCCCTCTCCAGAGTCTTGAGGTGGGACTTGCCCATGCCTTCAAAGTATAGAGTCTTGAGGTGGGATTTATGCTATAGCTCCTCATCTGGGAGGGAGCCTCATTGACCTCAGTGAGCCTTCCTTCTGGTGAAACACGTTGTACAGTATAGGATTGCATTGTCAGAAAGTTAAAAAGATGCCTGTGCCTGATTACTCATGCATAATAGTCCATGGAGCTCATCCAAATGTTCAGCGGCTGCTCTTTCTTCTTGATGCAGGAAATAGCTTCTCTTAATGTAAAGTTATTTTTAGCTCTGGAAACCATAATTTTGCAGTGATCTCTATGCAACAAAGGGTTTTCTCGAGAATTAATCTACGAGACAGCACTCAGGCACTTGAGAAGGGCAATATTTAAATATTAACTACCAGCCTATAGAGTATTTTGTTTACTTTTTTATTGCAAAAGAGAAAACTGTGTATTTGTTGTTGGGCTTTGTGTGAATGATCAAAAAGAGAGCTGAGAACTAAAAATAGATGCATTCATAACCATTCCAAAAGTGCTGTCTTTAAATAGGGAAGAAATAACACAAGATAAACAAGTCTCTTCCATCATGCATTGTGGATTTGATGATGCCTCTACTTCCTGATACCCCCGGATTTGTTTTGCAATTTCTTTCTGACAATATATAAGCATCTTATCGGGGGGAAACCTGACATATCTTGCACCTTTCATTCATGACATTCTGAATTGGGGGCAGGGAGGTAATCTTCCTAATTCTACACTCACTCATGCTAGCTATAGTCCTCCTCCATTCTGAAGCCAACTAATTAAAGATTGGTTGAGGGAGTTTCTTTAGATTACAGCAATGTCACTGAATGTTATTTCCACGAGAAGGACAGAGGCATGAGTAACTCCGTCATCTTTGTATTATATACAGGCACAAGGACACACATTACAGAAAGCTGCATGAAATCGTAGATGTAGGTGCTTCATAAGAATGTCTCTGTCTCCTGCAGACTTGAGCATGGGCCAAAATTGCCCATGCCTTCAGAGTATAGGTGGTGCTTGAGCTATTGAGGAACTAACTCTGGTGGTTTCCAAACACTTCACTGTAAATGAGTGCTTTGGGGAGTGTGTAGCCTTTTGCATCGCACAGTGAGAGTTTGTCATCATCAATAAAGCATTACCCAAAAGCATTCTACCCTAAGGTATCTGTGAGTCAGAGAAGGCTGCAGTTGGCTGGGATGCTGGCGCTCATTCAGCAAACTCATGCGAGAGAGAAAAGCAGGTGAATAAAAAGAAACGGCAATCCTGCGTTTAACAGGATGTGCAAGAGTCTCTTTGGTGAGGCTCACTGGATGGGTCAATAGACTCAGTACAAACAAACGAACTAAGAATGATGGGTACACAAGTCTGATGGAACTGAACTCATCAGAGATTAGAGATGAGGTGTTCATTTATTGAAGAAACACTGGGAACACCAAAGGGTAAAAAAACAATTGAAAGTGCAGCCGGGAACAGAAAGCAAACAGAATGCATTTGTATTCAACAAGTGCAACAGATCAAAGCCTCCTGGGTGCTGAGAGCAAAATTACAGTACAACCTCATTTTCTAGTTGCCCCAGACATTCCACTAATAAGATATTTGAGTAAACAGAACTCTTTACTTAGGTTACATTGATATAGAGATATTCAAGTCAACATACAGCCAATTCAAATTACCTGAACGGTGTTTTCTTTTCTGTAATCAATGTTTCTGATATGACGGTGCTCTAGTGGTTAAGAGCGGTAGACTCGTAATCTGGTGAACTGAGTTCGCTTCCCCGCTGCTCCACATGCAGCTGCTGGGTGACCTTGGGCCAGTCACACTTCTCTGAAGTCTCTCAGCCTCACTCACCTCACAGAGTGTTTGTTGTGGTGGAGGAAGGGAAAGGAGATCGTTAGCCACTTTGAGACTCCTTAAGGGGAGAGAACGGTGGAATATCAAGTCCAAATTCCTTCTTCTTCTTCTTCTATTCAACATGTTTCTCTGCTACCAAGGAGTCTCACAGTCTTCCAATTCCTGAAATATGAGTGTCATGTTTGAAAGCTTATCAGCTGCTAACTACCCTAGCCCTATGTGTCCAGTTTGCATACATCATAGGCTCTGTTTTCAGAGTTTCTAGTGAATATGCAGAGGATGTGGAGGCCACCCCACCAGCGGACACAGTCTTACCCACCTCGCTCCATGTACCCATTGCACACACTCGGCCCATCAGCCTGGGAAGTCACTGGGTGACCTTGGGGCAAGTCACTTTCACCTCTCAATGCAACATGCCCCAACAAAGTTGTTGTGAAAATCTCCGAGGATAAGTATAGTGCCCTGATCATTTTGGAGACAGAGAAGTTTACAGAGGTTGTCTATAAATATATAATCATGAACTAGGAAGCCACTCGCAATTAAGATAGTTCCTGCCTGAAAATTGTGCGTTGCCTGTGGTCTGAATCATACATTTAAGTTAATCTGCTTCCAATAAACCTCAAAACTCACGATCTATGTTTAACCATCCTTTATTTTCTGAAGCAGACTCTGAAGGCATTTGAAGGACTTTATCCTAATTCCCTGCTTCATATATCATTATCCAGTTTTAGCAAAACTGGCATTGGATTCTGACTGCTCTGATAATTCTTGAAACCAAATTGAGCACTAATGCCTTAGTTACACAGCACACAAAGGTGTGGCAAGGCACCAGTTTGCTAGCTTTCCACAAACACTAGTCCCAAGCAGGCTTGTATTGACAAAGAGACATAAATTGGCCAGATTTATTGTATACACAACAAAGAAATGCAAAATGAGTTCCTCTAGAATGCTAAATCTGTTTCAGCTGTGCAGTTGATGCTATCATAAATCAGAAGCAAATAGGTGATCCATTATACAGTATCTTTACACAAACTGAGGACAATCCACAGAATCTATTTCAGGAAAAATAAAAGGGAAGGAACAAGATTGCTGTTATATATGGTTGACTTGATTCTCCAGAACAACTCAGGTTGTCTTGTTAGAAATGTCTTTAGAATCTCATGGGTCAGAGGAAATCTTTAACAGCAGCCACAAAAGAAAGGTCAGCTAATAATCTCAACTTTTAATATAACTTTTTTTAAAAAAAAGACATTTCAAACAGAATTGTTTTTGAGACTGCATTATCTGCTGGAGTTATACACACTTTGGGCTCTGTGGAGAGGATTAGCATGACCACTGGTAAATAATACATTGTTGTTGTTTAGTCATTTAGTTGTGTCCGACTCTTCATGACCCCATGCGCTAGAGCACACCAGGCACTCCTGTCTTCCACTGCCTCCCACAGTTTGGTCAAAAATTATACATTAGTGTTCTGGAATAAGTTCTTTAAATTATAGCTCTCATCTAAGATGTTGTGCAACATTCATGCTTTAAGGCTTCTGCCATTAGAATATCACAGGCAGTAATCTAGAAAACATTGCTGCCTCACATTAGGGGAGAGCAGCGCACAGGCTCTCAGAAAATTAGTGCAACATGCTCCATACCATAAAAATAAGGGGGAATTGTAATGATATGCTATAGCTCTAAATATCCTACCTGGAGACTAGGCCTTTGCATCAATTTATAAAAACAGAACATGATTCCCAGTGAGACAAATTAGAAGCTCTTTGTGACAAAGAGCAAAGGCCTAGCAAGCAGAGAAAACAGTGAGAGGTATCATTATGCCACACAGCTGTATGGATGTCAGCTCTGCACATGTCCCTCTCCATCCCATGCACAGGAGCTGACTCGACTGGCGGCTGACTCTTCCTTCAACACTGGCAATGGGGTACCATCGCCCACCTGCGCCAAAGGGCAGTTTAGGATATTCCTGGCAGGTCATGGGACACACAGCTCTAATCTCTCCAGCTAAAGGCAATGGCCAGTGGCCCAAGAGGAGCTTCCACAGCTCCCCACTCTGTCAGCCACCTGAGGTGACTGCCTCACTCTGCCTAATGGTAGGGCTGACGCTGCTCAGTAAGAAAAAAAAATGTCTGGGGTGGAAAAGACTTGGGGAAGGGAAGGTCGTGTGCAGATCTTGTCTGGGATCAGGAATTTAGGTGGTGTTGCCCTTGAAGACAATTCAGAATCTTCAGCTTGGCAGAATACAGCAGCCAGAATCCTGATTTGGATTCCGTTTAGAACTCAGTTTGTTTCTGGATTGAATTTAAGGTGCTCACACTAGCGCATGGCCCCAGATATCTGAAATACCTCTTCCTTGAATCAGGGACTGGCTGGCTGAAAAGGAGTGGTGGGAAGTACCAGCCAGGAAGCCCCCTAGGGAAGCCCCAGAAGAGGAAGGCTCGGAGCCAGGGGAATGGAGCACTGAGGACAGGTCAGAGGGAGGAAGGGGAGGGAAGGGGAGGAATGGCTGGAGGCTTGAAGATGCGAGTAGATGTGAGCGAGCAAGAAGAGCCAGGTGCAGAAAGCAAGGCAGACTTTGCTGATGAAACAGGAAGAGAGGACAGCATCTGCAGAAGTAGCCCAGGAGCTTGCTGTTCCTACTGAACTGAGCAGAGAGGGCTTTGCATGTAGCAGAACAAAGGGCACAGAGTTTAAGTTTAGTTTAAGTTTTTGGATGTAGTTTAAGGCTGCTAGGGAAACTTTGAGCTAAGGCATAGGTGGGGTCTTAGGAGGACGTAGAGGAACTGGCAACTGCTCAGTGGAAGCAAGTTTGGTTGGTAGGCAGTGCCGAGCTGTTAGCCATGTTCCTAAATGAAGTATTACTGAACTTGTGTTGGTTAGGGATGCGATATTTCAAGAAGTGAAAATCCGGACACAAAAGTTGTTAGCTATTTTTTGGGATTCAACACTTTCAATATCTCAGGACGATACTGGTTAAATTTGGACAGCTGTATAAAAAAAGAACATCTAAAAATTAACTACGATAAAACCAAGGACACTGTATTTGGCAAGAGGACTACCAAATCCATGTGGACTCTAGACAGTCACACCCTTGAGCAAGTACCCAGATTTAAATATCTGGGATTACTTATCAATGGGAAGTCAGCATGGAAACCCCATCTGGAAGCAATTACGCTAATATCTGGCCGTTCTCCTGGGCTGCTATATAGGTTCTTCCATTCAAAGGGTGGGCAGTTAATCAACCCAGTTATTAACCCATTGGCCTGATCCAGCAGGGCTTCTCCAACATTCTTATGGCTTGCTTGAGGCCACCTAGTAAGTGAATGGCTAGAGCAAAAACTGAGCTGAGCTACACCAGCCACCGACGGCAGCAGCCTGTGCATTGGATCTGCTGTTACGAGGACTGCTTTAATGAGTTAACTTTCACCGAGAGAGGGGCTTTCAGCTCAGGAGAGAGGGAGCCCCATGCTGTGGGGGAACTTGCACAATTCAGGGCCCTTCCCAGGCTGCTTCTTTCTATCAGAAGGAAGTATGAAAAAAGTAATAAGATATTGAATATTTAATTTGGAAGCTACAATGCACGTATAAATAGGAGATGTCACTTTCCATAGGGTAATTAGTCTCTTTCAAGAGGTTTAATTATAAAATGCATTAAGGAGATGGCAGACAGCAGTGCCCTTTGTGCACAATCATCGGGGGCTGTTTTTACCATTAAATTTCCCCACTTAACGCAGGTTGAAAGCCCGCACATGCAATTACCTTCATTTCTGGTGCAGCAGGGAAGCAGCACACCTGTAATGAGTTTTTTTTGTTGGCGGAGGCCTGCTCATTCAAGAATGGCACAGCAGGCAACTTGCTTTAAGTTAGGCAACTGTAATTGCTTTGACACGTCATAAACCAACCGTGCACGTCGACTGAAAATATTTACTAACCTGCTAAGCACATCTAGTAACCTGCGTTCATCAAAAGGCCCAGTTAATGCCTGTCTTCCCCACTGACCCCACCACAAGCCAGCTCTTTCCTCAGTATTCCTTCGATTCCAATTCCTAGATCTTTATTCTGTTGCCGATTTTCCAGCCTCTCACAGGGAAGTTGGAAGCTGAGTCAGAGCCGTGGTTCCTCTGGCTCATTTTTGTCTGCCTGGCTGACATAGGCTCCCCAAGGTTCATTCTCTTGGAGTTCCTGAGGAGTGAACCTTCCCTCCTCCAGGAATACTTCACACAATACGTTTCCTCATTGTAAAATGATTCACGCACGTACACAGAGCAAAACGTGTGGTGGGAAGAAAGTGAAGTGTTTCTCCCTCCCCATAATACTAGAACCGGGTTATCCATTAATGAAGCTGCGGTTTCGAAGATTCAGGACAGACAGGATGGAGTTCTTCACACGGCGCATAGATGACAATGGAATTTGCTCCCACACAAGATGAAGCAATGGCCGCCAACTTGAATGGCTTTGAGAGAGGATTAGGCAAAGTCATGGAGGATTGGGTTTTGCATGGCTACCAGCCATGATGTCTAGGTCCTACGAGACAGTGTGCCTCTGAGCACCAGATGCTGGGAATCACAAGCGGAGAGGGTGCTGTTGCGCTCAGGTCCATCTTCTGGGCTTCCCAGAGGCATCTTCGTTGGCCATTGTGAGAACAGGATGTTGGACTGGGTGGACTTTTGGCCTGATCCAGCAGCCTGGTTCTTCTAAAGGCAGCCTCTACAAACTGTGCAGCTGTACAAAGTCATTGCAGGATCTTTCCGGGCCCCTCTAAAATTTATTTATTAGATTTGTATACTGCTCTTCATCTGAAGATCAAAGAGCGGTTCACAACATAAAAATACAAAGTGAAAACACAAAATACATAAAAAAGCAAAACAAACCAATAACCCCACTCCCACATACATACCCAAAAGGCCACGGAATGTTAATCAGCCAAAGGCCTGCTTGAATGAAAAATGTATTTGCCCGGCACCTAAATACATGAAATGAAGGAGCCATGTGAGCCTCCCTGAGGAGAGCATTCCACAAACCAGGAGCCACTGCAGAAATGGCCTGTTCTCATTTTGCCACCCTTTAGACCTCTCATAGAAGAGATGCCTCAGAGGATGATCACAGGGTCTGAGTCAGTTCCAATGGGCAGAGGCATTCTTTGAGGTATTGCAGTCCTAAGTTGTCAGTGCAGTTGGGCCAGGATCGGAGTAATATGCTCAAATCCCAATGAGCAACCTGGCCACCGAATTCTGCACCAGACCAACTAGTCTTCCTCACCCCCTGCCACCAAAAGAAATGCTTCCCCTTGCATCTCATGTAGTACTGTAGTGCCAAACCATAATCCTAAGGACAAAGCAACCAGAAAGGCAGTTCTCCTGGATCAATATAAATACACTTATCTGGGGGAACCTGACGTGTCAAAGAAAATAATAGAGCTATTTATTGGGAGAAATATAGTAGGAAGTTTATTAATGATTTACCTGCTAAATAGAGGGTTAAAAGAAAAAAGTACATACAAATGTTGCATACATCCGAGTCTCTTTATTTTAATGGTTTTTAAAAGCTTTACAATTTTATTTGTAATTAACCTATCAATAAAAATGTCACTTAGATGCTCCCTAGGAATATTATCTCCTCATTATTGTCACAAAACAGGCTGCTCAATTTCATAGCTCAGTTGTTCTAGAGCCTGGCTGGAGAATCTGAATTAATCTGAACTGAAATGACTTTTTCTTGAAAGCAACACACTCTCCTGCTTTCATAAATATAAAAGAAAAGAGTAATTAAGATGCATCTTACAATGGATCATAAATGCAAACGAAGTTTTTGTGTGGAGGTGTGACACGAACACTGTGTTCTGATGAAAGCCTGCATTTTATTTTGGGGGTGTGCCGATATCAAGCAGCTAGGTACATTAGTGACTTGGCATGGCATCTCCCTCTGTGCCTTCCTCTTCTCTTGCAACTCCACCCTAAATATCACCCCAGATCCTTGGCTCCCAGCCCCCTTGCCACCCAAGCCTTCCCTTTTCTGAATATTCCTCCCTGAAACAACACACATTTCCCCCACTTCCCAATAAATATTCCATGCATATGCAATGTAAAAGATACAGCCAAACATTAGGCAGGTTTGTACAATAATTTAGAGGTTAATATAGCAGTTTAATGTCCTCTACTCTCCATCTTAACAGATTGTCCCAGAGTGAGCCATAGATAGCTAGTGCAGAGGGAACAACATTGTCCTTTCCAGTGTGCAGAATAAACATGTACTGTACCATAATGTGTCAAAATCATCTTTGCTCTTTGTGTTCCTTAGCACTCTTAAGATGCTGGGTTAGTTTCTCTGTAAGATTCTTCCACAATCTATTCAACCATGCCTCTATAGACTCAAGGTAGTAGCTGTTTTCCATTAGTATTAATATTCCTCTAGCTGCAGACATTAAAAAGTTTAGAAACATCAATGCTAACATACAGGTCCAGCTCCAATCAGATGGGGCAGGGTAAGGTAGCTTCATTTGGGGGGCAGGGTGGAGAGAGAGAGAGAGAGTATAAATCATTCATATTCAAACATGACTTAGATTTCCACCCAAGTCTGAGTTGATTTTCAGATGCCTCTCATAGTGAGAATTGTCTCCATGCTCTCAGGGGGAGCTCTCCCCATGCTGAGCTATTGCAGAACAGGTGTGTTGCTCTGGTATTGATAAATGTGCTTATTTAATCTGCTCAGCCATGTGTCCTGCTCTCCAGCAGCTCTACTTGTTTAGAAAATCCCATCTAGGTTTTATGACATTCTGTGCTGCAGTGATCAAATGTCCCAACAAAATGAGCTGCGGTTTTCTTTAGCTGGAAAGCACTGATAGTCGACTGTTGTTCTGTTGATACTGTGCTTCTTTGACGGAGCCCACATGCTCTTGTTCATGTGGGTGATAACCTCTGGCCCATCAAGACGCAGGAAAACAGACAGCTGTGGGGTTTAGGGAGCCCTGGTGTCGCATTGGCCGTTCTTATCAGTGTAGCTTGTTTGACAAATCAAGATACTCGTTCATGGGGACTACTTTCTAACATGTTTCTCAAAAGAAACACAGGCAGAGCAGTTATAAATAAAGAGTGCACATATGGCATTAAAAGAAGCAGCTTGTGACCTAGGTATGAATTATGCTGAAGTTAAAAAAAGGCGGCCAGCTTATTGATTTGCTATCTTACATATTTCAATTCCGCTTTCAGGGTGCCTGCAAGGCAGCTCATAGGCTAACAGCAATCCAAAACAGTAGGAACAGCAATAAAATAGCACGAAACATAAAAAGATATTAACAGTAATAACACCAGCAAATAAAAATCTGCCAAACCAGGGAGTTAATTTAACTTGGGTTCAAATTTGCACTTTTGCCATCCGGTGGGTCAGGGAGCAAATACCTGACTCAAGATTATAACTGAAATTCAGTGTACTGATATAGACTGCTTCTTTCAAAGAATAATATCTTCATATAAAAAATAAGATGAGCTTTGAAGACACAGCGATGTAAAGGAAAATGCCGTACATTCTTCAGAAAATAATGACGGATTAAGAATGGCATAAGAATAGTGTTGTAATTACAGCGACAAAGCAATCAATAGGGTTGCTATTTCCTACCCTAACTGAAGATTGGGCCTCGTCCTCACTTTTGCCAGGCAGCACACTTTTCAAAAAGAATGTCTTAAGTGCCCTATCATTTGCTAGGATTTGATTTTCTTTTAGAGCTGGGGCACAATCCATCCCATGTTAAGCACTTTTCATTCTCATTTATTTCAGCAGGAGAAAGTTAAGCACATGTTTAATTCCATCACGAAAACAAATGGGATTTAAATAATGGGCTGACTTTGCTACGTTGTGCCGTTGTTGTTGCTTATTTTACTTTTATTCCATATCTTCTCCTGGGAAATGTGAAAGCCTGAAATTACATGGAGAGCCTTCAGTTTCAGACCACTTTGGCCCACTGGGGCCAAAGAGCAGCTCTGAACAGGCCCATCCTGTTCCCAGGACTGTGGACCTTCAGAATTCCCCAGCTGCTCAGGATATGCAGCAAAATGGTTCTTGTTAAACTCTATCATTACCCATTACTACAGTTCTGTTTCTTAGGTCCTGAGCCATCTGTACAAGTTACGGTCTGAACTAAATGTGGCTTATGGGTCAGGGAGGAGAGAGACCCTAGGATATGACTGAGGTTAATGTTACCTTCATCTTTAATTCAAGGCAGGAGGAAAAAATATGTTAAGGTATCTAGTACATCCAAATGCATTAAACGAATGATATGTGAATGACACTGTATGTTTATGTGCTTTCAAAATTAAATGCTTTGTTTCCTTTCGTCTAACTTGGCACCCTTTTTTTTTATCTGGCAGGTGGGTGATCAAATAATTGAAATTAATGGGGAAAGCACAAGGGACATGACACATGCCAGAGCAATAGAACTAATCAAATCTGGCGGCAGGAGAGTGCGGTTGCTACTGAAACGTGGAACCGGGCAGGTCCCAGAATATGGTGGGTTTTCATTTTTATTAGTATCAATCTGTGGTTCTTTTGTCTTGAAAATTGCATCTGTTCAGTGCTATGTGTCAATTGCAAATGTGTCAAATCAGTACCGCATCCCTCTGGAAGTACATGCCATAATGCGTAGTTAAATCGCTGTATGCCTTTTGTAGATACCTACCAGCAGCAGAGGTAGAATTGCATTATTCCCAGCTACACATGGCCCAAAAGACCCATTAGATGCAATGCTTGACAGGGAAAGAGATGCTATAAACTCATAAGGAGAGTATCATCAATGATTTTCAGGTAGCTCTCTTCATATACACGCTGCCTAAACTTGTTGGGGAGAAGTACATAATTCAATTGCTAATCGAAATAACAAACATTTGTGAATACTATCATCAAAAGAGATTTCCAGAGTGTGCATTTTCTTTTTCTATTGATGTCTATTTTGAATTAGTTGCCAATTTTGCTGCTTTTTGATCAGTTTCATTTGTGTGCAGTGGTGGGAGGTTAAAAATGCTTTCATAGTAGTGGTTTTAATGAGCTTTTAACTGTTTGTTTACAATTTTGTGGGGAAATTGCAAGCTGTTTAGGGAACCTAATAGACTAGAAAACAGGAACACAACACAAGTTATAAAAAAGTATAAACATGCATAATATATCGTTAAGATTGCCCAGCCTTGTTTGTTTCTGTATCCATGCAAAAATGCAAAAGAGCTGCACTAGCCAGAGGAACTAGGCAGGGGTCAAGAGCTTCACAGTTCATGGGAGGCTTTGCTAAGCATTCTAGATGTCACTAGTCCTCATTTCCAAGTCCCAGGTTTGAAAGGTGGAGTCAGGGTACCTGGAGGGTTGGACTGTAAGGACTGTGTCCCTGGGATATTGCCCTGTGGGCCATGGAATAGATCAGTTCTACCCCTCCAGCTTTAAAGATACAGTTCCAGTGGCGGAGTCTTCCTCCCCAATTCTGCCAGCTCCTCCAAAGCCTTGGTCCAGTCAAAGCTCCGACATGGGAAGAGCCCAAAAGGGCATTCTGGGAAGTGTTGAGGGCATTCTGGGAAGCAGCTTAGATCCAAATGAATCCCCAGTTGGGGAGATATTTAGTTATGCTTCTAAACAACTCCATTTTCACTACCCCCCAGTTAACGAGAGCCTGGCAGCACTTTCCGTAAAGGAAGTAGAATTGCATGTGTATTTCCTTAAGATTTTGCTGTAAAACTCACTGGAGATTATAGGCCGAGAGGGACCAATTATATAAACATAGTACAAAGAATGTAATCTCCATGTTGTCTCTGGGAATGCAGTATTTGGGTAGAAAGAAATAAAAGATTTTGTTACTAATCCAGAGGAGTTGGGAACAGGAAATCCCAAATGTAGCCTGATCATGCCCAGTCATTCATGGATTTGATCAGGATATCTCTACGGGAGGAAAAGCTTTGATTAATGCTCTGGCAGTGGAGTTGCCTTCACAGAAGGATGCACCAGCTAATAGCTTAAGGAAAATGGATGCTGCATATCTACCTCATATCTCAAAACCTGTTTATTGAGGATAATAATAGCTAGAGGAACCGAAATCTTCACAAGGGAGAATGAACACTCTTCTCTGAGTTGGGGGTGGGGAATCAACATTATAACAAATGGCTTCAAAGCAAATAACTAGGGGAATGGCAAGACATCTTTAAAATACATGAAGCTGCAGGCTTGCTATATATGTGTGTATACCCAATTCATGTAATTCATTCAGTCAATTGAGTGTGCATCTATATAGATGCCTGCAGATTCTGCCCACATCACAGTTGGTAGGCATTGCCACATACCTGGTGGCAAGTTCACACAAGATTCCAATATAACTCCACGCATGAGATTGCTTTACTGCCTAAAAGGTGATACTGTTTTGATTTTACAGGATTGTTTATTAATAGCTTATTTTTGCTTACTCATTGTGGGGAAGTTTAATATTGTAATCTGGTTTCAGATAGGTCTGCCCAGAAAAGCAGCTTTAAAATGTTAAATAAAGAAATGCCCTCTACGTCAGCGTGTGAGCTGGCCCTTAGCTCTAAAACAAAACAGAAGATGGCAGCCCACAGAAAAACTATCCATTCAGTACAAGCTGAATCGGGCTGATTATTAGCTACCTTCCTTCATTTGTTTAACTTTGAAATGGCTGCCTGCCTCCCAGTTTGCATAAACGCACTTAGAATTCAATGTGGCATCTTCCCAGATTCAATTTCAGCCTCCCAAAATTTCATTTCATTTTGGTAGCTGACTTCTGTGGCTGAGTCCTTATCTTGTTTTTCAGAAGGTAGTTCAATTTTCCAGCTAATGTGGAGGTTTCTGAGATGCACTGCAGTGCAAAATGCCCTAATTAAAGGCTCTTAGGCTTGATCAGGAATTAGAAATAGTATCCAGGGCCAACAACTAATGTATTTTTAGCTTTATACTTGAAAAATAAAGTGCTGCTGTTCAGTGTCCGCCAAAAATGGCATGTAAATTTTGTAGCATGTTTAAATCAAAACAGGCAGGGAGAAATTAAAAACATTGTCATATTTATTCTTAAAAATATATCCCACTTTCCAGGGAAACTCAAGACATCTAACTGATTAAATAATCACAACACACACAAACACATACATAGGGGAATTTGGTAGAAGAAAGAGGTGCTGGGACTCATATGTTTATAAAAGTGTCATGGCTACTAGCCCAACATGGCTGCTGGAGGCCATTGCAAAATAACCAGCTTTTTCAACTTTTCTACATTCGGATATAGTTGCAGTAACGATACAGATAAACTCTCTTCTCCCCCCGCCCCTATATTTCTTGCTAATGCCTAGGCCAGTCTTCCTCAAACTGGTGCCCTCTAGATGTTTGGACTATGGCTCCCATCAGCGCTGGCTAGCAGTTTAAAACCCCATCCTTCCTCCTGTCCGCTTCCATGTCCCCTGACTTTAATCCAGCCCACACAGCTACTTGTGAATCACCAAGCGAAAGGCTCCTCGCTCACTGTGGCTGCCAGGTGCTTCACAGTTTTGGTGTTTTTGCAGCCTCTGGGCAGGCAATGCAACTCAGAGGTTGGTGAAGCTTGTCAGAGGCTCCATTCTGCTTGGTGAATCAGAAGTCCTGCAGGCCTGTCCGAACCCACATTGCCTTCCATAAACAGCCCCCCCCACCCTGTCTCCCAAAGCACATCCATAGCAGGCCCTTACTCAGACTTCCTCAAAGTACAGGAGTCATATACTGATTTTAAAAAATTCCACCAAAAGCCTCATCCAACTCACACACTCTCATATTAATGTTGCACTATTTATTTATTTTTGGGTCTGTATATTTATTTTCAATTGTTGTTGGTGCTGTTGCTCATGGTGGTGTTTTCATTACTGAATCGTTTTGGGAGGGGGAGTTGTCACCTTTTACTTGTCCCCAGTTTAGTGGCGGGGGTTAATGACAAGGCCGAGTATAGACGATACACTGGCATACAGGCGGTCGGCTCTAGACCACCACAATAAAGCAAATATCACATTAAAGTGAGTCACTTTTTTGTTTTGTTTCTCAGTGCATATAAAAGTTATGTTTGGAGCTACTGTGGTCTATTAAGGCAGGCCCCCCTGGCTGCAGGGGCGGAAGGGGAAAAATCTGGCTCCAGGCCAAGCCACGACCCCTTCCCATGGCCAGCTGCACCCATGCCCTCGTAAGGAGCAATATCTGTGAAGTAAAGCAAAGGCAATAAAAATGAGGTCTGCCTGTATTGGATATCGCATTTACACTCAACCTTCTATGAAAGAATGCCCAAGGCAGCAAACAACAGCAGAAAATAGCCAGCCCACATAACATAATAAGCAGTAATACAGTGAAGCCATATAAAAACCAGGTGTGAATTAACAAGTCAATTTTAAAAAGGTTGCCAGTTTTAAAATGTTAAATTAAAAATACAGATTAAAACACAGCAGCAGAGAACAACAAATCCACTCACAAGGCCAAATGGCTGCTTAAATAATGAAGGTTTTTACCTGTCCAGCCATCAACAAGGGGACTGGATGTTCTCAAAGAGGAAGTTCCAAAGAGACTTCCTGTAATTGGTCTCCGTCAACAGACTGGCTACAGCTTTCTGAACCAGCCAAAAGTCCCTAGTCTTTAAAAGTAGCTCCACATCAAGCATATTGTAACAATCCAAATACCTAACACACCTGGGGATGAGAGCAGTTGGCGTGCAAATCTCTGCTGAGCAAAATTGCTTCTGACCACCACCCCAACCTAGGTGGATTTATGAATTAGCCCCAAACTGCAGGCCTGATTTTCAATTAAAAAAATAGCCCATACAAGTAAGCCTTGATGCTATAGGGGTTTTTCGTAGGAACTGCCCTTCTCCTCCTTGGTACGCAGCTGCAGCCTGCCAGTTGTTAAGTTGTGGGTGAACATATCAGACGACACAGCGATTCTTCAAACAGCTCTTGTTTATTCAGAGGCCAGAACAGAACTGAAGGGCTCAGTCAGCCTGCTTATATAGATCTCCAGTACAACGTTACTGTAGCAACTTTCTAAAACTATCCAATCACTGAACGTCACTTTCGATCCTTCATTTGCATAACTATCTACAGTATACCCTGCTGGCCCAGGGTGAGAACTTCACTCATGGCCCCGAAGAGGAGGCTGTAGCGGCACATTCTCTGCTAGCTTGTACAGCCCTTTCTCTCCTCTCCAGAGCGACAGCTGCCAAAGAAATTCTGGCCAGAAATGGCATGTCTTGATCGTTAGGTCTCTGCAGAGGAGAAGAGAGCTGACAGGTTAAGCAGGAGATGTGTTAGCACTGCATTATGCACAATAAGTGGCATTCCATGCATCCTTCCCCTTTGTGTCCACACTGGGGGAATCGTACGCAGTCATTAATGCAGCTCAGAAACAGGTCCATCAGTACCACCTAATCTCAAGTCAGTTTTGGGTTTCCTTCACACTTTAAATTTGTTCTGATTTAGGATGGTTTTATAAATCGCCTCAAGATTTATCTCATATTTTTTTAGGATCTGCTTCTCAAATATGTCTGTAGAATACTTAATTCTTTCACTAATATTAACCGCCTGCATGCCTCTTTGTCTGACTTTTATTAGAAAAAATAAATTGGCTGTTACTTGTAAGAAACCTGCTCAGCTGTTCTAATAAGCTAAGAATTCTTTGCAGTGATAATAATAATATTAATAATAATAAATAATAATAATAATAATATGTCTTGATGTCACTGGTTCTGTTAATTCTAATGATTGGTCCTAGGCTGTTCCTCCCCTTCCTTTAGGAATGGTATCTTCCAGCCTCTCCATGTGCATGAAAAGTGACAAGCATGGCTCCCCTTATTTCTACTTATTGGGCCACCCTAAAGACACGGTGTGTAAACTCTGCATGCATATTTATTGTTCTCTAATATGCTTTCATTTTACAGAATTGTTTTAACTGAGTCTTTGACAAGTTTTCTCTTACAACTTAACTTGTTTGGTGCCTCTGTTAATTCTACAATCTCCTTGAAATTGAAAATATTTTTAAAAGCAAGATCAAAGTGCATATTTTTAACACAAAGCCCTGGACATATATTTTGATTCGATAGATAGGGCTTTCTTTAACCCTGTTATTTCCCCAGCATCCCTGTATTTCAGGATTTTATATATACTCATAAAGTTGATAAAGAATACAAGGGAATCTCAACAACATCCTAAGGTGGCAATCCTATGTATAGTTAGCATATACATATAGCTTCATTGACTCATTGAGACATTTGGAATTTTCAAAAAGGGCTCTGGGCGCCACCATAAAATTGCTGTCACAATGGCTTTTGCCAGTCACAAAATGGCTGCCGCTGGAGGCATGCACAGAAACAAATTGTTGGGCCTACTCCTCACTTGCACATTCTGTGCATGGGTTTCTTTGAGATTGGGAGAGACACATGGTAGAGGGAGAAAACACAAATCCCAGAAAGTAGGGTGGCCACCAAGCACAGATTTCTCCCCAACCCAGATAGAAGGGGGAAACCAAAAACAAATATTGATTCCCCCCCCCCAAAAAAAACAGAGGAGGAGGAGAAAAATAGCAATTGCACATACTTTGACCCTTACCTTTTGGGTTACCCCACTTCTCTTCCTCCACCTCTCCCATTTGGTCCCCGCCCCCAAATATCTTTTTTCTCTGTCTCCCCATCACCTTGCTTTCTGCTTGCATGCAGATCGCAACTTAGAAAACTAGATAGCGGAAGAAGGAAGTGGGAAAGAGAGACACTGTTTCCCCTTCTTCTCTCAACTGTAATTTCCAAGTCTGAGATGGTTCATTTCTCACTCCCTATGAGAAGGTGGTGGTAACTCCTAGCAAAATGGGAGCACAGAGGCTTCACAGGCATTGGGAAGGCCTTCAGGAGTGGCATTGCACCTGCGCATGCCACAGCGAGGACACTTGTGCTAAAACATGGTTTAGTGTTAGATGCATAAGCAGCAGAGAGCCTTGGGTTCACATATAACACATATATAATGTTTCTCATTACATCCAAACTTGGAGGACCTCTGGCTAGTTCAAACTAGCCAGAGTTCCCACAGTTCATGAAAAATAAGGCTCCCTAAGGCTCTTAGTTTACTAAAGTAAAGCATAGTTTGGTATTACATCCCAAAGCACAATTAATTTTCAAATGAACATAAGCTGCCTTTCACAAGCAGTGTTTGTGTAGGTATACAACTTTGAACTATGTAAATTTCACCCCCTTCTAAGTCTCTTAGGAGTCTTGTGGTCCAATCCTATGCATGTTTACTCGGTGATAAGTCACTCATGCGCACGTAGAGAGGATTGCAACCTAACTTAGATTGTCCCAATTGGCTCTTTTTTGCTCAAATTTCTCTCTACTTCCCCATGCCTCAAATGTTTGTATCATTTTGTCACGCTTTGCTGATGTCCAGTGTAGTACTTCTTATATGTAATACAACTCCCATGATGCATCTCATGTTTAGAATCATGATGGAACCTTCACTGCTTTCATAAAAAGAATGCAAGATGCTTTTGTATAAACTAAGAAATACCTTTTTAAAAAATCTTTTACCAGTAGGTCACATTCATTGCTCATCTCTCACCTTTACAGTGAAAAGGTGAGAAACCTTAATAAAACCTGATGAACTCTAGCTGACAGAGTTAAGGCTGCACTCCTATTCATGCGTATTTGGGAGTAAATCCCATTCAATTCAGCAGGACTGAGTATAGGAGTGCAGTCTTTAATTTCCCATAGAAAATAATGAGGAGCCTACAAGTGGCTTGTGCTGATCGAGTTTCCCCATCATAAAACAAAAGGCATGAATCCTTCATGAAAGACAGGACAACATACAAAATATAGCAGTCCATTATCGTTCTAAGCACTGTATTCTACAGTGTTTCGTTTATGCAGTTCATTTGAAATGTAGTTTGACAGGGTGTTGGCAGAACAATATACTGGGGTGTGTGCAAGCTCACTTTCATCCTTTAATTAAGAGGTCAAAATAAAGCACTTTCTGCTTGGGTGAATTTTTCAGTCTACCCAAGTTTTTCAGAATGAATTTTTCGTGTTCTTGAATAGCTAACACTGATGGCTTTCGGATGTGCCTAGCTTTGAATTCACGCATACAAAAGGCATGGAGCCAAAATATTCTCTATCCCATCACTCATTTCTATGCTCATCAGAGCATCCCACAAAGAAACAGTGGTTTCGGAGTTCAGCTCCCTACCCAAAACCAAGTTGTGGAAATGTACTTTTAAAAAACGGCACAGCATTGCAATTTATTTAGTTTAAGGATTGGCAGTTTATTCACAACATTTTTAAGTTCCAGCTACATAGTCAGTATCTGTGTACAAAACTTGGGCAACATCCGAAATAATCACTTCATAACATGAAGGTATTGAGGTCAATCCAACAGAATTAGTTGTGCACAATTAAAAGCTTAAGCTCCATTTATTTCAATGGAAAATAAGCACAATTCATATTTACTGAACAAAAAGATCATTTCAAACTCTGTGAATTCTTGACTTCATTATTAACTTTTTTAAAATGGTGAAAACTGAAGTGCAAAATTACCATATTTTTCCGTCTATAAGATGCCCCCATGTATAAGATTTTGGGGGACTCCAATTTAAGAAAATGGGGGGAAATACTATCCGTGTATAAGACGAGCCCAGATTCTGAACATTATTTTAGAGTAAAAAAAAATAGTCTTATACATGGAAAAGTACTGTAAATGTGCAAGTCCCATTAATTTAGTCAGACAACTATATCTGCTGAATTGTGCTGACGAAAATTATTTTCAAACTCATTAGAAACTATTATCAACTCTTACGCTTAAAATAATAATAATACACCACTCTTGATAACAAAGTCCCCTTGCATGGCTGCAATCCAGAAACCATTCAAGATCAAGAGTAAAAAGATTTCTGATTGCAGTCTGATTTGTTTTACCTGTTTAAAGCAGCACAGCAAATGGTTCAGAATGAATGGAAATAAGCTCCGTTTGGTGCCATAAATGTATGTTTATTTTCCAGTCTCCAGTAAATTATTACCATGACAAACGCATGTCAAAATAATATAACCTGTTCACAAGTTTTTGAAAGGCCAAATCATTGCAACGTAACTTACTCTCTTAACATCTGTTTTTCTGCGTGTGCGCCAAGGAAAGGAGGTCTACCACTCCTCACTCCCTTCATCAAGCATACAGGCTGGATTAACCATTATGCTAAGTACCTTTACAGAGTGGAGTTCTAACTAATCTGAGGGCCTTGTTATGGCTGAGATCTATCTGAACATTTAGAGGGTGTGTATCCTGCTTTTCTCATCTGAAGAAGGTGCCCACATAACCCCAAAGCTTCCTTCTTTACCACAATTAGCTCAATCAAAGAAGCTGACTCAGTCATCTGGACCACTTTGAACCATTTAATTTCTTGGGACTGGCATTGCAATCACAGATGTAATTACTCTTTCCTCTGCATTGGAGTGTTTTAAAATTCCTCCCACAGCACCGTTTTTATCAATAGAGCATGAGCTTCCGTGAGCAATTACCCTACTTCACCAGATGCTGGACTGGAACTGTAGGCCACAAGTCAGAGAAATCAGTTAATGGGTTGTTTACACTAAAGTCTTCTTCGGTTTCTAAAAGGGCTATTACCTCCTCAGTGAACAATGCATTTGAGAATACCTGGTAAAAAGCAGTCAGAAATTATTCTCATAGCTTTTAGAATGTCAGAAAAAGCCTTAATTAGATTCTGTTTCACATGGTCACATTCTTGAATAAGTTCTGCTCCCCGTTGTTGTCATCATATATTTATACCCTGCCGTCTTCCCTGACGGGACTCAGGTTCTGTATGTCCAACAGAATTTTCCTTCCAAAGATGGCTGCACTGAGGTCTCTGGTGGAGGGTCTGAGGAATTTACATGTTTGCTTGCTTGTTTGTTTGTTGCATTTTTATTTTTTTAATGTCAAATTGTGCTTGTTCTTTTTCTCAAATATAGTTCTATCTGGGCAATGTGGACTGCTAATAGGCACCTGAGCTAAAAGAACTAGCGTACCCATCCAACATTCTGGGAGGGCAAATTGGGACATGACCTCCCCACTGCTGCTGCCTCCTCACCATCCTGCCCTGGCCACCTTTACACACCACCACTGCTGCCCCCCCATCTCACCACCGGACGCCCTTATCCAGCACCGTCACCCACTGCCCCCTATACACACACATACGTCAGGATGCAACACCAGAGGAGTAGGAGAGTGTGGCACCAAAAACACACGTCTTTTGGTTCCCAGGCTATTGTGGTGCCGGCTTCTGGAATTATGGCAGAGGTGGCAGCAGCAGTGGTGGAGGCCACAGAGGCGGAGAGAGCTAAAACAGGACATCTGGGATTGGCATCAGAAGTTGGGGTGGCTTCTGTAAATCTGGGATGCCCTGCTCAAAATGAGGCAATTGTGCCTTATGCACTAGCGAGATGCAAAGTGGATGAGATCTCCTCCCTGGGAGCAAGCAAGTCCCACTAAGCCATGGTTTAGCTTTGCATTATGTGCAAACACAGCTATTCACAACCCTAGCAGAAATGTGGGCATGAATTTCACAGTTGTGCTATAGATGGTTCTGTTAGGTTTTCCAGATGCAAGGACATTAAACCATGAGGACTCAATCTGCCCAGCCTTGGGCCCTGAATAAAATAGACCTTAACACAGATTTAAAGGGATGGTTGCAGCAGGAAAGGTGAGGAATAATCACTTTGCTCCCTTGCTGTGTCTGCATAAGACTTCCTCTTTGTAATGTATCTTAGACCCATTTTCAGATTTGGCTTGTTTTTCTGTGCAAGCCTCTTCCTGAGTACAAGATTAAATGGAGAAATATATTACATGTGCCAGTAGCCTGTGACTGCACTTCATGGCAATTCTCATGATTTCAGGAGCTTCAAAATTGGCTGTTCAAAATTGGAAGTGCATCATAACATGACCTGGCTTTTGACCATGTGATCTGTTCCTTTGAGGTCAGGCGTTTGTAAAGTTCTACACACAGTAGATTCCCATGTACACACAGGGATCCAACCCTTGTATCATGGCCTTAAAAACTAAATAAAATAAAAGACTCCAAAATGAACTTTTGGGATTTGCACTCGAGGCCAATTGTCGCTTCATGCTTTTAAGACACAAACAGATTATTGGCAGCTGCCGCTGTATATAGGCAGACGCATCATGCTAAGCACGTTTGTTTATAATTTCTGTAGCATTTGTCAGTTTAAAAGGGTTTTATAGTTCATAGCTCATTTATTCCAGACAAAATCAGGTAGGTTAGATGGAACATGGGGTCAACTACTCAACAGCTCTTGATCTCCATGGCTGAGTGGCTGTTTGAAGCTGGGTCTTTTGCATGGCTTTAAAATGCAAAAGGGGAGTCTGTCTTCTACCCTCAACCATCTCTGTTTTACCAACAAGGCTGTGGAATTCTTTACCTCTGGAAGGAGGGACACCAATGGCTGCTGGACATCAGAGAAGGATGAATCTATCAATTTTGGTTTCTCTCAGTTTCTCATGCTTCCAGTCTCTGCCTTAATTTGCCTTTTTTTAAGTTCTCACAAAAATTTGGCAGCATATTGGTGCTTCTTCTGATGTACATGATTTTGTATGCAGTTTTGCCTAAATATACACATTTTTACCTGTTTATAATGTATTTTTATACACAATTTGTCCTAATATATGCATTTTTGTAGACATTATTTTGTTGGAGGACTGCATTACCAAATTCAGAAAAGCATGAAGTTTGAAGGGTAGCTTCCTATAAATTTGTATATTTAAATTTTGGGAAGTGCAAATTAGGTAGGTTCTCTTTAAAATGCAAACTGAACCACTTTCTCTCCACTCTCATTCCTAGCAGACACTCCCCCCCCCCCTTTTTCCTTTTTTACTCTTCTAGGTGATTTGAAAATATATTTTTGTTTTGCATTTGGCATATAAACTTTAGAATGAATTGTTTTCTTGCTGCTTTTCTTTGTAAACTGTGGCTGACTAGGGAGGAGGCAGTTATGGAAGGTTTTGTTTATAATTGCTAGTTTCCTTTTTAAAATAGTTTTGTTGTTTTTGTGACCCTGTGTGGAAAAGCAGCAGTTGGGGTGTTATGTACTGAGTTGAATAGGATCCAAACTGCAGCAGTCTGATTGGTCCTAGAACAATAGGATCCAAATTGCAGCAGTCTGATTGGTCCTAGAACAATAGGATTCAGAATGCAGCAGTCTGATTGGTCCTAGAACAATGCAGCAGTATGATTGGTTGGCAGGAACCACCCAATCATGCTCCAGATAGAAGTGAATCCACAACCTGATTGGCTTACAGTAGAATTCCGGAATTAGCCAATCATGTGCAGCCCATTGTGTAAATAATGTATATAAAGCAGATACTGTGAGGGAACTTTCATTCATTCCTCCTCACCACTGTGAGCTGAATAAAGAGCATGAAATCACTTTGCGACTCTGAGTATATTTCATGGGTGCTTTAAATGAATAAGGGAATACCCATCTCCTCCCATTGCAAGCATCTTTAGTTGGGGTTGGAAGTGTTGCTGCAAGCACTGCCATTGTTGTGGCTTGTAATATTTTGCCAGCAGAGGAACAGTCACCACCCTGCAGTTGGAGAAAGTCCACCCTCAGAACAAAGACTCTTCGCTGAATGACAATGGCCTGAAAGTATCTGATGCAGTTTCACCTCGGAAGCTGAGCAGATCTTAACCAGGCCAGAAGACTTCTAAGGCAGCACTTTAGTCTTTCGAGGGGAACAAGACGCCAATGAATAAAATCATCAGCATTTCTGTTTCATCAGTATGCATAAAGTGTGCATGGCTTTGCACTACAAATTGCAGCCGTCAGAACCCGAAAAAAGTGAGAGCGCATCTAATTTTAACTGCATGCATCCTTGGGGTATGTCCCTTTGTTGATAGAAGCAAATAATGAATCGTGGAGCAGTGTGCAATATTGTAAGGAGATCAGTTTTTTGACCAGTCTGCACTCAGTCAGGTGGCATAAATCACAGTGCTAAAACCTCTGAATATTCTTCTAACTAAAAGATACAGCCACACAGTAAACTGAAGTTAATGAAGCATAATAGCTACATACACAAGAATTCTAGACATTTGGTGGTGATGTCAGTGTCTGCCATTCATTCTTGTTTATGGAAAAAAAGGCCAATGGCATGGAATGCTCAATGAATACCACATAGAGGAAGATAATTTTTAATCACTTTTCCCCAGAAAAGTGAAACTCAAAGCAGCTTACAAAAATTAACATTAAAAACAAGGACAAAACAACTTAGCAGTGTGTGTGTGTGTGTGTGTGTGTGTGTGTGTGTGGTGTTGGCATCTGTCTGTCTCAAAAGACAATGGAGTGTACCTCTTGGGGTGAAGTCAAACCACAGCCTGGGCAGTGTGTATAGAGCTCCTGGGCTGCTCGAATGACAAGACTCAAATCTCAGCCTTGCTGATGTGCTCCAAAGGAAAGCAGAACAGCACATTTGGCACCAGCTTGGCTGCAGGAGTTGCCGGAAGGAAGCCATACAAGGCACCATCCAGCCGTCTTTGGGACTCGACTCCAGATTCCTGTAGGGTTTCCTCCTCAGCCATTTCTTGTCCCGAAGATATCCTGTAGGGCAGTGGAGTTTAGGATCAGAGTTTTCCTTCTCCTAGATGGGCTACCTTCCCAGGCTGATGAGCCCCCACCTGCCCCTCATTTCCCTCTACAACACATACAGAAGCCACCTTCTTGACCATTGGACCCACTCTTGGTTTCGTCCACCCAATCCGCCAGAGCCGGTCTTCACATGCAGCAGAAGTAACCTAACTCACCAAGAGTTTGAGACCCATCGGCTGCGGTAACCAGATTTAGCCAGCCAGTTGGAGCTGTTCCCAGGGTGTGGCCACTGTCACTTGCTGACAGCTTCGAGGAGCCCCCGAAGGAGTGCAACGTGTCCCCAACCAGAGGTATTACCCCTCCCATGTGTGCGTGTTTTTTTGTGCTGGTCATACCACCAAAAGATAAGCAGAAAATTAAGGTCCAAAGGATAGTAATGTTTTTGCCTGGCACCAAAAAAGCAGATAGTGATGGCATCGGGGAGAGCATTCCATAAACGGGGAACCACTACTAAGAAGGGCCATTCTCCTGTTGCTGCTTTCTGCACCTCCCTCACAGAGGGCACATGGAGAAGTGTCTCAAATGAGGAATGCAGGGTCCAAGTTCATTTATGGGGGGGGGCAGTCCCCGCATGTAAATGTATTGAGCTGAGATATTGGGCTGCTGGGCTGCATAAGGTTTATAGGTCAAAACCATCACTTTTAATTGGGCCTAGAATCCGATTGATAGCCGGTGCAGTTATACCAGGATTGGTGTTATGTGCTCAGATGGTCTTGCCCCCATAGTTATTCTGGCTTCCAGCACCAGCTTTCTTGTGACAACCTTGACTGTGCTAAGATAGTTCATTCATATTAATATATCGTTCCCAGTAGCCATACTCTTCATTTCTACCAATTTCAAAAACCCATGGTGTGGAAAAGAAGAGATTAATTAAATGGATCAAACTAGTCGTTAATAACATTGTTCTGCAGCCTTCATTTCAAATATGATATCCAAAATGTTCTTGCCGTCTTCTGCCTCTGGGTGAACAGCTATTGAAGGATGTAATAAATAGGTGGTAGCTGGTAGTCTGGAGACAAAACATACCTGAATTGTAAAGTATGTGTAGTGGATTTCTTTATATTTGGTGTTTAAATTCAATGGGAAATGAACATCGAAGGGGCTAAATAGGAAGATAAAAGAGGGAAGCCTCAAGCTGGCACTACACAGAAATGTTCTTGTATAAAAGGATTATAAGAAGCCCCACAGTTTGATAAACTATTTATTGGGATAATTGGAATTTATCATCTCCCCTCCCCTTTTGTAAAGGGATTGTTTTGAAAGTGTTCCCTTGGAGGGTCTCTCTTACAATAGGCACTTGGGAATAGTGCCTTTAGATTAGACCTGCATAATGTTATGACCCCACCAAGCCCAATAAACCCATCAACCATGTAGGGCAGCCCACCACCAGGAAGGGCTTGGGAAAAAAGTATTGTTTTGTTTTGTTCTTTGCTGTCCCTTGAGAACCTCAAAAGCGGGAGCAGAGACACTATTGACAAGCCCCCAATACAAGGCTGGTGGGCTTTGATTTGTCTGTGGTTGGATCACAATATCCGCAAGCTTGCCGTTGGGTCTGTGTCATGGGATTTGATCTGAGATTTCCTCTGCCCTGTGAGCAGCCTATAGGCCAGGATCTGCTGGACGAACGGGCTGCCAGAAAGGCATAGGAAAGTCTCAACTCCAAGGGATGAGTCTACCATGTTGCAGTGTCCAAGCAGTCAACTGGACACAGAAGAAGACGGAAGATAGAGGAGAATTATACAAGAGCACACTGTAGGGCTCCTCTGTCTCCATGGACAGAAAAACACAGCCTATATACTACTGTGTGGGAATTATTTTTGTAGATCTCAAAAGCAAAAGCATCTAAACTAATTCCCAGAAATTGCCGGCTTGGAAGATCAGTAACCTCACAAACTTTTAGCATGGCACATTACTGCTATGCCTGGTTATAAGAAGAAGGGGAAAACACCATGTCAGCTCCGGTCATTTTTGGAAAGAGGATAAGGTCCTTCATCCCACAAAAGCATTTATGACAGAACAAATAGACAGAAGCTGAAATCTGAAAGCATTTGATCTGGCATACCAGTAGGAAAGACAAGGAAATACGAAGAGCTATCTGAGCAGAAAAGAAATAGGCTGAGGAAGAGTGACAGGCCTTCAAGCCAACATTGTTCAAAGCCTTGGCAGGAAATTATAGAATAAGAGGCCGGTAAAAAAAGAAAGGGGGGCACTTTTTCAGTAGAGTATTACATCAAACATAGACTCACACCTAGTTTTGCAGGTTTTCCTATCTATTAACTGTTGTTAACTGTTGTTTAATTGATAAGTTCAGGAGTGTTATCTGTGAAGCTCTGGAAATGTAAACTGCTTATTGGTTGCATTGCTAAATATGCAGAGAGAGCGATCCTAGGAGAGGCCAAGGAAGCCCAGAGTAGAGGCTCCTTCCCTGCACGCACAGCCCTCCTGACTCCTCCTGAGCAGGGCAGAAGGGGCAGGGAGGGAGGGAGAACGCTTGCCTTGGTCATTAACAGTGGGCTTACGTAAGGGCACAGAAAGCAATCAGCATAAAGGCGCTTATGCCTTCAGGATGGTGGCTAATAAATTGTGCACTACCTAACTCCTAAATTATTCCACGTATATAATATATAGCCCATTTACTAATTTATTAAAGTTACCCCCTTTATTACATTATTTATGGACCCATCTTATGACTGACTCTAGCTTAATTAGAGTAATAAAAACTAATCCAAAACTCATTATAATTTCAAATTCCACAGCACCTTGTGATATAGTTTTTGCAGCTCTCTTCCTGCTCTGCATAAGCTATATTCTGGCAGGACTTCTTCCTCCCCAGATGGAGTTCATCTGCAGAAGGAAAGGAAATTATTAATAGGAAAGTTGCCTTTCTAGTTACTTTAAAGATGTCAAAGCATTAATGCGAGAAATTGGGGTGGCAAAGCTCAAAATGTGTGATGTACTGGAGCACATGCATGAAGCCTTTGACCCCTCTCCATGCAGCCTGCCTGGTCCTGGGAAACTGCTCTTCCTTTCCCCACATTGTCCAGCCGTCAGCTGGATCCGGGGGAATAAATTACAGCAATTTTGGCGTCATCAGGCTCACTGGGAAGTGGACACGTTAACCTAATTCCCTCCTCCACACTTCTGATGCACCCCAGGTCGCTAATGGAAGCATGTGGACAACAATCTTGCCTGCATCAAGAGTGCTGGAACAGGGGCAGGTTAAAGTTTGGGAGAGGAAGATGTGGAAGAAGTGGTGTGTGCATGTTGTAAGCGGGGACAAGGGGTTGAAGATGGTGTTGAAAAGTCATAATACTTCATTCTTTCGTCATGATTCACAAGTTAGAACTTAACGTGAATAACTGTGAGAAAAATAAAAGGAAAAGTTCAATAGAGGTTTCATGCTAATTCTGCAATTATTTTCTTTCTTATCTATCATCATCTTTCAGATAATGAGACCCAAAAGCATATCTTTTCCTGTTCCTGAGTGTGTAAATTTGCTGTTCAATAAAAAAAAAATTAATGTGGAAAACAAGTCTCACTTTAGAATGTTCTTGTTCCATTAGAATCAATTCCACCTGCAGCTGAAATGAGTTTTGAAAAGGGGGATGCCTCTTGATCCATTGGTATCTATCTCATGGATATGCTGGTTGGATCGTTCATTTTCCCTCACTGTGATGGGTTTTTCTGTAGAACATTTATCTTCATTCCTTGTGAAGCTAGTCTTTTGCTTTCCAACATAATACTTACAATGTATGTGGAGCATCAAGGATTTTTCTAGAGACTGTAGTGTTTGAGCTGTCATTTCAAAAACGTGGGTCGCAAAAAGGGAATTGGCAGTCTCTTTGAATAAAGACAACTTAAGGACCATAGAGCACTCTCTCAGCAAAGACTTTCCATTGTCTATTACGGCTCTCACCTTTCTCAAACGGGGGGAAATGTAAAGATGCCAGGAAGGAACAGGGTTTATTCTAATGTGCAGCTAGACACATTTTATTCAGTGTCAATATATGTGTGCAGTGTGAAATCGATTTTTGTGCAGTTAGGCAAAAGGGATTTAATAAGGAGCTAAATAGTTTCTTAAAAAGTAAATGAAAAGAGATAAATAGAAACAGAAAATGAAAATGAATACTGGCTCCTTTCATATCTTCATATGCTTATAATAATAGTGTGTATTGGGACTATTTACTTGACTAGTAAAAAGCATTTATTGATTCATATTTAATTTCACTACAAACAGTGTATGTAGGTATGCAAAGCAGCTGAAAGCAAACCACAGAGAGCCCCCTGGTTACATTCGGAGGCACCACATGTGTTGGTGAAATCGTGTATAATTGAAACGCATTGAAAAAGCCTGAAAACACCCTGTTCTGCCCCCGTTCCTCCCTCCTGGTGATGTTTCAGTGACATCTTTATGACGTTTCCAGGTCACTTCCGGGTTCGGCGTGATGCACGTATTGTGCATATATTGTGCACGTATTGTGCAGCAATGGAGGGGGGGCTGCCTGTAATTGCAGTGCTCAGTAACTTCCCTGTTCAGCATCAGAGAGTTAGAGGTGTTTGACTTGTTATTTTAATGCATGTGCAACAAGGGCGTAGTGGCTGCCAGGCCTTTGCAGAGGTTGTCTGAGGCCCAGGGCAGGAGTCTCGTTAGAAGAAAGCCATAAATTCAAACAAAAAAGCAGCATGGGCAAGAGTACCTGGCTGCCCTCGCCTTGCCCTCCGCACAGGCCTGGTAGCTGCTCTCCTTCTGGAGAGACTCAGACCCAGGGAGGCTGTGTGAACAACAGGATCAGCCGTGGAGAGACAAAGAAGAGAGAAGTTGAACTAAGCAATATCTTAAATCACGATGGAAGGATTTGGGGCTGGAGTGACTTTTTGTTGCTTGTTCTTAATTGAACAAAGTCTGCTAAGCGTTTCCCAGGCCATCATCAAAACAAGCTTGTAATATATCTTTTTACAGGCTTTTTTTTTAAGTAGCGTCTTCCAGGGCTGTGATGTGGAACCAGCAAAACAAAGCCGGTTGTGACTCAAAGATCTGATTGAGCAAAGGTTGCAGGAAACCCTAGTTACAAGAATAGCTGGTGTGCTGAGATTTCAAGCCGAAAGGCTGAAATGAAACAAATTCTTTGTGATATATGACACCATCCTAACCTTAGCATTGTGGTCTTTACTAGCTGCATCTGCAGTAGAGAGTAAAATCCACCGCCTTTCTGGCAATTGCATAGACAGAACATTCTGGGACATGCTTAGAGGCTGATGTAGAGCTGGCAGGGGCCGGGGCTAAGAGCATGAGCTATAAATCAGGAATTCTGTGGTTGAAATCTCTCCTCAGCTTGTTCATTAGCAGCACCACATTTAGGGCAGTGTGTATGGTTCCCCCACACAGAGCGCTGAGCCAAGGGGGCGCAAAATAATGATAAATAAAAAAGGAATTATTGTGAAAATAAGAATTATGTAGGGGAGTTCACCAACTGATGTCCTCCCTCAGCTCACTATATTACCAAAGTCTGTCCCTGATCTTAGGTAGGCAATTCTCTCTTGACCTCAACTCCAGTTTACTGTTGTAAATATTAAATAAAACCAATAATAATAATATCCCTTTTGGTCACTGCAAGATCTGGGATTCCATAACTGTAGGAGGGAGAACAGAAAAGGGCGGGAGCTAAATATTAGTCCCCTATGATTTTGTCCATGACATGAATTCCATGGATGTCTAAGCTAGAACTTCTCACCCCTGTAACTTCATCCAAATTGTGACCTTACACTGCATTCCTGGATAGATTTGTCTCAGGGGATTGCCCAGTGTAGATGATCCAAAGTTATTAAATGTTTTCAATCTCATGCCTGTGAACTATGGAAGCCGTGAGGTCCTGGGGTTGGAACTTAGGGTTTGGTTCTAAGAAATGTAGATTCAAATCCCCACTTAGGTGTGACTCTCCCTTTGTGGCGTCTCAACATGTCACTGTCTTACTAGACAAAAGTCTCAGTGAAACAGACAGGCCACTCTTAACACGCCGGAGAGAAGATTTAAAGTATTGGTTTATTTATTAAGACATTTATATATCTTTCTCAAGACCATAGGGTGTTTTAAACTTAATAAACAATGTACTATACATTCCTAATATAATTTTCATAATACCAAATTAAAACAGTCAGTTATATAAATACAATTCATAATAATGAGCAATATATAATACATAAATAAGTAGCAGTGTCCAATTATTCACAATGTCAACTCTGCAATATGGGAAACCTTCCAAGATCCAGCCCATAGAAACAAATTGTTGTTCACCATGTCACAGTTTCTGTGCTTCTGGTCAGAAACACTGCTAAAACATTCATCTGATGTTTGATAGGATTGCAGGAACTGTGAAGGAAAAGATATCCTATTTCATTTATGTCTGTGCAAAGTGTTAAAGAGTAAAAACCTCAGAAATACTACCAAATGTCCCCAGAATTTTCCTGTAAGCACGGAAAGAGAAAAATCATTAATCCAATGGCTCTAAAGCGTAAAATTGTGCATTTTTCATGTTTAGATATGTTATGAAAAGCAATCATCTTAGTAATGGTTGAACAATTCCAAATGAGCCATTATGTTTTGAGCAGAGCTCTTTAAAGGTTTTCCTTCTGAGCAGCAAATCACTTGATCTTAATGGCCTATGATACACCCTAGAGATTTTGAAATCCCCATCCCCAAAACAACACAGGTAACAGTGGTGGTGGTGGTGATGATGATGATGATGATGATAAACAGCAAAGTTGGTAATAATTTCCTGTGTACCCTCAGCTAGAGAAAGAGGAAGGCTGGAAGTCATAGGTTCACAGGCAGGTCATCAGATCAAGAGAATTTTCACCTGGGTCTCAGGCAGGCAGGATTTGAGGGCAACATGCTAAACCAAGCCGTAGTTTAGCTCAGTAAGGTACAGCAGCCAAGTGGCCACATGCTCACACATTCACACATAGCAATGGTTTGACTTAGTGCGACGTGCAAACCAGCCATTGTATTCCCGTGTGCCAAGCAGAGTAGAAGTATCTACTCACATTCCCCTTGTTCTCCTCCCTGTCATCTTCTCACTGTAAAATGTTGGAGTCTGAGCCCCTTGGGGCTTGTTACTAAGTATAATATGAGGCGGAAGGGATTCAAATCTGTTAGATAGCTCTGCACATGCATATAATTCATGAAACTGAGTTTGTGCCTGATAATTATTTATACGTGAACGATAATTTGGTACAGCCTTGGATCAGTAGATACTGATTAGACCTGCAACTGGTGTGGAGTTTTCCCTTCCCCTTCTTCAATAATGATTTGGAGAGGGAGATTAATGGAGTTGTTTGTTAACTGCCTTTATGAAGATGGATGTTTTTAAATAGAGCTCTGTTGAATTTTTGCTTTCATTTTGAAGGCAAGCTGTATGCTTTCAAGGGATGTGAAAACCACCCCCTGAGTAGGGAATGCATGACTCTGTCCATCTCAGTTTCTCTCTGTTTCTTGTTTTTCTAATCTAAAGTTCAGTTCTCTACATTCCCATATCAGTTTGCAATTAAAAAACAAACCATGTCCTCATGAAAACTCACCAGCTTTTCAGTGCGAATTTCTTCTAAGACACACATTTTTGTATACAACTTGCATTCAGTTTTGTATCCAGTCCTAGAATTTATTCTAAGATACAGGTTTTGCAAAGCAATTTTCTGTAATAGAATGCATTTTATTATAATAATAAATATAATATATAATATATAATAATATATTTTATTGTACCGTATTTTGCGCCCCATAGGACGCACCGGCCCATAAGTCGCACCTAGTTTTTTGGGGGGGAAATAAAGAAAAAAAATTTATTTCCCCCCCAGGCACGGGGCTGGGTCAGGGGAATCCCGAGCTTCCCCCGACCCCAGCCCCCAGAACAGGCTGCTCTGCGCAAGCCGTGGGAACCCTCCCGCGGCTTGCGCAGAGCTACCCGAAGCCCCGGCGTGACTGCTGAGCGCGCCGGGGCTTCGGGATAAGAGGCAGCTCTGCGCAAGCCGGGGGAGCCCTCCCGCGGCTTGCGCGGAGCTACCCGAAGCCACGGCGTGACTGCTGAGCGCGCCAGGGCTTCGGGATAAGAGGCGGCTGTGCGCAAGCCGGGGGAGGGCTCCCACGGCCTGCGCGGAGCTACCCGAAGCCACGGCGCGACTGCCCAGCGCACCGGGGCTTCGGGATAAGAGGCGGCTCTGCGCAAGCCGGGGGAGGGCTCCCGCGACTTGCGCAGAGTTTCCTGAAGCCTGGAGAGCGAGAGGGGTCGGTGCTCACCAACCCCTCTCGTTCTCCAGGCTTCAGCGAAAGCCTGCATTCGCCCCATAGGACGCACACACATTTCCCCTTCATTTTTGGAGGGGGAAAACTGTGTCCTATAGGGCGAAAAATACGGTAACACATATGCATATTTGTACAGATTACTGGGCTAAAGAACTGCACTGCAAAATTCAAAAAAGTGTAAATTTTGAATGATGACTGTGTTTTGTTTCATGTCTTGCTTCAAAAGAAACATGTGGATTTTGTGGGTTTGCTCTAAGGTATGAACGGAGTCAAATTTCACCCTCCCATTCCTACCCACAAGAAAACTCTGTTTTCCACTTTGTGCTGTTTTCACACCTATTTTTGAAAACATTGTTTCCCTGATCCCCTGCTACTTCGCTAGCAAACTTATATGTTCATCCAGCCCATCAGGATCATGTAGTGACTGTTATGTCATCACAGCACTATTCAGATTTGACTGCATGGTGACATCAGGGAAGCTGGATGAAGATGTAACTCAGATTTTGCCAGGTTCTAGATTGAACAGGGAGCGCACAAGAGGGGCCTCGCTGCAGGTGTTTGCCTTGAGCATGTGGAAAGCCCAAAGGAGCCTCCAACCAATGGGCCTAAAGGCAAAAACATCTTTTTACTCACACAGGTAACAACTGAGTGGACATACTCTGAAGCACTGCTCTAAATTGACTTTTGCTTATTGCTCATTGCAATGGGCATTCAATCACACTTTTTATTAAGTGTGCTCTGATGAGTAGGATGTACCTATATTCAGATGCACTCTCTTATTCGCAAATGTTTACATGGAACATTGCTCTCTCTTTTGCCATCTGTAGTAAGTTCATCAGCATTGTGCAATCCAGCACAGCACAGCAAAGGTAATAGAGGTGCCTCCCATTTTCCCCCTGGGAGCATTTTTACATCTTTTTGGGCATCACTAAATCACCAAGTCTATGGGAACAAGAATGTTCACAAAACCCACCCACCCCAGTTCAGTTCATCTTATTTTTTTAAGTGGATTGGCAAAGATTTTCCCACTATATTCCACTGATGTGTCATTTTGTCTCACATCTGTCCATAACAGCTGCAGAAACAAGGAGCCACAACTCAGAATGTGTGAATTCAGGAACATACTTCACTATGTCCATATTATGTTAATGAGACGTATTCTTGAATGCACACATTTGGAAATGTGGCTCCTTGCTTTTTTGTTTGCTTGCAAGTTTTTGGCCTTTTACAACACAGCAGCATCCATGGTTATTTGGAAGTACGTATCATTGGGTCCAATGAAGCTTACTTCCACGTAAGGGTGCAAAGAATTGCAACCTTAACAAAATAAATTGCTTAATTACAGAAAACCATAACACCTGCCCATAACACCACAGCCAATGCGTTAAATGGGGCAAGTTAGTCATGACTTAAGTTTGAGTGGTTTCAATGTGAACTAGCTTCAACTAACATAGTCTGTATTCAGCTAAATCAGTCTTTTTTCATATATAAAAGTGCTTTCTTTGTGTGACATGTGTAACATTTAAAGTGGCCACAAAATGATCACAGGATCTGCAGAGCAATCCATAATGGCAGCAAGAACATTAACAAGCCATTATGAGCTGTGATTATTTTAGAAGACTAAGGACAGTGCTTTCAGTGAATTACAAAATAGATAGCGCTCCAGTATGAATTTATCTCCATTCTGTAGGGTGCATAGCATAATGGTTAATCCAGCCTATTTTTACCAGTGTTTTTATTCATAGCAAAGTTGAGCCCTATGTGTGTAAGGGTCAAACTACACACGATGTAGGAATTCCCTGATTGGAGCTCTCAACATCTTTTTATTTTAGAAAGAGCAATCATGAGCAATGGTTTGGGGGATAAATTGGATTAGGCTTATGGCACTGAGGGAAGGAGGGAGGGTCTGTCTACACTTTGCCCCTTGAATCAGTTCCCTAACTTAAAGTGTCCCAGAAAGCTGCAGAGCATGTGAGCAGGTAAAGGAGATGGGAATTCCAGTCACAGTTTCCATGTCATGTGTAGCCCGCTGACCCTAAGAAGCTAACACTTAGAGCTGTTCACAATGTTCCAAAGTCAATGATCACTATTTCCATTGGCATGATTTGTCTTGGTCCCCCACCTCCTCTCACCTAAAGAGGAAACTTACACCTGAAAAAATGTCTCTAGAGTTTAAATTTAACTACTAGGAATTGTGATGCAGATTCAGTGAAAGAGCAGTGGAAATAACTGTTGTTCCTTTTTGTTGCAACAGACGAACCAAACTCCTGGAGTTCTCCCTCTGCCACCTCCCCAGGTCTGCCGGAAGTAACTATTTCCCTTGATGACATTGTCTCACCATTATCTTCATCACATCTAGCCCAACCCTCTGACCCTTCCCACCAGATAAACCCAGAGCCAACATGGGATATCAAGAGGGAACATGATGTAAGAAAACCAAAGGAGCTTTCAGCAAATGGCCACAAAAAGAAAAGGGTAGGTGAGCAGAGAGAGAGGTCTGCAAGTCCTAAAAAGGTAGACAGGTCAAAGCACGAAGAGGCTTCTCGAAAAGGAAGCTCAGAAGGCAAGGGTAAGGCTGGCGAAAGTGGCTGGCCGGTGTCAGAAAGCAAGGCGGTTGGACTGAGCACAATGGCCGAGGCTGCGGTACGAGATCTTGGGTGTGCAGGAACCAATGATGAACTGGCCGGGAGATCCAAGTGGATGGAAAGCAAAAGAGGAGGATCGCTCGGTGCAAAAGATCACAGTGCCACAGCTGCCCCAGGGAAGAAGTTGGCTGCAGCTTCCGAACACGTCAAGCTCGATTCCATTGGTGCTACAAAGACATACAGTAGCAATAGCAGCAGCTCGCATGGAAGTGACACGGATCACAGCCAGAAGGAATCTGAACGGAAGCTCAGTGAGTTCCCACGGAAGGGACACCTCCACTCCATTAGCACACGTAGCACGAACACGACAGCCCGGAAGGCAACTGTCTCACCAGGACCATGGAAGATTCCTGGTTCTGACAAGCTACCTGATGTACTAAAATCTGGCACTTCAGCTATGAGCAGATAAATCGGGGACTGTTGCCTTCTAACTGTTTCGCAGTGATGCAGAACATCCTTCTTAGCGTCTGTCTCACATTGATTTACTTTAATTTATTTTAACTGTCACACACACAGATACATGCTCAAAACACTGAGAAATGGAAACAATAACATGTATTTCCATGACAACGTGCATAGCGTCCTAATAAGTTGAAGCAGCATATAGTCACACAGTATTTAAATGTGACCCTAAAGTCCCCCAGTTTCATTTCAGAGACTTTGGCAGCTATGGAAGAAACCAAAATAATATGAAGGACAGTCAACCACAAGGACAGTGCAGTGTAGCTTTAGTATGTTGTTTTCCACTGCATGAAGGAGTTTGGATTTTCGTTCAAACTTTATATCAAGAAACTGGAAGAAGTTAGAGCAATCACAAACTGGAACATCGCCTTAAATAAAACTGCACGGAGAAAGCTAAAAGTGGAAAAAGAAATCTTTTATCTGAGTTAAATGTTGTAAATAAATTGTTCTCAACATATCCAGACAGGGGTTTGAAGCATTTGAAATTGTATATCCATGACATGTCTCCACTGTTAACACTTTGGAAAAGATCACCCAAAACCAGTAGCATAATTCGTTATGCAAGGTGTGCAATCCTAGTGGATTAGCTGGTGCGATACCATTTCTACTGCCATTTTTGTGAACAACCCATATTTCTGTATGTTGGGGTGGAATTGTATCCACAAACCTAGCCTCAAAAAGGAGATTGCCACAGGTTACTCACACTCCCCGCCCCCCATGCACCAGGATTACTTGGTACCATACAAATTTTGACATGGAGAACTGTAACATGCAGTTCCCAGACCACTATGATGAGAAGGTGATTCTTGAAAGATTGAAAAATGCAGTTTCCTTTCAGAAAGCCTCCATCTCCTGCAGGAACCAATAATTGTCTCAACACTTGTCCAACTCTCATTTAAGACAACTATCCTTGAGTTTTTGTCTCCCATCACACGCTAAGAAATTCTAAGGCAGAGCTCCAAGAGACATGCTCATCCGTTATCTAAAGTCATATATACATCAGGCATCCAGCTCTTATCTTGCTTCCATATTTTTATTCAGAACATTCTTGCTTTTAACTTTCGAATCTCAAGTGCCATGAGAACATTTCAACCCACGCCAGTGAAGTACAGCTTCTCCAATGAGCTCCATTAATCAATTCTTTATCCCTGAGAGGTTTGCTATTTTCCCAGCAACAGCAATACAAAAAATCACCAAGATAACTATGCTTAGGAATGATGTGTTTGGCAAACTCTCGTGTAACTGGGAAATACATTGCTCGATGATGGAGCAAAAATCCTGTTGGTGGAAGTTTTGATTTGGAGAAAGCTGTGAGGCAGTGATGGGTTGTTAGTCATTCTGGTGATGGGCAGCGCAGGAGAACAACCTCTTACTAGCTCTCCCAGCTTCATATTTCCTCCAGGAGATACGGAGGCATCGTTCTACCATAGTTGGGAAAAGTCAAAAGAAAGGATTTTGCACCTTTTAAACAAGATGCTTATTTTAAGAACTAGTCCCATTATAATTTTTTAAGAAAGCACAAAGATATGTAGCTGTTTACAAAATATATATATATATATATATATAGTTTTTAATTAAGAAATTAGAGATATATCTTTATCCTCCAACCTAGACATTTGGCATAATTCGCTGTTAATTTATTAAATCTGGATGTTGGACAAAATTTCCCTAATCTAAATGGAAATGCACATCCATCAATATTATTTCCTATGTATAATGAACAGAAACAAACAGCATTGGGGAGTAAATAGTTGAGATTATGCTTGCATAAACTCCGATTTGCACAGTGCCCAGCAAATCCTTGTGCAGTAATTGCTTTATGCGGTTGTAATTGATAACCTGTGAAGACAGCACATCATCTAAACCCCATTCCAAATAATATTTCTGTGTAGTGTTAGCTGTGAATTTACCTTGTACAGCTCTATCGCTATAAATATAATTCCATGTATTAATAGTCACAGAAAGGCTGTAAGTGAGCAACTATTTTTATGAAACGCACCACTATGGATAAATTAACTTTTACAGAAATCTTGTTTACTGTATGATATTCTAAACCACTCAAATAAAATATATATCCAAGAATCTTTTTCCCAACTTATGCTGTGTAATAATTTTTTTATTGGGGGGGGGAGATATATCATGAAAATACTGTTTGTCTCCATGCACATCCCACTGCAAAGAGAGTGCCATTTTTCTATATGACAACCAAGCCATCACACACTTTAAAACCAACCTGTAGATTGAACCTTTAAAACCAACCTATAGATTGTAGCTGTGGTGTCGGTGCAGAATTGGGCCTCGACAGAAGGGGGAGGAAGGATTAACCCATAATGCACTCAACAAAAATCCCTCCCCAAATCTGCTATTTAGCACAGGAGGAGCAATCTCGCTGGCCTGACATGCACAATCCGAATATATGGAAAACTGGCAGCTGATACACATGATCTCAGCGTATCCTGTTTGGTCTGTATGCAGAACCCCACAGTTATCGCTCTGAATGGCTTCTCTCCTTTCCCTGCCACCCCATTATATGCAATATAATGCCTAAAGCAATGTTCTAGTGGTGCAGCGTTGTACGTGACTCGGGTGACGTGGGAACCAGTAAACACTGCTCCTCCCTACGCTTTCTGGGTCTTATGAAAATCCGAGGGTGCCTATCAATGCTGACATGGATGGAACATGCAGGCCCCCAACTTTTCAGGCTAACCCAGAAGCTCATGGAAGAACAATGCAAAAGCAGCAGCCACACCATCAACATCAGGCAGTGAGGACCAAGGATTCCACTATGACACCCCCATGAAGTACATTGTTATTATTTCACATAGCCATCAACCACCCCCCATAGTGGAAAAAATACAAAATTACAAGTCAGTGCTGTAATATAAGATGAACATAACCCACTATTGGCCAAGTGGAGTTTAATACTCACAGAAGAAAATTGCTATTGCATTAACCCGCAGCCTGTTTTCACTCAGGACACAAATTTACACAGTAGATTCCCCACATACTATACAACCCCTCTTACACTGAAGTTGTCCACATGTAGCTGCTGCAGGACTTAATTAAAAGGAGCTTACCAGCCACGTATGGTAGTATTGCTCTACTGCCTGCATAAAAATTCCCTAGCATTTTAGTGAATTTTCCCCCCTAATGTATACATGTTTTAATGCAGTTTTCGACTGGCATACACATGTTTGCAAGCAATTTCTCCTACTGTAATGCATTTTTGCATGTTAGTTTCACTAATATATTATTTTTACGCACACTTTCGCCTAATATGTGCATTTTTGTCGACACTGGTTGAAGAACTGCATTGCAAAATTCAGCAAAGTGCGAATTTTTAAGGCTGATGGTTTCGGTTCTCATAGTTCACCTTTGACTACAAATGGAATAAAATTTCTCCCCCCTCCCTGGGCAGAACCCACCCTCCCTCAATCCCAAGTTTCATCTTCTCCAGCAGGTAAATTAGGATTGCCATATGTCCAGAATTTCCCAGACATAGCCGAGATTTGGCTGTCGGAAAGGGTGTCCCGGTGGAAATTGCTGAAATACCCAGGAAAATCCAGACATATGGCAACCCATGTCAGAAGTATAGCTTTTGATGACTTTCCTTGAAATAGCTTTAAAACTAGTTGTTGTTGTTTTTTTGAGATTTCGCAAAAAGGAAAAGGAAAAGCTGAACAACATTTGTGTCCAGATTTTCCACTTTTTGAAATATGGCAAGACTAGGTAAGCATTACAGTCAGAGCTGATGACAAAGTCTCAATGTTCTTCTTTTAGATCTCTGGTTTAGTAAATAGTTCATAGTTCACCCAAGGTCATCGATGTGCCCACATACAGAATAGCCTTTCTGTTCGCTAATGTTTCATTTTGCTTTGACCTGCTTCCATCAAATATTTGAGGGGTGTGACAAAGGGGCACCTTGACTTTGAAGTGACATTTGCCGCAATCTGGGGGATTAATAATGCAATTATTAATCAGAGATAGCTGGGCTGTCGACCCTGAGTCTACATATTAAATTGAATTTCTAAAGAAAATCTTTTAGCACCTGTTAGAGACATTTCTTCAAAGGAATGAATTTCTTGTTTGCTCAGGTGTGCAAACATCTCGGCCCTACAAGAGCTGATTATATATCCTGCTTAAGATTGGCCTGACTGGAAGGGATTCCTGTGCCTAGTATTAAGGTATCTTTCCCAGTTTTCCTTCATATTTACATTTTATCCAAAAAGCAAGAACTAAATCAGTCATCTGAGGGGACATGAGCAAGTCTGCCTGATTTCCCCAGAGCTCTGGGTTTCCCCACAGTCCCCTCGGGTTGGCACTACACTGATGAGGAACTGGGGGGGGTTGTGGGTGCTTAACACTTCTGCAGATAGTCATGTCTCCCCTTTACCCTCGCCTACAACTGTTCCTGCAGTTGGGCTCATGAGACAAGATGTCTGTAGGATGGTCAACGCATGGGGACATCTTGGGAAAGGTTGCATAGGAAAACCCATTGGTGGCAGCAGGGGTGGGTGCGTGTGAATTAAGCATTTCCTCTCTTCCCTGCTACTTCTTCCAGCAAAAATTGTACCCTTCCCAACTGCTTTAGACATTTTTGTTAGCTCCCCAGACCCTGTTCTGCTGTAAAACATCTATATTATTATTATTATTATTATTATTATTATTATTATTTATACCCCGCCCATCTGGCTGGGCCTCCCCAGCCACTCTGGGCGACTTCCAACAAAATATTAAAATACAATAGTGCATCAAACATTAAAAGCTTCCCTAAACAGGGCTGCCTTCAGATGTCTTCTAAATGTCAGGTAGTTGTTTATCTCTTTGACATCTGATGGGAGGGCGTTCCACAGGGCGGGCGCCTCTACCGAGAAGGCCCTCTGCCTGGTTCCCTGTAGCTTCACTTCTTGCAGTGAGGGAACCACCAGAAGGCCCTTGGCGCTGGACCTCAGTGTCCAGGCAGAACGATGGGGGTGGAGACGCTCCTTCAGGTATACTGAAAGGCTCCCGGCTCCCCATTGTCACTCTAGGATCTAACGGGAGGGGAAATATCATAGAATCATAGAGTTGGAAGAGACCACAAGGGCCATCGAGTCCAACCCCCTGCCAAGCTGGAAACACCATCAGAGCACTCCTGACATATGGTTGTCAAGCCTCTGCTTAAAGACGTCCAAAGAAGGAGACTCCACCACACTCCTTGGCAGCAAATTCCACTGTCGAACAGCTCTTACTGTCAGGAAGTTCTTTTTTTAAAAAAAATAATTTTTTATTAAGGTTTTAAACAAAGAAAAAAGAAAAACAACACACACAAAAAAAAAAATACAAAATTTAACAATAAAAACACAAAACGTAACAATTAAAAACAAACTCTCTTTTCCATTCCCAGTTTTAAATTACTTATTTTCTGGACTTCCTCATACCTCCCTCTTTTGTATTCCAATCCACTTATTTCCAATTCCAAATTCCAATTATTTGTCCAGCAGTTTCTTTTCCACTTTTTTAAACCCAATCTTTAATTTAATAAAGTGTTAAAATATATAACTTCAACTTTTTTAAACCTAATCCTTGTTCTTAATGTCATATACCTTTAAATTTTTCCCTTTTATTATCAAATTTCCATTTCTTTAAACATCTTTAATCTTGATCTTTAATCCTAATCTATCCTTAACTTTAGCCTGTACAGCTGGAAACCACTTATTTTCAATCCAACATCACTCTAACATTCCTTAATTTTGCAGTGTTTCTGAAGATAGTCTTTGAATTTCTTCCAGTCTTCCTCCATCGACTCTTCTCCCTGGTCACGGATTCTGCCAGTCATTTCCGCCAATTCCATATAGTCCATAAGTTTCATCTGCCATTCCTCCAGCGTGGGAAGTTCTTGTGTCTTCCAATACTTTGCGATGAGTATTCTTGCTGCTGTTGTTGCATACATAAAGAAAGTTCTATCCTTTTTAACACCATTTGGCCCACTATGCCCAGGAGAAAGGCCTCTGGTTTCTTAGGAAAGGTATACTTAAATACCCTTTTTAATTCATTATATATCTTTTCCCAGAAAGCCTTAATCTTTGGGCACGTCCACCAAAGGTGAAAAAATGTACCTTCAGTTTCTTTACATTTCCAACATTTGTTATCGGGCAAGTGATAGATTTTCGCAAGCTTGACTGGGGTTATGTACCACCTGTATATCATTTTCATAATATTCTCTCTTAAGGCATTACATGCCGTAAATTTCATACCTGTGGTCCATAACTGTTCCCAGTCAGCAAACATAATGTTATGTCCAACGTCCTGTGCCCATTTAATCATAGCCGATTTTACCGTTTCATCTTGAGTATTCCATTTCAGCAGCAAGTTATACATTCTTGACAAATTCTTAGTTTTGGGTTCTAACAATTCTGTTTCTAATTTGGATCTTTCCATCTGGAAGCCAATTTTCCTGTCCAATTTGAATGCCTCCATTATCTGATAATAATGAAGCCAGTCTCGCACTTTGTTTTTTAGTTTTTCAAAACTCTGCAATTTCAGTCTATCTCCATCTTGTTCCAAAATTTCCCAATATTTCGGCCATTTGACCTCCATATTGACCTTTTTCAAGGCTTTCGCTTCCATTGGTGACAGCCACCTTGGGGTTTTGTTTTCTAACAAATCCTTATATCTTAACCAAACATTGAATAGCGCTTTCCTGACAATGTGGTTTTTAAATGCTTTATGTGCTTTGACCTTATCATACCATAGATATGCATGCCATCCAAATACATTATTGAAACCTTCCAAGTCCAAAATGTCAGTGTTTTCAAGAAGTAGCCATTCTTTCAACCAGCAAAAGGCTGCTGATTCATAATAAAGTTTAAGGTCTGGCAGGGCAAATCCACCTCTTTCCTTTGCATCTGTTAGTATTTTAAATTTTATTCTAGGCTTCTTGCCCTGCCAGACAAATTTAGAGATATCTTTCTGCCACCTCTTGAAACAATCCATTTTGTCCACGATCTGCAAAGTTTGAAACAAGAACAACATTCTAGGCAATACATTCATCTTTATCGCAGCAATACGGCCTAGCAGTGAAAGCTTCAAATTTGACCAA